TTGTACGATAAAGCCTCTACAAGTTTGCAGAGACGCGCTACCCCGCGTCCTGCCACCAGAGTTGCATCATCTATCATAAGATACGACCGCACTGCACGGATAATAAAAATGAGTCCAAATAAATCTAAGATATGTTTTGTAATGTTACACTTAGCTATCTTAAGTCGTAATCTCTATCTTTGTGAATAAATGCTTTGTTGATCTTGAAGATTTGAATTAATAGTTGTCTAATTTTTTTAATTTGGTGTTCAAGATTGTCTCGGTACTCGGAGACGTTTTCCCGAGAAGTATCGGCATGTCCGGTGTATAAAGCATCACCAGTGCTGTCGTCCGCATAGCAATAAATATTACCGGTTTGTAACATGTCATTGATATGCAGAAGAAGCAGCGTTAGTGATAGCACGTAGCCTTGTGGAACACCAGCGTTAATGTTTGGCTTGAAATCGGTGCATGCACCGTTTACTACGACCTTGATGCTCCTTTCTGCAAGAATCTCTCAAAGATCTGCTGATGCTCGATTGCACGCTATCTCGGGAAGCCGATAGGAAGGAAGCTTCGTAAGAAGTGCTTTGTGCCAAACCCCGTTGAAGGCCTTCGCTATGTCCAAACTAACGGCCAATACCCCCCCCCCCTGGAGTCTACTGCCTCCGCCCATTTATGAGTTAGGAAACCGTTTCGAAGATCGGTTTGACCCCACAGTCGATCCCACAGTCGGGCGACCGCGACGGAAACCGTACTGGCGGTCACTAATTAGTTAGTAGTAGTAGTAGTAGTAAGTTAATAACGTACTCCATTATTTTAGAGAACAAGGAGGTGATGGCGATAGGCCTATAGTTCGGTGGATCAAAGAGGATTTTTAGGGATCGGGTGCACGAAAGCTGTCTTCTATGATTTCGGGACTACACCTAGGGAGTAGGAGTACACGTCTTAAGCACAATAGGGGGGGATGCCATCAGGCCCACACGACTTGTTGACATCCAGAGAGAGGAGTGCTTTGCGCACCGAGCGTTGGGTAAACAGCACATCCTGTGTGGAGCACACACACCGCGCGGGATGGTTGGCGGTGTGTTCCCGCCGTCATCAAGAGTTAAGTTGGACCCAAAAAGAGAGCCCAGCATATCGGCTTTTTCCTTATCGGCACGGGCAAGTGAGTCGTCCTCCATGTGCGGAGATGGGAGAGATGGCTGACAGAAGTTCCCTTGGACAGCATTGGTGAGAGACCAGAATGCACGTGTTTCCGAAGGGAGAAGAACTAGTTTCTCGCCAATTGTGCCTATGTGCACTGACTTAGCCTTGACAATGACGGTTTTGAAGGAACTGGAGGCGGAATCATACTTCTTTTTCAGAGCGCTGTTTTTTTTATTTGCACCCCGAGACGTGATGCGTGATCCAATACCAGGTAGCACTCTTGCTTATGGCGAATTGCAATTTTGCAGGAGCAACTAACCCATAGCTGGGTTCTGCCTCCGATAGGTACCACAGATGATGGAATAAAAAGTTCCATTCCCTGTAAGAGAAGTAAGAATCAGCCACAACGTTGGGATCATACGGCGACAAGCAAACCCGCCTCCAAAGGTAGGATGCAAAAAAGACGGGAGTGTGAGTGGCACCGTACTGCGGATCAGACAATGGTACGAGGAACTAAGAGGGGCATCGCCGGAGACCTGATATCCGTCCGAATGAGAGGTCAGCAGAAGATCTAACAGGGAAGGTACATGATCTTCCACATTTGGGATCCGCGTAGGCGAAGTAACCAGTTGTGTCAGACCATATGCCAAAGCAAAGTCATAAACAGATCTACCCGCATGATCGGTTAAACGAGAACCAAGCCATTCAGCGTGGTGGGCGTTAAAATTACCAAGAATCACGATCTCTGCGGATAGGACATGTTGTAGCATGGAGGCTGCAGCCATTGGACGTGGTCGATGAGTCGGTCTTTGTCAGCATTACTGCTATGGGACCTGTAGAGGCATCCATAGACGCGGGGATGTGTGTCGCTGTATCGCGCAGTCATAAGATGGACAGGTACATATATTCAAGGCTGCCGAGGCGTCGAACCCAGATGCCCTCTCTGACGTACACGCAAACCCACCCAGGGCACAAAAGAGTATCCTAATTTGTACCCCGGGTAGGAGAGATACGTAGTATCAGCCGGAGAGGACACCTGTGTCTCAGTTAGTAGGAGCAAGTCCGGCTTCGCCGTTTCCAGATGGTAGTAGACGGCGTTAACTTTTAAATGAAGTCCACTGATGTTGCAGAAATTCACGGATAGCGTGGCAAGGGGCGCTTTTGACTTATTGCGTCAGCCCCGAGCAGATTTAGTCTCGAGCGGAATTTCACACCCACGCTCAGGAAGAGCAGTTTAACTTGGGCGTGGACGCTCAACGAGGGATTCTCTGTTACCTGTGTGGGGGTTGGATTAGGGTGTTGGTACTTTCCCTGTGAGTGTTTTATTTAACTCCACTACCATGTTCAGGGATAGGGGTGGGGGGGCTGGAATTGGGCCTCCTACCTGCACTCATCAGACGAAATGCAGAAACAGAGCTTCTACTTCACTTCTTACTGACACTATAATTCTGTGCTGTGCAAATAGGATAGTCACTGGAGACTGGCCACTGTGACAATAATTCGGTTGGGAGGACACTCAACCCAACATTCAACCTAACTCTCAACTCAACCTAACACTCATCTCAACTCGAGACACAATTGACGCACTAATGATAATCACGAGGAGTGGGTTTGTTTTTCATCATTATACTAATGACTTTAAGTGATGTTGGGGGAGGAAATTTTTATTTTTTTAGAACTTTAAGTCTTAATTGCTGCATTCATGTGATTATTGATCACATATATTAAATATATTACGTATAGTCATATTATTTGAGTTCGTAAAAGCAGTAGGCTTTATGGCGGGTTACACCATAGTAAAATAACGCCTACTAGCAAGGATTTTATAAAAGTTTCATTTTGTTTTTCTTTATGGTAAATGTGACAATTTTTCTTTAATATTTTTTAGAAAGCCAACGATTTTTATTAAAATCTGTAGATCGAATTGGATTTTTCTCACCTTTTATTCGAGTTTCCCTTAGAGGGCGTCCATAAATTACGTGAGATGTTTAAGGGGGGAGGGGGTTGAGACAAATCTCATCTAATCTTACGTTGGAGAGAGGGGGGGATCAAGGCAAATATCACGCAATTTTTATTCTGATTGAAACAAAAAAATATTATACTATTTTGGTCCATTTAATCCAGATTGTACATGCTTAAGATTTAATCTTAAGCGTATATCGTAGTTTTTACAGTCCTGCTGCTACCCTTTTCCTTTATATACTGGGACTATCACGGCTTTGCACCAGTCTACCGGTACCCGCTTCAGTTCCCAGCATAAATTAAACAAGGTGTGCAGCAGGTCTGCCACAATTTCCTCTCCAGCCCTTAGCATTTCGAGTGAAACTCTATCATATCCGGCAGCCTTACCTGCTTTCATGCTTTTCATTGCTTTCATTATTTCATCTATACTTATCTCGCTACCTCTTTCCTCTTCTTTCGTAGTTTCTACTTCACTTAGTACACACGTTGTCTCCTCACTCATAAACACGCTTTCAAAACATTCCTTCCATCTCTTTAAACTCAAAACTTCATCATTCAGAATATAGCCAATCTCGTCTCTTATAACATTCATCATAGGCTGTTTTGAATGTCCCCTGGCAGTTCTTACAAGTTTCCAGAACATTTTAATATTTGCCTGGAAGTTATCCGATATTCTTCTATCATTCTTATCCGTTCTTTCTTGCTTTTTTCTTTCAACTACTTCTTTTACTCTCTTATTAAGATGTTTAAAGACTGCCTTTTTTCTTTCAATATCATCATTCGTACCGCTAGAATTGCCAGCCTTTGTTGCTAGTAAATCTAGCCATGCTCTCTTCTTTGTTTCAACTTCCATACGTATCTCATCATCCAACCGTAACGTATTATTTTTCCTTTCATTCTTCCTCTTACTAACACCACATACTTCAGTAGCTGCATCCACTAAACCTTTCTTTACATTTTGCCATACATTTCCAAGTCTAATTCCTTCATACATAATTCATCCAAACCACTTATATTTTCTTTCAGTCTACATTTGAACTTGCTTTTCTCACCTTCATCTTGTAACCTTTCTGTTCTAATACGCTGTAACGCAGTGGTAGACACAGATGACCGATGGCGCCAACGCCTGAATAGACCATTAATTCGACATAAAACCAAATAATGATCCGTTCCTACGTTAGAACCCCGGTAAACCCTTGTATCCAGCACTGCGCCCCTCAATCTTTCATCCACAATTATGAAAGTAGAATTGTCAAAAATAATCCCACCACCACCACCCTCCTCCCTCCACATCGTAGGGGGTTATTTTGAAAAATTGTAAGTGCGTATTAATTTACTTTAATCAGAGAATATTTTCGGTAACTTTCGAGTTTCGAGTCGTCCTCCCGTAAAATAAAAAGTTTCACACAAACTGTAACACACTGTTTGACCCTTTAATGGGTTGGATTTTCCAAAGTCCCTTTTTAGTGGATGCTTACGTCATAAAAGGTAAATAATTACTAAAAAAAAGGCAGCTACTATCCAAATTTTAGATCTCTACTTTTAGCAGTATGGGCTGTCATTCAGGACATCTTCTTTTGTATAGATATATATTAATATATTAAAGTATTCCAAACATATACTATTATTGTAATAAATACAAAACTTCTCATTGGTCTCTAAAGCTCTAACAGCTTTAAACATTTTAATAAAATGAATTTTTTTTGGAATATTGTAGATAAGTAAATATTTTTCAGCATATTCTTGTAGGCGTTTTATTTTTCGAGTACGTGTGTTCTCTAAATGTTATATACAGTAGAAGAAACAATGAGAATACAGAAAAGAAAGAAGCTTTAAAACAAATTATCAAAGGCTTAAAGTACTTGATCGACGCAAGACGCAATGGCAGAAAATTCGATGAAAGCTTTTTAATGAAATCAAAACTTTTGTACGATAGTTTGATGAAGGATATTTCCAAGTCTGAACTGCGGCAGCAGATACCACAGCTGCCAGAACACGCAAGTAAGCACCACCAGGCAATATCGTCACCAATTAAAGACCAAACGGTAAAGTCTGTTAACGGTGGATTTTCATCACATATGTCATCCGTGCTTCTAGACCATCCATTCGTGCAAAAAAATGGTAGGAATGATTACCTTGTTATGCAACCTCAAGCCCTCGATCCGTATGTTACAGTGATACCAAATGATATTTATTATAATCACGAGAAAACATGTGTAAACTGGTTAGAAGAATGCAACGCACAAGGCATAAGAGCGAAGCTTCTACAGAAACTGCGGTCTCCTTACATGTGATCATCTAAATTTTATTTTAGACTGGTAGCAATGTAGATGAAAAGAAAATAAGAGAAGTAAACTTGCTTTTTCGTCATTATATTTAACGTCGTTTTGATTACAAATAATTGAAAATTGTTAAAATTTTATACGTGGTAGAGCCATGCTGCAGTTATATTAGTAGTGTAGTTGTAGCACGAATGGGTCGGCTCGACCGGGGAAGGACCACGCTCTCACAGAATACCAGCGTCAAATAGTAGCTTATTGCTGCTGTGTTTCGTATGGTGAGTGTAGAGAACCGGAGACCCTTTTTACAACGCATCTGTATTTTGATTGCGATGTCTATGGGCCACAGCAACCACTTACCGTCAGGTGGACTGCGTGCTCGTTTGTCACCCTATCATACAAAATAAAAATGTATGTAAGGTCATTACAATCAAAAAGCTGTAAAATCAGTGCTTTGGTTCTGTGATGAATTCTATGATGAACTCATGATGGTGCTTTTTGTCTTTATGTGTGAATAAACTCTTTGAAACTATACCTATATATCTGTGATAACGCCATGCTAAAGCAGAATAGGTTGACTCGACCGGCTCTCACACAGAATACCGGCGCTATACTGCTGTTTTTTATATATTGTTAAGTGATGAGATATAGCGATAGCGAGGCATTTCATCTTTGGCCCCTATGAATGACAGCGTATCCACAATATTAGTAGAGGAAAAGGACCGAATATGGAATACTTAAAGAAATTCCTAAAAAAATCAGTACAAACGTTTTATTTTAAACAGTCTCATAGGTTACAATTAAATGCAGTCATAATGACTCTTGAAAAATAACAATTAAATCAACAAAAAATAAAAACTTTCCATAATATTATTAACTAAAATAAATCAACCAAAAATATGCCTCAGAAAAATGGTCACGTCTCGTTAATGAAAAGAAAAAAAGAAAATTAACCCTGTAAACAAAAATCACAAATAAAATCTGGATATTCTGCTCCGGAACACTCAACGTGACTCCATTGTCTACAGGCAATGCACTGAAACCACTCTTCACCCTTTTTGTCTTCACTGAAAAGACCAGAGCAATACATGCACTCAGCGTCAGCATTTGGATCGTTAGGTTGAAGAACAGTGGGTTTATCGTCACTACATTCACTAGATAAGGATATGGTATCTTTATCAGAAGATGATTCAGACTCCAACACTGGTTTCTTGTTTCGCTTGTTTTTCTGAGAGCCGCTAGTTGATGGCTGTGGCTCGGGAACACTTTATTTTTGCTGCTTGTGCTGCTGTTTTGACGACAAGCTAACTTCTAATTGAGCTTTATAGGGAGACGATGTAATTTTGCAAGCTTTGCCAGCTTTTCTGCCACGGTTAGAGAGTTTTCTTTTTAATTTAGGATTAGGTAAAATGGCTTCAGGAGTAATAAGCACTTTTTGGGAAATATTTTCATTTTTGGTGGGTGTGGTTAAACGCTGGCTATTGGGTGACACATTTTCTATGCCAAGAGTTGGCTTTTGTGGTATAGATATATCGTGAACTGTACATTCACCCTCTTCAGTTATAAAGTCGGCATCTGTGTAATGTTTCTGTTGAGAGGATAAATGTCTGTTGTCTTAAACCCGTTTATAGCCAACTCTGCATTTTGAATTTTTAAATAAGCCTTGCCAAATATTTCCACAACATCGAAAGGACTAAGTGGTCTTTGATATGTTAAAAGCCACTGACGTATTTCTTCGCTGTAGTAGGATTTTAAAGGGCCCATGATTGTCTTGTCTAAAGGTTGCATCTTATGCGTTGAGTGCTGAGGTAAACAAACAACAGTAACAAAACTTTCACGTGCCAAGTAAATAAAATTTATATTGCGTGTGTGGCTGTAATGGCCATCCAAAATCAATAAGATTGGGTTTTCTTTTGAAGGTTTTGTGTGCTGGATAAAATGCTTAAACCAATCAAGAAAGGTGTCCGCCTGGATCCAACCTGACGGATGGCATCGTGCAATAGCACCAATAGGTGCTCCTTTCATGAGCAAAGCGTTCATCTTTATGCGTGGGAAAATGATCAGCAGGGGTACAAAGTCACCAGCTTTCCGCAGAAGTCAGGGCTCCGACTTGTTTTTTACCCCTCGTAGCTAAAACCTTTGGTGTCTTCGATTGGACTATGCTAAGCCCAGTCTCGTCGACGTTGTAGATCCTAGTTGGTGGAAATTTAAATAGTTCAAATTCCTTTTCCAGTAAATCAAAAAAGGATTTAACATTTTCTTTCGTAAAGCCTTTAACTCGAGCAAATGATGTACCTGTAGGTTGGCGCAGAGAAAGTACTTTATGCCTTGCTAAAAACCCTTTTAACCATTTACGTGTAGCTGTTCTATTATTAAAAGGATGTTTTAAATTATTTTTTATCGCCAACTGATATGCCATTCTCTTAACATCATTTCGTGTTAGCCCAAAATACAGTTTATCCATTTGCTTGACATACTGTACTAACATATGTTCAATGTCAGGTCCCAAAACTGTTTTACGACCAAAGCGGCAGTCTATATTTGGTTCGTTGGTATGACAGAACCGAAAAAGGGTAGTCCGAGGTACATTAAAGACCTGTGCAGCGTTCTTATAACCCATTCTTTGGGTTCTCACGGCTTCAGTAGCATTTTTCATATTGACTTTGTCCCATTCTTTTCGTTTTTTTACTGGTGGGGCCATGTTGATCACAAATATATCTGTAAAAGAGAGAAATAGTAATCAGACACCATATTAAAAACTTCCTTACGTCGAGCTTACGTCTTACGTCAATGATATTCCATATTACGAACAATATGATGGCGGTATGAAAATAGAAGTAACTTTTTATTATTAGTTAAATATTCGTAAAATAACAATACCATTTAAAAACTACATATTTTGTTTAGACACTTTTCAAGTTATTTTGAGATATTCATGTAAGAATAGTAAGAGAACACATGCATAAAACTTACGTAAATATCCGATTGATGTTGCGTCGTGTCGCGCACTCTCCGTCTAGTGTCATCTAGTGTCGCCGAACGCCGCACGCACACTGGCCGTCGAACGCTGGTAGCGGGAAGGGTAACATAATATACGTTTGGAATATTCGTAGCGCTTAGTTTTAGAAATATTACGGTATTCCATATTAGGAACGTATTCCATAATTGGTACCTTTCCTCTAATAGTGATCGTTTGTTGCCTGTGCATATAAAAAATATGGCTAGGAGGTTAATGATTAAAAATATGTTGGGTATTTGCGCTGACTTTATTTCGGATTTAATTTCACCGTATTATAATATATATGGTGAATAATCGAACCTAAAAGGTCGTCAATAAAATAAATATATCTTTCATAATTATCATTGACTTCTATACATAGGCGCAAGGTACTTTCAACGATTTTATAATCTAAACGTTAACTCAAGCATAGGTTTTCTATAAAATTTACGTTTTATAATAATAATTTTGGCTAGTATTTTTGTCGATAAACTATAGCCAATTTAACAGAAACTCTTAAAAACTGAAGGAATCCAAACGGGAACCAATTAGGAACCAAAGGAATTTTATACGCCATCTCATTGGAGTTCAAAATTTTCTCCTGTGAAAATTCAACGAGGTCAAGCGAGTAAGGTGACTGACAGAAATGATTCAATCGAAACCCCTGTAGTTTTAAGACAGTCCGTTGTGTAGTTTAACTGACGTGAAAAAAATTAATTTTCTAATAAAATCAAAGCCGATTTCAATGAACTAAAAATAATAAAATATTTCCATATAACAGCTTCATAAGTCTATGATAAGTCATATTATATAAAAGTAAAGTTACAGCCTACATACGTCCTACTGCTGGGCACAGGCCTCCGCTCACTTTTGAAAGAACTAAGAAATGTCTTTAAACTTTAAAAATTCTATCCTCCATTTTCCACCCTAAGGGGTAGAACTTTTCTCTATACATACACGGGACCATATTTAATAAATAAAGAGTCATTCAAAATTGATTTACTATTGGTGAAGTTATCCCGTACATAATAAGGAAAATAAAAGAACATGAAGAACCTTCTTTATTTTTAAGTTTGCTAAAAATAATGACAAGAGCAATTATATATGTGGTAGAGCCATGCTGCAGTTATATTAGTAGCATAAATGGGGCGGCTCGACCGGGGAAGGACCACGCTCTCACAGAATACCAGCGTGAAATAGTAGCTTAATGCTGCTGTGTTTCATATATTGTGTGTAGAGAACCGGAGACCCTTTTTACTGGAAACGAGGCATTCCACCTTAGTCCTCACGGGCGACAACGCATCTGCATTTTGATTCGTATTCGAGGATAGATGTAGATGTCTATGGGCCGCAGCAACCACTTACCATCAGGTGGACTGTGTGCTCGTTTGTCACCCTGTCCTATAAAAAAATTGACAGGTTTCGGTTTTTGAAGTGAATTTTTCTTTAGAGTCGTTGTGATTTGAAACTCGATGAAACGAAAACGCGACACTAATAAGAGACTAACACATACATCTTCATTCTTCTTTGTAGATGATTAATATAAATATAACTGTTGAAATAAATAATATAAAAAATAACAAATTTATTAAATAAATAAACTCTCGAAGGAAAATATTTTTGTATTTATTACATTAAAACCAAAAAATATATGAAAATAATGATTGTAACATTATTTGTTATAAAATTAAAGTTTATGCCACACTTGCGGTTGTAAAATATTTTTATTATATAAAAATTTTATTTCATTTGAAGGTTTAATTTCTACTGAAATTAACTGTAAACTGCACGCATGTTTTTTGAAGCGAGTATCACCATCGTTTGCACTACTTCCTTGTGGAATCGACTACCACCAGATATTTTTCTGAACCGATACGTCTTAGGGACCTACAAGAAAAGCGCCTACTCCTTTTTAAGAACCCGGCAACCAGATGCGTCGCCATTCAGTCGCAATTCCCCTGGTGTTGCAGTTGATCATAGGCGGAGGTAATCATTACTGCTCTATAAAAATAGTAAGCCCTATAGTATTTTCTTAAGAATTTTATATAATGGAAAATATAGATGAATATATTGATCGCTTCAACCACTGCAACGAATGTTCCGAATATAGGGCCTTTCTATGCAATTTAACGGCCAAGACCGTAAAATTAGTCTATAGACGTGCCACGGCTGGTTACAATAATCTTTAATTCTGAGAAAGTTTTTAGGACAAGGAAGTGTCTGCCGCGCCGCCACAGTGTGTGTGGACCGGCTTTTTATTTCTCGAGTGCGTAAGTGCTAATATGACTTAAAACTGCAGTTATCAATTTAATTATGCTAGTGGGTGCGAATCCGGGCTACTAGTGGTTTAATTTACGATGAGATGACAATCAAATTTAACTTTTAGATTTCATATGGAATTCTAAATGCAAACTCATATCATAAAAAAGCTATAATATAGGCTGCAATGCGTGTTTGCATTGATATTCCTTCACATCATAATAATCATCGTCACCATCATTATAACCTTTCACAAGTTACTGCAGAACATAGGCCATAACAAAGGAACACCTAAAAGTACACTCCTGAGCCACCTACATATCTTCGCAGGTCGTTACTCGGTCTAGTGAGCAGCCGCGTTAGACTGACTGACACGTTAAACTGACTTGTGTATTAAGAATTAAAATTAAATTTTAAATTAAACACATTTTTTTCACAGATAATCTTTATTTATTTATTGTTAGTTGCATTTGTTCACTTAGCAGCGATACACGAATAGAATTCCTTAATATATAGACAGGTTCAATACAATATGAATTACCATAGTCGTACAATTTAACATTCAGTACATGAAGAGTTTTCACGTTAGTGATAAAACGTCACAGAGTCCTTAGCCAAGCTAGTTTAAATAGACACATTTAATGCATATTATAATTTAAGTATATATTTTGTTTCACAAACGTGCAACACCGGCCCGTCCAATCACTGAAACGATTATAGTAAAATTAAATGCCACCGCTAAATTAAATCGAAATCAACAAAAATATTCACTCGATGGTGATTTCATTCGGAAATATCTAAGTACTTAAAATAGTAACATATTCGTTGCCTTAAAAATTGAAGAAAATTACTATCTACGTTATTATATACCTAAGGAACAAAATTGAAAAAAAAAGCAAAAATCAATGGCAGTGGACGAAATAAACAAACCGTACTCCTACAGATTTATCTGCATTTGGCACATGATAATAAAAAATATAGGTTTTTTTTTTCTGCAAATGATAACGGAACGTAGATTCAAATTTTTAGAGAGAACCGTTTCGTGTACACTCGCGTGCGAAGTGTATTACAATATTTTTTATATAAAAAAATTAAAAAAAGCTTGTTAAGCGAATGTATGCAAGAAGATATAAAAATTAGTAGCATAGTCTCCCTAAACCTAACAACAATTCACATCTTATGGCACGAACATCCTCCTTGGAGCACCCACACAGTATACAGAATAGTGGACAATATAAATATAATAATAGTTACGATCCATTAATATTTCGTTATCTAAGTACTATGCTAACAGTATTGTCCCAAATGTTGAAGTCGCCTTAATACTAAATACAACAGTACACATCAATAAAATCTTGAAGGAAATTGTAACAAATATCATATATTATGTAAAAGTTCGCCAGAAATACGAAATCAACAATAAAGGAGACGGAGAGTTTAATGAAGACCTACTTAAGAGCTAAGTTAAAATATATGTATACATAGATATAGATAGAGATATATAAATTATATTTAACAATTGACATGAATATTTTGTTGCTTACAACAAATTTTTTTAAAGTAGAAAAATTACAGATAATACATAAAATTGACCTTATTATTGATAAACATTTATTCGATAGTCCTCCGTCGAAACGTAGGTCTCACCTGAAAGAAGAAGCAACGCATTAGATTATGTGAAAAAAAAGCCAAAATGTTAAACATAAAGAAAAAACATCAACATGTGTGTTTGGATTTTAAAGATGAAGTCACTTCGCACATTTTTATTTAACAATAAAAAAATTCCTCATGTATCAAGAAAATAGAATTGATTTTTTAAAATTCGAAGTGACTTTACAGTCCACTTGTAGACACCGGCAACCGACCATAAATAAAGAAGAATCACATCACAGACGAGTTTTCACCGCGCAGTAAGGTTGACTCACGCTACACCGAGTCGGGTCCGAGCCGAGTGTCGGCCGTAGCGCGGTCACGAAGCCGGTCCCGTGCCTGAACTTACAAAGACGGGCAAATATAGTGTTATAACTAGACTACAATCATGTTGAAGTTTGACGATCTGGAATTAGCGGCTATTGCGATCGCTCTGGACGATGAGGAATTTGATAAATCTTCAACTACAAGCCGGGGCCGAGTTACTGCCGAGCGTTGTCCATTGCTCGGCCGTCACTCGGTTGCGGCTCGGTATAGCGTGAGTGTGTACATACAAAATATATGTAATATTAGTTGAACATGTTACAGCTGACACTCCGCTCGCACCCGACACGGTCTAGCGTGAGTCATCCGGTACTAATCTACCTTACATCTACCTAATAATACCTTACAACCCGTAATAATACCGGACCTCTACAGCATCCAGACCGGAAGACAGCATTGCACGCACTGGGTGTTTGACGGCGGAATGGGCTAATATTCTTGGTACTTAACAAAAGAATATTACCTTATTCACATAGGTATGGTCTCAATGCAAGGTTCAATAGACATATTCATTTGAAAACATAACATAACCTAAAATGTCACGCATGTATTGGCTAGGCAGAGGCTACGGACTTCCATTTGACACGATCCTAACACACCTCTTGCTTTTTGAGAGCACACACATTTTTAATATATAATATACAATGCTCAATGATATTGATCTCCAATATTTTGTAATATTTACCAGTTCCACGCGTGTTATTTTTTACTTCTTGTAATTAACTAAAAATAACTTTTCATTTCGAGACGCTTTAGATGTTAATGTAATTCATTAGAAATACATCAATATTTAAAATGTTAAAGTATTTATAAACTCTTCAGTTTTACTTAGTTGAAAGAATCAAAAACATACGACATATTATTTATTATTAATGCTGTGGTTAGCCGACATGTTATTGTTAATGATACAAGATCTATACAACAAGTAGCATGCAAAACAAACGTTGGAAAATTCTTCCTACAAAGAACTCACTCACCTTGAACATCCATGTAAGTAATGTATATAATTCTCCATTAACGTGTAAAGACGAAAAGATTCAAAAATATTAAAATGGACGGTGCCAAAATAAAGTACAGGCTGACAATGTGGTTGAGTTTGCAGTCCGAGTTCAAGTGGAAATTAGGTGGGACTGAATTGAGCAGTTCAACCTCTTCGAAGAACGGGTAGACGTCGGGGAGTATGAGACTATCAAATCCGAGGCAGCGTGCAGAGAAAACAAGTGTCAGACAAGGCTCTTATATTATTTGGACATAAGCATTATTTGGTTAAAATATTAGACACATATTTATAATATATCGCCACCCTATATCTATTTCATAATTAAAGTGTTAAATTAAAGAGAATTTAAATAATAATTAGATGAAAGTAAATATAATGTTTAATAGTATTAATAATGAGATAAATCTCTATGTTGTAATATGTTAAATACATAGAAAATTTGTTACATGTTCTGGGTCCCGTTAATTGGGTTATTTTGAGTAAATGTCTTGGAGTAGGTTATCAGAATGAGTATTCAAACAGCCATAAAAAATAAATTAAATAGAAATAATGTCTTGTTTGTAAATTTTATGCGGTTTTATTGCATCTATCGGTCAGTTAAACTGATCATTCCAACTGATAAGTTCAAACTAAAACTGTTGATATTTTTTTTAAATATCGGATTTTCGATATATGTATAAATAAACTTATATGTAAAACTCCGATATTAATTTATTTATGATCAATATATCGGAAATCCACTATTTTAAAAAATATCAACAGTTTTAGTTTGAACTGATCAGTTGGAAAGATCAGTTGAACTGACCGGGGTCCCGTAACTGACACGTGCATCGGTAAAGCGGGGTCTTTGACAATTCTCTTACTCCTCGGGCAATGCAGAGGTCACAAAACCACATACAATTTGCAAATTAAAATGTATTTAAATTTAATTTATTTTTTTATATCGTCACTTGTGGTCTCAGCTCGGTCTAGAAAAATAGATCACTCTGCTACTAAATCACTATCTTTATTCGAGTGTCAGAGTTCGAGAAACTGTATAGCGTACGTGAGGGTAATATGGTCATCCGGTTGATATTTTCATTTTACATTAAATTTAGTTTCTATTGCCGGCCATACATGTTGGCCGAGCGAAGGCGAGTACCAACGTAGACATATTTACGTACGTTTTCCTTATCCCATTACTTCGAGTAGAAGCTTAATAAGCATTTAATTAGTAAATATTCTTGATGCAGTAAGACAAAAAGGGTAAAAGGCCAAGTTTGAGGAATGATACTCACTCCCTGCAGCGCTGAGTGTTTCTGCCAGCGACGGCAATTTTGCCGAGGTTGAGTCCACGGTTGGCATCCATAAACTCCACTTGCTCAAAGCAGCCATTTAGACCAGGGTAATTCTGGTAGTTGATGCGTTCCGGTATGCCACCTGAGCAGAATTTTCTTGTTTTAACGTTTTGCACAACTGTTTATTCTATACATAATATGTAAAAAAGACCCGGTACGATATGAAAGGGGCACATTTTTTATAGTATAAGGTCGACAAAAAGTACACACAGTCCACCTGATGGAAAGTAGATGCCTACCTCAGGACATCCACAATTTTCCACAATAAATAGTAAAATTTTAGATGCGTTGTTGTTATATCTGAGGATAAGATAAAATATTTCGTTACCACAAAGTCGTTAAAATTTAGTAAATTTATAAAATCTGGCAACACTGTCATCGACGAATGTATATTTGGTCGTATCGTTACCCGAAACACGCACACGCCACATGTATTGGTATGTGAGATTTGTGGTTAAATCAAATTTTATTTTAATTTTGTAAATTTTTTATTTATTCTCAAAAATATATATAATGACACCTAAAAGCCTTCATGGATCGTACCGGGGTTTTAATATTTTGTTTATTAAAACATGCAAATCGAAGTTAACAATTACATAATTTTCATCGTGGCCGGAACCATACAATCACAAAATGAAACATATTTGTTAAATAAGGTAACAGTAATATAATTAACGTATCATTGCTTACCGATGTAAATGTTCGAATCGGCATTCATAAGGTTCGAGAAACCAGTTGATGTTCCGATCTTTGTTTCGCCGTCCACCGACAGGTACACTTGATTGTCGCTCAGCAGCTTAGCGATGATCTGTAACAGAATTTAAACAACACGGTACAATGTTGGAGTGTAAGTGATACCATCACATCAGCCATATGTCCCGTGAAAGTCTTAGGAGAAATTCTAGAAAGATATTACAGTTTACCATAGATGGCGGTATAGTCGTCCCGTTTAAACAAGGTACTAGGCTGCACTAAAAGTATCGGGAATGGAATATTTCCACTGTTCCTGTCATATTAAAATCTTTTTAATTGAAAACTCCTTAAAGTAGTCATAGGTACATAATCAACTTCCAAAAAGAACTATCAGATAAATGTCAATGTACGTGTATTAACGCAATTAAAGTTTATATAGTAGGATAATGGTGCAGTAAGACTAATTTTTCTTCACTTTCAGACAGTAGTTTACTCCTTTTCATATAGACAATCCCAGCTTTAGTGAATGGACGTTCTGAAGAATAAACACTACTTCCTTACGGCCGAATACTTATGTCTAATATTATCTTATCGAAGTATAGTGTAGAATAGAATAGAATATTTTTTAATCATTAAAGATTACATGTAATTCTTATTGAAAGTCATTTTTACTAATATTTTTTAATCAATAAAGATTACATGTAATTCCTATTGAAAGTCATTTTTACAGCTATTTTTATCTTATCGAAGTATAGTGTAGAATAGAATAGAACATTTTTTAATCAATAAAGATTACATGTAATTCTTGTTGAAAGTCATTTTTACTTTACCACTGGTTCGATAAATTTTTCTATTTATAGAACCAGTGGTAAAGTAAAATTTTTTTCTAGTGTCTAATAATCCGCTATTAGGGCAGGAAGTCCGCAGAATGTGCGGTATTCAGTGTGTGGATGAATATACTATCATTGCAAATAGAATTTATACTCTATTGTACACTTTAAAACAGGATTACAAAGGTCTATTTTGATGCCTTTTGCCATTTTCTTCTAGTCTACCTGCACGTGTGGATGTAATGTGACAGGTACCGAACATTTTTAATAAGATGAGTGTTTACCTCGTGACGCTCTCCGTCGTTAACATGAACGGCCTCAATGCGAAGACTAGACAGTCCACTGCCAAGATCCCAGTCCATCACGACAATGCCGTTCTCAACTGAAAAATATATTCAAAATTAGTCTCAGTTTTTATAAATTATGAATATATAATATATTATATAAACTAATAATGTCCTTCAGGATAGATAGATTTCATACGTTAGAGCCATGCTGCAGTTATATTAGTAGTATAGTTCTAGCACGAATGGGTCGGCTCGACCGGGGAAGGACCACGCTCTCACAGAATACCAGCGTAAAATAGTAGCTTAATGCTGCTGTGTTTCGTATGGTGAGTGTAGAGAACCGGTGACCCTTTTTACTGGGAACGAGGCATTCCATCTTAGGCCTTACGGGTGACAACGCATCTGCATTTTGATTCGTAATCGAGGATAGATGTAGATGTCTATGGGCCGCAGCAACCACTTACCATCAGGTGGACTGCGTGCTCGTTTGTCACCCTATACTATATAAAAGAGGATAAATTACAGTCACTGCAGCCAATCTCAACATAGATTATAGTGCGTGAGCACAGTTGCTCTCTCTATTCCCTCACTCTCACAGTCTGATGGAACGGCAATCCACCACAACCGGAGAGAGATCTGGTGCAGGACCAACGGCTTTACGTACTTTCCGAGGCACTGTGGAGAAACCACCGTCTATTTCAGGGCTGCTGCTGCGAATTTTCTGACAGATAAACCCAATAACTGATTTGGTGACGACCCGGAATCCCAGGACTTCATGGTCAGCAACCGCGTTTACGACAACAAAACGCGAGTCAATTAAATAAAAGTATGCGATATTAAGCAAATTATAAATGTTAAATGAATAAGAAATTGCGATAGGTATAGATTTTTTTTTATAAGAACTTATAGTCCACTAGCTGCTCTCTGCGACTTCGTCCGCGCGTAATTTATTACGATTGCATTTTATGGAATTTTTTTGCGCAAATTCCAATCATCAATCCCAAATTATTTTTCTCAAATACGAGTAGCATAAGTTACTTATTAAAACATAAGATATCTGACAGAGAAAATCACGTCAAAATCGATCCAGCCATTTAGGAGATTATCCGGAACAAACAGATAGACGAACAAACAGACAAATATTTCAAAAATTGTTTTGTGTTATAAGTACTATGTGTACTTTTACATGTATTAAAGTAAATAAAAGTAGAAAAAAGCTGTTAATTTGACGTTACCAACAGACGCTTAAATGTTATACTCGTTCCTAGAAGATTACGGGCTTGATGTTATTATACAAGCACATACCAGTTTGCGTGATTTTAAAAAGGCCAACATATTGTTTAGAGTTTTTAATATATATAAGAGGGTGAATATATTATGGTAGTGTATTGACAACTACCAGGGGAGCAGGCATTGCCGTTTAAAAGGAGTAAGCTCTTTTTTGAGGTTCTTACGGTTCACAAGAAAATGTGCTAGGAAGAAACTTCGATATCGCGGTGGTGGCAGCTTTATTATGGTTGTAGCACGCATGAGTTCAACCAGGGAAGGACCACGCTCACACAGAATACCAGTGAGAAATAGCTGCTTAATGCTGCTGTGTTTTGTATGGTGAGTGTAGAGAACCGACCACCTTTTTTACTGGTCCACAGGGGTGACGTGTGGTCAACAGATGTGATTGTTTGATATTCTTATCCTATTTAAAAAAGCAGCTGTTTACTTTTGAGCAAGATGTAATCTCCGGAGTATGGTGGCGCTTGAACTTCATGTTGGTACAGCAGCACGCCATCGTAGGAGGTGTGTACGGCGAGGGCTATCACCGCCGGGTCCACGTCCAGTTGATCGTAGCGCAGGAGACTAGAAGGCAGCTCCAGATATCCGTTCCCGTTAAATCCGACGCTCTGCAGCAACTCCAGGGCTGGTAACAGAGGAAACCTTGTAGAATTGCGTAGATACGTTTCAAAATCTATATATTAATAGGTGAATAGAAAACATTTTTCGCGCGCGGAATATGAGATTTGGCATAAAGTTTATATAGAGGAAGAGTGTAGATAGCACATTTTTTCTAGTAATATGTGTTATAATGTAAAAAACACATTATAAAAGATAAAAATAAAACAAATTGTTGACGTTGACAATATGAACGTTTGTTTCTTGTTCTCGTTGATTAGTAATTCCATAAATTCAGTAAGAATGAAATCGATAAGTTAATTTTCAGCAGCGGATTGATTATTGTAAATCAATATAGAACTACTATTAACCACGGAAGTGTTTTTTAGAATATCCATTATATTCAATAAAAGAATCGAAATAATTGGTTGACTGATCTCGGATAACATAAAATACCTGGAAATACATGAAAATAAGGTCGAAATAAAAAACTATTTAAAGAAATTTAGTTCGAAGATGTTATACTCGTAATTATAGTTCGAACTAGCGCTCATTTTAATTAATTTCAACAAAAGCCCACCGTTGAGCATAGGTCTCTCGTAGAGACAGTCGAGATGTTCTCCTGTATGATGGAGGAGCTTTACATACACAAACTGCACACAGACAAACCATCTAGACATGGAACACCCATTTGTAGCTCATACAAACTCTTGTTCCATGCTACTTTCGAACCCGCGGCCCTCAGTACCGCAAGCTCGGCTACCACGCTATCGAGTTATGTAGTTAGACTTGTATGGTTAGAGCTGCAATCATGATTCTTGTACTTTATCCAGAATTTGCAGCAGGAAATAGGTCTCCAACACATTAACATAACCCGTAAGTATCGTAAAAACACGTGTGGAGTATGCAGTATGTAAACAGTTCACATGCAGTAGAAATAACACCTTCAGAAAATTGCGAGTTAAAATTGCTTTGTAATAAGCGCCAACTTCATTCGATATGTAAAGTTATTTTATCAAACGAAAATTGATTGACTCCTACGATGGTACGTAAAATAGACGCTAGATGGCCTAAAGTTATGGGAATTGTGGATAGTAATGAATATGAAAATATGTTTTTTTTAAGTGTTAAAAGTTATATTCACAAAGAGGAAACCGAGAGATAATAGGAAACATTATATACTATACTGTCTTCTATCTCATTCTCTCGCAGGCTAAATCTTAAAGGAGTATATTTTGGCTGTTTTTAGTGTCTCTTTTTCATTTCATCGAGTTTCAAATTATAAAGTTCTCACTTTAATAATTCATAAACTTACGCATCTGACAATTTGTGCCAGCGTATCCTAAGGGACAGTCACACGAGTAGTTCATTCTGGAGTTTCTGTCGAACTTGCAGGTTCCACCATTGCGGCAAGGCTGGGCCGCACAAGGGTCACTAGAGGGCTGCCTGTACGAAGTGCGGGTCTCGCAATATGTTCCAGTGAAACCGGAGGGACAAGTGCAAGCGGTCGCGTCAAGGGAGGTACATCTGCCTCCGTTGCGGCAAAGACTGCAAACGCTGTCGATCTGCAAATGAAAGAGTAAAGATTAAAGTAAATTTACAGCCTATAAACGTCCCACAGCTGATCACAGAGGCTTGAAGTTAACTTAAGACATCGCTGAGAAGACTAATCCATTTATTGGATGATTATTAAAAACAAACGTACGTATTATTTAATTTTATAATAAGAAAAGACAATAATTTGTACATATTGTCAGCATTTTTTGCAATAACCAGCCAAATTTTCATAGAAGCTTTGACAATTTAAAAAATCTCTAGCATTCTGTCCTGTTTATCTTTTAAATTCAAAATGTGTAGTAATGCATTATTTTAACTGATTTTACTGCGCAGGCACACATTCGTAAAGCTCGACCGGTAGGCAAAAATGTTGTTACCCATAAATCACATTCAATTTGGTATAATTTCAAATTAAAGTAGAAGCCTTATTTAGTCGTAATTTCAAAAACTGCAATAACAGTATATCATTATTTACACATTTGAAGTTTAAAATTTGTACTACTCTTTAAAAATAATCATATTTATTAATTATAGGGAATTAAACCAAACGCGTGGAATTTAATTTATATTTGTTGATCGTACTGACACGTTAATGTTGAGAACGGTAAGCGTCATAAACGTTTAGAGGTACGAGCATATTCCGCTAGGTTCCAAAGAAAACTTTGGCTGATTATATGGGGGACATATCATACTTCATTACTTAGTAACGACACAAACATGAATTATTTTCTTACATCATCAGAGTGATGTAAGAAAATAATTCTTACAATTCTTCTTCGTTTACTTTCTATACATACTGATCAATTAGCTAGCTGAAATCGCAATGCGCCGACAAAATATCTCAAAGAACCGACAACTGATGGGGAAAAAAGGTTTTTGAGTGCCTCGTAGCGGGAAGTGTAGGTCGACACCCGCTAGTTGATTGAATATTTTTTATTATAGGTATATCTCGTAGCCCTCCCCCTACTTGATGGAGTGACGTCCTGATGAAACATGCAGGAGGTTCAATACCTGTAATGATAGCGATCGAAAATTGTATAAATTATCAAGTTAATCTTACATAGAATAAAACTATCCGTAATCTGTAAATCGGACGAAAAATTAATATTCAAAAACTGGAGGTAGAAGGACTAACTATGACATCGGGACGTCAAACATCTCAGTCCCCCCCCCCCGTGACCATGGGTGCTGTAAAGCAACTGAAATGTCGGGAATTAAAAATAAGTAAAAGTAGTGAAATAAACGCGATAAAATCCGTAAATTTAGTTTTATTCAATGTGTAGTGTTCGCGTAAATTTAAGAAATCATTAAGTTAATCTTACCTCAGGGATGTCGCCGCGGTCGTAATTGGCGCATTCTTGAACGTTTGCAGACTGGATAGAAGAGTTCACGATGTCAACTTGATCTCCGTGGAGACGTACCTGTGGACAAAAGCGTCAAAATCAAATTAACAAATGATTCGAATGACGCCATTTTATTTTGAAAATAAAACTGTTTGAACAAGGAAACCTCTAAGTACTAGAGCTACAAACGTTAAGAACTAAATACATGGAATGGTGAAGAATTTATGTTTTGGAAGAGGAAGAAAGATGCTGTGTTATGTAAATACTCAAATACGCTATTCTCAGTGATGGATTTAAAATAAAGCACCCTAGGCAGTGGACCTATTGTATCACCACATCACCACAGACAGGGCATCGGTTGCTAAGCTTCTGATAAAAATTATGTTATATTAAGAAAATATGCATGTTACAAGTCAATCAAAATATAAATGAGTCATAAAAATAAAATATAAAGGATTTAATTTCTTGTGAAACATAATTCAAAATGATATTTTGTTTTGAAAATTCAGCGATCCATAAAATAACATATAATATCAATACTCGCAATGTTTTTTTTTCTCATAATTCATATTGCACGTATTTTTATTTATAATTGATAAAATGATTTGCTGCCTAAAATCAATTTCAACACTATTATCACAGGTTTCACTAAGAACAAGTGGTACAATTAGAAAAATTTGTACAACCGACTCCCCAGTGTATATCGTGGTATTGTGAACACATATGCGTACCCCTTTAAAAGGTATGGCATGATGTTATCTAGTGTGATTGCGTAAACAATGGATAGATATTTGATAGCAGGAATCGCAGTTGATTTGCTGGTATTAATTGTATGAGTTCATTTGTGGCTCCGAATCTCATCATCAAATTTTCACGAAATTTAAATAGGTCAATCTAGGCATGAACCTCTTTCGAATAAAAAATAATCTTGCAAATCTATCAATATACGACGGTGTTATGCCCGAAGATACATAAAATAATATATAATCATATGAATTGAGAACATCCTACTTTTTTTTAAGTCGGTTAAAAGGTTAAGGAAACAGCATTTCCACTAAGGTACGGCTTAAATTTGTAACTATTTTACTTTAAATAAAAAATCTACATAGTGACAAACTATGGCACCATTTGCTATAAAAACCTAGGGCACCAAATAGTTAAATCCGTCGCTGTTCGTTTTTATCGTATTATTTATGTGGAAAATATTGAGATAATATGGTGTTAACTAAATTAAATAATAATCGAATTTGAATTTTAAATACATACTTCTTTGATGCATCCGCTAAATCCACCCGTGACTCCGGTACTATTGTCCAGGATCACGGACTCATCCACGCCTCCAACGAACATCGGTGTATCGAGGATCACCTCCTGAGAACAAAGCGTGTATACAGATAAATCATTCCTGCTAGTCTCCTTGTGGAGATTTAACTTAAATTATAAATAAACAGCAACATCAAACCAAATGCTCAGCAATTGACTTTTATCGGCTTTAATGAATGGATGATCAAACAAATCTCATCACACCCCACCATTCACTGCTTTTACCACTTATTGAAAGTGTAGAATTCTTTTTTGTAAAACTAACAAACGAATTTTCAAGTCACCTGATGGCAATTGTCTACTGCAAAACATCTAACAAAGAAGAATACAGTTGCGTTGCCTTTGAGAACTAAGATTGTACGTGGTAGCGCCACGCTATATTAGTTGTAGCACGAATGGGTCGGCTCGACCGGGGCAGGACCACGCTTTCACAGAATACCAGCGTAAAATAGCAGCTTAATGCTGCTGTGTTTCGTATGGTGAGTGTAGAAAACCGGGGACACATGTTACTGGAAACGAGGCATCCTATCTTAGTCCTCACGGGTGACAACGCATCCGAATTTTACCATCAGGTGGACTGTGTGTTCGTTTATCACCCTTACTCTATAAGAAAATGGAATACCTCACAGCCTATAATTAACTGGTTATCTATATACTTTAGACCGGAACACAGCATTGCAAGCACTGGTGTTACATATCCAGACTGATTCCTGGACAGCAAAAGCTCTACCACCAAGTAAAAAGGTAGGAAACCCTCATAACTAAAACAATATTTCAAGATTCATATCCGACAGTTTCACCTCCATTAGCCTCTTAAAAATGAGGTTTTTTTGCGTTAGTTTGGATTACAGCACCACCGTCTAGTTATGTAGAAAGTGTTTTCATCTATTTGGCTTTATTACATATTACGTTGCATGTCCTGATTTGAATTTCCAGTCAGAGCCAACAATTGGGCAAAAGGTTATGTTGTTAATGTCACCCACAGTATGCCAGACGTTATCTCATAAACGGAAAGTCGAATTTTCATCCTTTTTTTAATTGGATAAGGGTGTCAAACGAGCACGCAGTCCACCTGATGGTAAGTGGTTGCTGCGGCCCATAGACATCTACATCTATCCTCGGTTACAAATTAAAATGCAGATGCGCTGTCACCCGTGAGAACTAAGACGGAATGCTTCGTTTCCAGTAAAAGGGGTCCCCGGTTCTCTGCACTCAATACGCGAAACACAACAGTATTGAGCTGCTATTTAACGCTGGTATTCTGTGAGAGCGTTGTCCTTCCCCGGTCGAGCCGACCCATTCGTGCTATAACTATACTACTAATATAACCGCAGCATGGCTCTAACACTTAGGAAATGTACAATCCTGCACTGGATTCTTTGCTAAAGATACAACGTAATATTTTTAACCGTACCGTCTTATACGACGTAAGTTTCTGCTCGTAGCTGTCGATCATGTTTATCTTCATAGAAACATCGGCGCCCACGCGTGCGATATGTATGTCCGTCCATTCGTTTGCGGGCAGGGTCTTGTTGCTGGTCAGCACCACTGGGTTTCCTGTAATGGAAATTTAAAAAAATACAGCCCCAATTTAACTACAAATTCGTTGTTGGTGTCTGTAATACTGGCACTGTAACACAAAGAGGGGAAATCCCCGTCAACTATCAATTTGACAGATGTCAGGGTTGGGTTGCTTTATCAAGCAATAAATGCAAGATTTATCAAGTAAACAATCCGGTAAAAAGTTAGTGTTTTAAATATTTCTATATATTACTATTTGGTAACTGGCACGTGGCAGCCGCTAAGAAATATTTGTGGAGATATCGTTTTAAATTTGGAAGGTATTTTGTTTATTATGAAATGATAATACATTCATTAAAATTGAATAATATATAACTTTCAAATAAATGTGTCGGTACGATAATACAACTCAGCTTTAAATGCAATAAGCTGAGCTGTATTATCGTACCGACACAGCTTTAAACGCCACCTATTGTAAGTTTATTGTACTATACCTATAACCTACTCACAAGTGTGAGCCAAAAGTTTACAAAGTTCTACCACCATCCGATGAACGGTACGGCTGCGCATAAAATACGAACAAACATAAATTAATTTTTATATGTTAGATAATCTAAAGATATAATTAAAATTGGCATGTCAGTCTGTAATATCGAACAGCCTTCTATAGAGCAGAGGAGGTTATTTGATCCCACTAAGACATGAAATCATTTTTAAAAAAAAAACTGTTTATATGTCCGGGCTAATCCGATTGTAACGAAACATCACAACCCAGAAAGAGAAGAATACAAGAGTGATCTACGCAATTTTATACGAAAACTTGGTTATTTTTTTGAAAAAATAATATCAAAATATATTCATATATTTTTATTTTATTTTTTTTGGACATAATTTCAAAGATTTTTTATTTAAAACTTACCATCGCCAAGATCAAAGCGGAATTCCAGTTTGCCGTTATGGACGGTCAGGGCCGTGAAGCCTCCACCTCGGGCCTTGCAGTACATTATGATGCCATCGGTGACTGGAGAAGTCGCTTTAACCTTCATGGACATGCGGAAATACCGTCGAGATGTCCTTGGCAGTTTGATTGCCAGGTAGGCACTGCCAGTGAACGCTGGGTACTCAATCGTTTGTTTCTGTTCGCAACTGTGGAAGAAAATGGCGTATTACCGTTAAAAAGCTTTTTAAAATTACCGCTAAACATTGTTCCACACTAAAAGACTAAACTAAATTATTAATAGACTCACAATTGCATTTAAAGCTGAGCTGTATTAATTAACAATAAGGCTCAATTTTGTTTGCGTCATTTATTAAATTTCGCATTTAAAATATTTTGAAGTCCTTAATATATTCAATTTTTATCTGGCAAACTCTCCCTGTAACGAGGGATCCAGATCTTTATGTATCGGACGAGTCTTTCTTCTCTTTTATTTTAAAATAGCCAATCACGCGAAAATTATTGAAATGGTGCACAATTGTCGGTACACTTTCTTGCGAATATGTGAGTTTGGTGACAGTGGTTGTAGTACAAATTATGCATTTGCTATTTTCTCTTGTATTTTTTTATATTCCGTGGCTACACCGATAGTAATGAAACTTCAGGAGCAGATAGAGAATAACGCCAAGCGTGATCTACGCTATATTTTAACCGACAAACGCAGAGAATTATTTTTTCGGGAAAAAATATCCTAAATCTATAATAATAATAATAACGTCCTCCAGACCAAATTACGGCCACGGCGGCCTGCCTCAACGGAGGCTAGTCATCGGCGCGGGACGGGATTATAGTGCCCAAGTGTATGCGCAAGCACAGGTGCACTCTCTATTCCCTCACTCTCATAATCAACGACACGACCGGAGAGAGATCAGGCTGCAGGACCAGCGGCTTTACGTGCTTTCCGAGGCACGGGGCGTGAGACACTGTCAACTTCCTGACTCCGGGCAGCTATTGAGAATTTCCTGACAGAAAAACTTAATAATTGATTTTAGGCTCGACCCGGGATTCGAACCCAGGACCTCATGATCAGCAGTCGCACTACTACAACCACTAAACCAACAAGGCAGTCCTTGAATCTGAATAAGGCCTCAATAAATAGATTCTACCCCGGCGAAGCAAGGGCGTTAGTTAAAAGAATTAAAAGTTGAAATACTCACTTTCTGCCAGTGTAAGTGACCGGACAAGCGCACTTGTATCCGTCAACCGTATCCGTACATTTCCCGGGCCCGCAGATTCCCGGACGGCAAGCCTCTCCGGTTCTGTCGCAGTTGAGTCCGGCGTAACCGGCGGCACATAGGCACAGGTATCCTCTCTCGTTACGAGCCTCCTGATATACGAACAATATGCAGAGTTTTATTTAAGATCATACATTATAGATTTTAATATTTAAGTGGAATTAATAATAAAATTCCAAATTTTCTTATTCACTGCTAGCTATATGAGGATATCTAAATTCACTCAGTGAATAGTAAGGTAGGTAAGGCGAATATATTAAGGGCTCGGAGAAACGAAGATATCCGCTAACGGACAAGCGACATTGTTCACTGGATCAGTAAGCAAAAGTAGCAAAGGACCGGCCCATATAAGTGGAGGAACCATCAATCGGCGGGGAAGACAGATTGTCAGTGGCAGTCTTATAATGTTAAGCTAAGTGTAGGACAACTACAGCACTAGATGGAGTGATGAATAGATGGAACGCACAAGTATTCGAAGGCTGATTGCAGGTGGCTAAGGACCTTCCTTTGCGGTATTACTTGTGGGAGGTCTATGGTCAGCTGTAGACTTACGATAGGCAGTAAAGATGCTGAAGTAAAATAAACATTGATCGTAGCAAAAAATAACTTATAATATTACTTTGCATACTTTTATAGCAACAACAGACTAAATAAAATTTTATTTAACGAGTTCACATGTTAACTATAAGCGAATGCTTCACTACAATCCCACATGGTGATGTGGTGATGAAGCCCCAGATGGTAAATCGTCTTAGAGTCACAAAAACCTATTAACCTTGGAGACATCTAGACTGTAAGGAAGGAAAGACAGATGTCAGTAAATGATACTTCTTTGCCACACGAATTACGAATGACGGGCAAACCTTATAGTTTGAATGCGTGTAAAATCGATAACAAACGTTGAAAACTCGCTGATTGCCTGGTTGCCGAATGGTGAGGACGGGAGGGAAAAATTATTGCATGTAATTTCTGCGCACACTCTCTAAAACTCTCTAAATAGAACACCAAAATCCCGGCTACTCTGCGCCTTCACTTTTTTTATAAAACTGAAATAACAAAGCAACTTATAGACCACCTAATGGTAAGTGGCTATTACAGTCTATGAACATAGGCAGACAAATTCAACCAAAGAAGGCTACAGATGCGTTATAATCTCTCAGGCCGAAAATGGAATGCCTCCTACGCTGGCTCTCTATACTTTTTTTTTATTAAATGGCTTTGCGGCTCTGAGTTCTAGCTCTTTTGAGCCTATCATTTCTTTCGGAATCTTCATTTTTATATTTTTTTTCTTCACAATATGCTGATGCATCACATTGCGAAGGCCTTGGGAGATTTTGACGACAACTCAACCCAGCGGACAGTTGATGACGACAGCCACTCAAGTTCATAAGGCGCCCAAGCGATCAAAATAATTTGAGGTTTACATCGACATCAAAGCACTTGTTTCGTCGTTTTGTCTAATAGTTCATAGGCGCAGAATCACATCAATCATCAATCACAAAATCACATCACTTTTACGAATTAAAATCCATTTCAAACCATTATTCAAGCGACAAAACAGGAGCGACAATCCGTCTACGGCCAAGTTCCCGCCAAAACTCTGCTTTCTATACTCTGTAGACTAGAACACAGCAGTGCTAGTACTGCTATTTGCTGGCTCTAATAGGTAATAATGTGTGCCTACCAAGAAAAGCTTTTAGGGAAAAAGGACCATCTAGTAATCGTACATAGTTTTATGCGTGGTAGAGCTAAGCTGCAGCTATATTACAGTTGTAGCACGAATTGGTCGGCTCGACCGGGAAAGTACCACGCCCTCACATAATACCAGCATAAAATAGCAGCTTAATGCTGCTGTGTTTCGTATGGTGAGTATAGAGAACCGGATACCCTTTGTATTGGAAATGAGGCATTCCTTCTGAATCATCATGCGTTACAACGCATCTGCATTTAAATTCGTAATCGAGGATAAACGTAGATGTCTATGGGCCATAGTAACCACTTACCATCAAGTGGACTGTGTGCTCGTTTGTCACCTAATCCTATAAAAAAACTCACAGCAATTCTTTCGTAACAAACTTCAGTACTAATTATAATACTAGATGGCAAATATAGAAATAAAGCCGACCTGGCAAACTCCGTCGTGTAGACATAAGTTGGGAGTGCACGAGTCGCACTCAATTATGCCGTATCTGTCGATGCTGTCAACCATTATGTTCTTTTCTTCTCTGCCGAGGATCAGCATGCTCACGCAACCGATGAAGCTGGATTTAACAAATTTTTTGCACATACACAAATATATTTTTTTAACTACGTAAACAATTAGCATTGGCAAAACTCAACACCATTGATGAGGATCCACTTTTTTATATAATAAACTATTATTGGAGTGTCTGTTAGTGAATGTGTAACTTTTCAACGAATTGACCGATTGATGTCGTATTTACATAATATATATGTTTTGTGGAGTCAATGGGTTCATAGGTATACTAGGAGTAGGATTTTATAGAAGGTGCTGTATCATGTTATTAACAAATGTACACATGGAGAAAAATGGCTAACATTCCCTATATATGTTGGTTAATTCTAAATGAAAGCACTTCCTGAACCAGAAAGGGGTCGCTGCGGTCGAGTTGTTAATAAATTTTATATCAACAATGTAGAAGTCACCAGTAAATTCTATTAATTAACAAATTTTATATAAATATACATGATTACCCTGTTGTAGCTATGTAAGAATATTCATATTCTTACATATATAATAGCTATGTAAGATTATTCAAATATCATCCCGTGGGAGTCATAAGGGGCGACAGAGGGAAACAAATCGGGAGATGGGCAGCAGCATCTTTCCAATAATGACTAAAAATAAAAACTGTGGTTGCCACGCTGCTTGCCAAGCGTGGCAGTTATGGCAAATACCCTCCCTAAAGCAGCCTGTGGGGGAGGCCTATGTTCAGCAACGGACTTTATTGGCTGTACCGTTACAGTGGTATAATTAAATTAATTTTCCACTTAAAGTAATAAAAGTCGTTATAATTATTATAGTTTATTAAATGTAACAGAAAAGGTAACTTAATAATGTAAAAAGGCTGGTTCCACGCCCGAAAATAATGAATTCGCTAACATTGCGATTTAAATAGCTAATTTATCGGGTGAAATAAACTATTTCGTAGAGAAGTGAAATCCACTAACATTTTACTGTACCAGACTACAACAATTGCTCCTTAACTCTAAATGTTTTTGGTGTTCATAATTTCTCTTCGTTATCTGTCTGTGACTAAGCATTACCCATAATAAAATAAGAATAAAATGAAAAATAAAAAACAAACTAAAAAAGTGTAACTTACCCAGAAGCGCCGGCCAGCGAGCTAGGAAGTCGGTTCAAGTCGGGAACACCTCCAATGTACAAGGGTTGTTTCAGATCGAGGACATCCCATTGCATAGACGACTCGGTCATGAACGGACCCTTGTTGTCAACGTCCATTGTTACTGTAACAATAATAAAAAGTTCAGATAATTGGACCCTAATGTTACTTATAGTAACTTTTTTTTTAGATCTTACTAATAATCATTGAATATGAAATATTGTCTATACCTGTCTCTTTCTATTATTATTTAGTAAAGAGAGAGAGAGAGAGAGATAGGTACATCTTTAAGCATTTCTTAAAGGAAAATCTATATTTAGAAGGTCGTAGATTTCTAAACACATAGCACAGCCTCAAAAATATAATCATACGAAACATATTTATTAATTCTCCATTTTGATAATTTCTTCTTTGAAGCTGCACGTATTGCAGGGTGTAGTGCAGCTTGTATTGATAATATTTTTACAGATGTTGTACCAATACTAATAGCTTACCTTTAGAGTTGGTCCTGCTGAGTCTGATAGTATGCCAAGCGTTAAGTTGTAAGGGACGGTCGCCCGATACTGAAAGTGGGCCGCTTCCGGTGTCAAACGAGAATGTTGGAACGCCATCTATGAGCTGAAGCGCCAAGTAGTCTCCTGTGCGATCGTCGTTTTGACCGTTGTACAGAATCAAGCCGTTGGGATCTATAAAAGGAAAACCATTTTGTTTTAGCTACAAGTTGAGAAAGGGAAATGAAAATAGAAACACGACTCCAAATATTTGTCTATTAAGTTTGATCACCTCTTATGTATGGCGAACTTCATACGATCATTTCCAAAATCGATTGTTATAACAACATACATGTGTCGTAATAGAATTTTCTTTAACTAGCAATTCCCCGCGACTTTAACACGCGATATATAACGAAATATTTGTACGGTACGGACTGTAACATTATTGAAAATATTCTATCGCCTATGTCCATCAGCAATAACGTAGGATTCTAATGGTATTTTTTTTTCAAATCAGTCCAGTAGTTTCTTCTTTATAATATTATTAGTGTAAATGAGTTAAAACCAAGAACTTATAAGTGATACAAAGACCTTAAGATATAAAATTACCGTTACCGTTATAGCTTATTAAAGTCCAGTGTTAAATATTGGCTTCTCGCATATATCGTTTCACAGGGAGGATATTTGTCACAGTTGCAGCTCTTGGTAAACCGCAATTTTTATTTTAGACGCTTTTAGGAAGACGGTTTCTTCTGTCTTCTTTCACGACACCCACGGGATGATACGGAGTAGTGGATATTTTTACACCACCAATACAGATTAAATACTAATGGTCGAATTCTCAAACGCTACTCAATTTTAAGAAGTGAAATCTCGTGGTGTCGCCAGTGGCGAAGCTTCCAATAAAGCCGAAAAGCCGGGCTTGCCCTATTAAACCTGAATCAATCAATAATATCAATTCTAATAAAATAACTCGTAAAATGTTTCAAGCTATTTCCCGCGCACTCCACTGTTCGAAACAATGTCGACCGATGACCTCGTATTGCCTTAGCGATACTGCTGCTGTCATAAAAAATGAATTTTAATTACTTAATAGAGCTAATAGTTGTCTCCCTCGCTCGCGTGGGCTTTTTTACGGGGCTTTCGAGAAGACGATCGCTCTCTTTCTAACCTATGGCAAAATATTCTATAATGAAACATAACTACGATTGTTTGTATATATAGCAATTAGTATAGAGATTTAAAGCCAGGCTTTTGGAAATGAATTTGTTAAAAGCGGAGGCGCGCGGGCAATACGTTTGCAAGTTCATTTCACGTTTCAATGTTTATTTACTCTGTGTGTTTATCTTACGCGATTTAATATTACGAGTTCAAAATTTATGCTTTTGTAAAGATTTTTAATGAAAATGGAGGATAATAGTGTTCCTTGTGATGAATTGAAGTGTGTTAAAGTGATAATCGGAGAGGAAATCTTTAAACTTTGTTGAGATAATACACAAGGTTAAGAGTGTATTTCAGACTTATCAATTATCGCAATTAAAAACAGTTATTGGTACAATTAAAATGTTCACCAACATTTTACGTGGACGTAATTAAATCTTTCTATAGGAAAGCGAGACGATTCCACTTATCTTATCTTATCTCTTATCCATTAGAATGTAAATAATTTTTTTTTTTAATTTTGTACATAGTTTGTTTGTACTTTGTTCGTGTTTTACTTTTGTTCATGCATTGTATTGGATGTAAATATTTTTTTCTTTCGCTTAAACAAACCCAAACGGCTTTCTTCAAAGCTACCGAAGCTATGCAATTGCTGATATGTAATACAATCTATCTAGCAGTGGTATGCCTTCTGTGTGCTTTGTTAAACACGTCCTTGACAGCACTGAATATGAAACTGAAGCGTGGAGACAGATCAAGATTGGTGTATTTTTATAAAACTGCTAAAATCAACAGTCTATATTTTTATCAATTTATATCTTGGGCTTGCCCTACACTTCAACTCGAAGTGACAGCGACACCCACTGGGTGTCGCTGTCACTTCGACTTGAAGTGATAAAGACACCACGAGAATTAACTGCATCTCAAAATTGAATAAAACTAATAAATAAATGATAAAGTTGTGAGTAAACAATTACCGTTAGGTTTGAACGATATCTCGATATCGAACTGCATGTAGGCGTCCTTGAGTGTTGGCAACGAGATCCAGCCGTCGCCGTTGAACTTGGGAACTACGCCGGTAACCCGCAAGATGGCGCGCGTTTCTATCGCAGCGCGGCTGTTGCTTATCCTGCAGATGTACGTTCCAGCGTCTGATTCAGTTACGCTGTCCAGATTCAGTACCGGCTGCAAGAAATTAATTTATAAAATTAGCACTTATTTATTTTTCAAATCCATTATCCATCCATCACAGCTTGTAAAAGGCCACTAACATAGATTGACTCATAAGGGCTATTTGCCATAGTTGGCACGCTTGGCAGGTGCCTTGACAACAAAAGTTTTTCATAATTTTGGGTTGTTATCAGGAAGGCCCTGCTGCCCATCTCTTGTTACAGTTTCTCTCTGTCGCTTCAATATAATATACTTTTAAATACAGTCTATTTTTTAAATATCTCATTTTTATTTAGGTACATAAAATATAATTTTTATTAAAATCAAAGAGTGAAAACTTAACTATCATGCAGTCCTAATCCCCGCGGTAGAGTCAAAATCGCAGCGCTGCGTTATTTGCAACACGCAACACTTTAGCACGATGTAGTTTAAACTAGAGGGAAGAGTTTCATTTCTGTTCTGATCTTCAATCAACTATTTAAGTATTCTTAACTAAAGGTACTGATAGCAAACTTAAAAAGAAAACTACCATACATTACATTACATTATATTAGTACTTACTAAGTAGCAACAAACGTCTGAGAGGACATCAATTTAAACTTTGCCATAGGACTGCCAAGCGGAATCCTATGAAGAACTTTATAACAAATCGTATTGTCACCACAAACGTTTTAAACGCCTTGACCAAGTAGTTCCACGTAATAGACACGACAATATCCTTTTATGTCATCAATCCGCTAAGACAGCACTAATGCGCAAAAGTATATACTGCATGGCTCCAGTCATATATGATAAAATACCAAAAAGTTAGAAAGAATTGCCGCTATCGATATTTAAAAAAGGTTTCGTAGCTTCTTGACAGTCAAAGCATACTATAGCATAACAGAATTCTTGACTGAAAAAAATTTTTCATTTTAAGATTATGTTTGTTTTTGTGTTATTATTTTATTTTGTTATAGCTGTTTAGGTGATTAGTTTATATTTCTGTATATTTTGCATGCCTACTGGTAAAATATGGCTGAACTCACTACCTATATTTCCATGTACTGTACCCATATTTGCAAAATAAAATATCTTTATCTTTAACACCAAGTGTAATAAGCTACCACAAAATGTGATTGATGCTCCTACATTGAATGCCTTCAAGAACAGATTGGATAAAATCTCCAAACACTAAGACGCACACGCATCAGCTTTTTTAGCTGCTAGTGTGTTTATGTATAAATAATAATAATAATACATAGTCTCAACAAAATCACTTTATGTCCTCCAGACCGAATTATAACTCTCGCAACCCGCCTCAACTAACACTACCCGACTGCGCAGGACAGGATTATAGTGCCCAAGCGTATACGCAAGCACAAGTGCACTCTATTCCATCACTCTCGACGTCTGATGGGACGGTAAACCGACATAACTTTAGAGAGATCAGAAGCAGGTCCAATAGCTTTACGTGCTTTCTAAGGCACGGGGGTGAAACATCACCAACTTCCAGACCTCGAGCTTCTATTTACAATTTCTAGACAGAAAATTCCAAGAACTGTTTTTTTAGCCCGATCCAAGATTCGAAAAAGAACCTCATGATCAGTAGCCGCATTAACGACCACTAGACTAACGAGTCAGTCACAAACACTTTAAGCTTACTTAAAGTAGTTATTGAGAATATTAGTAATGTTAATAGTGTCACTAATATCCTTTTTAATCTTTAAATATAAAAATCTATTGTTAAACGTTAGTCTCGCAAAAACTCAAAAATGGCTCGACCGACTTTGATGATTTTTTTGGACTCGGTGGATGGCTACGTGGTCAAGATTCAGAAATCACCCGTGCAAAGCCTTGGATTGCTAGGAAAGTTACAGCCTATATACGTCCCACTGCTGGGCACAGGCCTCCCCTCATTTCTGAGAGGGTTTTAGGGCAAGGAAGTGTCCGCCGCGCTGCCCCAATGCGTGTTGGCGAACTTCACATGTCTTGGAAATATTTTTTTCCCTTATTCCTCAGACATGCAGGTTTCCTCACGATGTTTTCTTTCATCGCCGAGCACGTGGTAAATCAGCACTTAAAAATTGCAATTAACAATTTCATTGGTGCCGGCGGGGATCGAACCCGGGTTACTCGCGTTCTGTTATATTTACAACGAACGTTAACCATCTGAGCTACCACGGCTCTGCTGGATTGCTAGTAAAATAATAAATTCAATTTCTGCCTATTAGAATTGGTAATTGTATTCACTAAATTAATTAGTTTATTCTCATTACTATACATTAAGTTAGAGCTATATATACGTCCAAATTTTGGGCACAGGTCAGGTTTATTTTTTTGGTACAGGTTTATAAGGCTATAGAGTGTTCACCGCGATCTCTCATTGCGTGGTCCACCGCGATGTCCCAGGTTTTCTCAGCAATTACTAATACGTTGTACCTTATACGTGGTAGAGCCACGCCTCAGCTATATTATGGTTGTACGAATGGGTCGCGCGCTCACAAAATACCAGCGTAAAAACGTAAAATAGCAGCTTAATATTGTCGTGTTTCGTAATATATATAATATAATATAGTGAGAACAAGAGACCCTGTTTACTGGAAGCAAGGCATTCCACCTTAGTTCTTAGTAGTGAGAACGCATCTGCATTTTAATTCTTAATTAAGGACGATTACAAGTTTACACCAAATTAATGATTTCGATAATTAACTCACGTCGTTGGGCCTAACATCGGGAGGCAGCTGGGAGTATTCCTTGCTCCATTCAATAGAGACTGGCTGCTCCAGGTTGTGGTTGCAAGGGAGACTCACGGAGTCGTGCAGGCGGGCAGTGTAAGCTTGGGGACGGTTATCGATGGGGTAAGCCATGTTGTTCGAGCCTGAAACAAGATACAAATAAGTAGGAACAAATAAAAAAATATTAGTAAAGTATAGTAAAGTAAATTTACAGCCTATATACGTCCAACTGCTAGGCACAGGCCTCCCCTCATTTCTGAGTCGGTTTTAGGGTAAGGAAGTGTCCGCCGCGCTGCCCCAATGCGTGTTGGCGAACTTCACATGTCTTCGAAATATTTTTTTCGTATTCCATGCATGTCTGAATGCAGGTTTTCTCACGATGTTTTCCTTCACCGCCGAGCACGTGGTAAATCAGCACTTAAAATTGCAATTAACAATTTCATTGGTGCCAGCGGGGCTCGAACCCGGGTTACTCGCGTTCAGTTATAAACAAATATTGTTATGTTCATATTTAAAATTTATCGGATGTATATATAATCTGTTCTTATATAACCGTTACCGTTCAGCCTATCAAAAGAACAATGCTGAACATAGGCCTCCCCCATAAATTGCCTCATAGGGGGATATTTGCTACGGCTGCCACACTTAGCAGGCACGTGTGTTGGCAAACTAAGTTTTATTTTATTTTTTCGTTATAATTTTTACGTGGTAGAGTCATGCTGCAGTTATATTAGTAGTATAGTTGTAGCACGAATGGGTCGATTCGACCGGGGAAGGACCACGCTCCTCACAGAATACCAGCGTGAAATAGTAGCTTAATGCTGCTGTGTTTCGTATGGTGAGTGTAGAGAACCGGAGACCCTTTTTACTGGGAACGAGGCATTCCGTCTTAGTCCACATGGGTGACAACGCATCTGCATTTTGATTCGTAATCGAGGACAGATGTAGATGTCTATGGGCCGCAGCAACCACTTACCATCAGGTGGACTGTGAACTCGTTTGTCACTCTATCCTATACAAAAGAAACTTAAGTGAATGACAATAACAAACCAGTTTCTGGGAGTATTAATTGTAAGTAATAACTTTTAATCAATTTATAACTATTTTAATTCAATGCGAGCGTTTTTGTTCCTTTTGCGAAAAATCTTTACCCTTCATTTTGGGCCCCCATTATTACCTCAAAGCATATATATCCAGCAGTAGACCTTTGATAGACTGTAACGGTAGCGTCAACAAGGACAAACGCATCACCTGATGGGCCACCACACTGCCACCCATGAATCTACATTTATCCTTATTTGTTAAATGTTTACGAGACCCGCTGGAAATTTTGTTAATTAAAGCTTTCACAAGTGTAAATTTTACTAAATTATTATAAATTACCAGGTGCCACAACTAGGTTGAAGTCGTCGTAGAATGTTCTTCCGTAAGGATCGCGTCCAGTACACCTGTACAATCCAGCGTCTGATTCCTCGACACCTTGCAACACCAGCAGTGCGCCGTCACCATACGTCTAAAATAAACAATTATATGTTTCAAATCTTGAAGAATAATGCGAGGTTGGTACTTAATGCTGGCACTATATAAAGTTAGATATAAAGTTATTATAAATGTAAATACCCAAAAAAAGAGGTTTATTAAAACGGTTTATTCGGAAGCCTCATTTTAAATTTTGAAGTTCAGATTTTAATATATTTTTAGGTTTTAAGGTCCCGAGATTCGAATCTCCATAGTACGATGAGTGACTTTAGAACCAATTTAAAGCAGTAAAGTCAGAGTTATTTTTCGGTTATTAACCGAGTAACCGACATAACCTTACGAAAAGTAAGCTGAAATGGCAACGGGACGGCCATAAAGCTAGAAGAACTGATGACCAAAAGGTTCTCGAGCGGCAGCCTCGTACCACCAAGCGAAGTGTAGGGCGGTCCCCACGTGATGGAGTGATGAGCTGGCACTAGATGTAGTAAGTATAGCTAAGAAACGTGCTTTGTGACATTTCTTTAAAGGCCTATGTGATTATTACCACTGTTACTAATGTTGCGATCGCACGCTTGGCACTTGCCGCAAACTCCAAATCTCTAATCGAAATTCCCTTTGATTTGTGACAAAACACTAAAACTCGACGGATCTGCTATAAACTCTTACAAACCTATGCAAACCAAGCCAAACACTATCCGCACGTTTGAATTTGTGACGGCTTGTTGAGTTTTGCTAAGCGTATGGACGCGACATAAGAGATTGTCTGTTTTCCTGAGACGTATTTTACTGTTGCTTGGTTTTTGTATGTCGGGCACGGATTAATTTTTAAATTTCACTGCCTCGTTGGTCTAGTGGTTGTAGCAGTGCGACTGCTGATCATGAGGTCCTGGGTTCGAATCCCGGGTCGGGCCAAAAAATCAATTATTGAGTTTTTCCGTCAAGAAATTCTCAGTAGCTGCCCGGAGTCAGGAAGTTGACGGTGTCTCACCCCCGTGCCTCGGAAAGCACGTAAAGCCGTTAGTCCTGCGCCTGATCTCTCTCCGGTCGTGTCGGTTTACCGTCCCGTCGGATTATGAGAGTGAGGGAATAGAGAGTGCACCTGTGTTTGCGCATACACTTGGGCACTATAATCCTGTCCTGCGCCGATGGCTAGTCTCCGTTGAGGCAGGCCGCCGTGGCCGGAATTCGGTCTGGAAGACATTATTACTATTTGGATTTTGTGTAAAGTATTAGTCAAACATTTTCGCTATTGTAAGATAATTTTTTAACAATATCTTAGTTTTTAGGTGTTCAAAATTGTAGACGATAACGATATACCACATGATACGTGACTTAGTTATACGAGAATGCGATACAAATCACTGCATGGCGGATCTTAGGAACGTCAGGGCGGAATCAAATTGCGTATTTCCAAAGTGGCTGCATTGCCTCTGACACTTCTAAAGTATTAGAACAGATAGAAACAGGCAGTATTTTCAATTTTCCTTTGGATTCGATAAAAATATGAAAAACAATAAAATGTGTCCGTACATGGCATGAATTCCATTTGGGGCTGGATCAATTATCTTCAAATATTAATGCGACTGTTCTCAGGCTAGTAGAACCACTAAATTAATTTAAATTAATTTTTTACGATAGTTATTAAAGAAATTTCTTTCAGTTTACCAAGGAATTTTATTTATTAAATCATAAACTGTCACACTGAGTAATCAACACTTCAAGGGAAGAAACTTAAAAATTTACTACTAGTCTCTCGGCAATAGTCACAACTTATACATACATGTGAACGTAAGTTTGTTAGTAACTTCAATTTTACTTATTTTTTAAATAAGGAAAATTTGTAGATTAAAGGGTCTTTGGTTATATCCAATCGCTAAAGTCGCTAGTCTTTAGCAAACTTATAAATTAAAGCATCCCACTTACCCTTGATTCTACATATTGATTGGTGCCATATCGTTCCCAGGTCACCCTGGTGTCCCTGGATCCGCTCTTACACATAACCTCCACATTCTCCCCAACTCTGTATTGCCTTCTGGGCTGTTCAATAGCGACTAGTGCTGGTGCTTCTTCCCGTGGTCCTACAATATAAACCAACTTTAATCTAGTTGAAATAGAATAATTGAAAATCAAATCCAAAACCACACGAAGAATAATAACGGTAAAACATATTTTTACGATCAATCCTACATAAAGAAGCTCAAACATGCAAGCAATCAACATTAACCCTGTAACGTAGAAACATATACACATGCTAAGCACAGTACTACATATACATATACTTTTAAAGTACTATCATATATCTACAAGATATATATTTATAATATTTATTAACACGAGTTTGATGTGTCCATGTCAGATTCTTTAGTACACTTAAATATAAAGTAAGTAACAAGATAAATGCGTCAGCCTGTTTTGCACCACTTTACATTTAAGGCTTTCGTATATAATATATGTGTACCAACGAATTTGCCAGCGATTACACATATAAGATATACAAACAATTTCAAACTATTGCTCAATTTTGTTAAAATATAAGCATTTATAGCAACATAGTTGGTTCTTGAGTATACAACAAACAACGCGTAAAAACTGTTTACAATACAAAGAACACACACAACAACAATTTTTAAATTTTATTTTGCAACAAGAACGAACATCTAGGCCAAAAGACTGGTATCAGAGACAAGACTCCACGTTTATAAAACATAGTATTATATCACAGTTTAAAGAGAATATAACACTTGTGAAACTAATCCACTTGTGCAAAGCAATGACGGGAGCCTTGCGGGGCAGTGGGCTAAGTTTAAACTATATGTTACTGTCTTTAAACTGTGATTATGTGTTCGTTTAATATTTCCGCAAGATAACAGTAATGCTATACATTACAATTGTTATTACACCAGCACCGACTGAACACGACTCCTAGCACGAACAACAACCCCAAAACCCTTTCCCCCCACCAGAATTACCAGCGGCATTAAGGTAAGTGTCCGTGAGAGTTTCCGGGAAACGATCGTCTTTCATAAGGCAGTTTTTCTCGTCGCTAGAGTCCTGACAATCGCTGAATCCGTCGCATAGCAGCTTTTCGTCTATGCAACCGGTGTCGTCATTACAGCGAAATTGCGTTTTCAAGCATTCATTACCTTTACGTAAGAATAAAAATATTCCATAAAAATGTCAAAAAGTATTCCAAAATACACACTAATTACGCATTAAGATGTAAAAGTAAGCCAACACAGTAATAGAAGTAGAGAGTAGGAAACAGAGAGAATGGATAAAGGCTAAGCATGCCCAAGTTATCCGCTGCCTTAAGCAATGAGGGGGGTGGGGATAGAAACGCGAACACTCGTTTAAGCTCCAACTACGAATTCGTTTGAACTATAACTGACCCTCGATGTGTAGATTGATGTAATTGCTAGTCTGCCTGCCGTATTGATCGTTTATGATGCATATGTATCGTCCGCTGTCCGATTTTTGGGCCAGACGGATGAACAGGGATCCGTCGTTTTTCTGTGTGGTCGATCTTGGCAGCGTCATTCCGTCTTTGGTCCATCGGATGCGAAGGTTTGGTTGGGTGACGTTGCAGCTGAGATGCACGGCGGCGCCAACGTGCGCCGTCTGCTCGTTATCGTGCGACTCCAACATGGCCCCATCACTCTCTTCTAGGAATTTCATTATCACATGCAGTCAACATAAAAGCGTTTAAGATATATCTGTCAAGCGTTTCATTTGAATGGTCGAAACTTACGGCGCGAGCGGGAATGGAAGATAAGTGGATGTTAGATAAAGGCAAAATAAAATACGATTCGCAACAAGAATGAAAAAAAAGAAAGAACGGGACATTCGATATACTCTTCCTCTTCTATCCGCTTGCACAGGCAATAATTGTCAGTTAACTTAACTTTTTATTTGCATTTTATAACGCGGTAAATTATTCTACCTAAAACAAAAAGTTACTCATCGGAAAAATAATAAATCAAAGCATATTTATATTTTCCTTTGAAAAGTTGTACTTTTAATTCTTAATCTTTAATCTCTTTAATTTTTTATTGTCTAACTTTTAATTTAGATTACAATATCGCTAGATAAAAATTCCAATCCATATCGCCCATTCTAGCTCTTGACCGAATGTGTATGCAATGTTTACTCTAATCACAGGTGCCGCTAAGTGCATCCTGTACATGGTGTTATAAGCGTTTTTTGTTGATATTTTGTGCTGTTTCGTATCTAAAATTCAGTGTGTACTGTCTACGTGCAGTTTTTGGTTTAACTTCAAGCATCATTGTATTAAGTGGGATGAGCAGACTTACCGCTGACTATGACCTCGGCAACAGCGGACGCGTTCGCGAACATGTTGCGTGCGAAACACTCGTATTGGCCGGCATCCTCTACTTCTATTTGGTGGAAGATCAGAGTCGAACCTCGGATTTCAACGCGACTGAAAGTATCATTAAGTATCATTTATTATACATTGTAAGTGTGTAAGTGTGACCATTTCTTGCTGTGTAGCAAGTCTTAAGGCAAGTGTTGCAACGAACTTAATGCATTGCGGAAGCCTGGCTTTCTATCGACCCTAGGAAAATATTTCTAACTGCAAATTTGGGTTCAAAATGGTTACGTAATAAATGTCAAATAATGATGTATACTGTAAAGTTAAATACTATTGAACGTGTAAAATAAGATATGTAACAATGTGGTATGCAAGATGATGTGACCAGAATTAAGACAGGAATGCTTCGGTGGTTTAGTCAAGTAGAAAGAATGAACGAGAAAAGAGTGACAAAGCAAATTTATATGGCAGATGTGAACGGCCGAGTCGGCAAGGGACGCCCTAGACGAAAGTGTACCGACCAAATTGGCGATATTTTGAAAATGGGTCACATTAGAAGTACCCTTAACCGACGATCGACATCGGTTATCCATATATATCAATATGGATGTAATGTAGGCGAGAGAGGTGTGTCAGGATCGTGCCAAATGGAAGTCCGTAGTCTCTGCCTACCCCTCTGGGTGACAGGCGTGAGTGTTTATTTATTTATATTTTATTTATTATGAACGTGTAAACTTTTAGTTTTTACTTAAAAATTGTAAACACCTATTGTATATTACGCACTGGAGCGAGGACATGTTATGACATGCAGGAAGTCGATGGATACAAATAACTCGGGACCATTTTGTGTGGTATACCTTGAGGGAGGCCTATGTTTAGCAGTGGACTTGTGAAGGGCTGTAACGATGATGACGATGATGATGATGATACTGTGCACGCAAGATGTGCTGACTTAGTCAATTGTATGACAGATTTTAATAATATTGTTATTTACAGATTTTAATAACAACCATTTAGATCAAAACTAATTTTAATTATTGAACGAAATTAACGGTAATGGTAACGTACTCTGAACGGACGCATAAACAAACCTGGACGGTTGTCTGTTGACAGGTTTCCAAACGATGTCCTGTATATCGTCACCGCTGACCACGCACTCGACGGTTGGCGATTGACCAGGTTGTACGGTTTGAGTAAGAGGTCTCAGGGTTATAGTGGGAGCCGCCATCACTTGTAGGTTGATTGCCGTTGCGTGCTGGACTTCACCGTTATACCGGTTCAATAGAAGACACTCGTATACGCCAGAGTCCGCTTTCGATGCCTGCGAAACAAAACAATTTTAATGTTTGTGAGTGTTCATCATCAGGCAACATAGGGTAAGTGAAGCGGAAGATGGACATCAGCACCTACGGGATAACAACTGAATGTAATAAGAAACTGCGGTTGCCAACCATGCGTGGCAACTGTAGCAAAATCCTCCCTGAGGCAAATTTTTAGGAAGGCTTATGTTCAGAAGTGAATTTTTAATAGGCTGAACGAATAAATGAATTTTTTTATTAAAATAACACAAGCCACATTGGTAGTCTCACTACTGCTGTTAGCGTTAATCCTGGTTCAAAGGTAAGCTTGAGCAAAAACGCAAATTGTTGGTTTTATTTTAAAAGTTTTACTATTTTATTTTGTCTTTTATTTTCCGTCCCGCTTGCCAAGCGAAGCAACTTTTTTCTTATATTTATTAAAAAAAAGTATCCCCCACACTAAGATTTATCGTGGAGGCAGTTTATATATTTAAATTGCTTAAGGACAATTACTAGTAGCCCATACAAATACTTGTACCGTGCGGGATCCGAACCCACCGCCCTAGTGCCGTTATTCATTACTGCTGAAAAAGCCACTATGCCAGGGAGCCGTCAGGGCTTGAAATAAACGATGGCAAAATATTTCCTATGAGACAATCTCTTGGTGAGGCTGCAACGCACGAGTGAACTTTGTAATTGTAAAACTTTAATTCCATTCGTTCACCTGTCACCTTGTGTGCAAAATTGTGAATAAAAAACTTACATTTCTGATAATAAGCTCAGAGCCTCTGTCGTCTACGTTGTAACCCATTGGTCTCCTGTTAGCCTTGCGCCATCTCACTTCGAACTCGGCGGATGCATTACAACTGTGGATATAATAGAATTATAAAAACTCAGAGAACTACAAAAATTGAGAATCAATTACAAAAACCATTAAACAAGAAACAAACTAAAAATTATCATACCGTCCCACTCCGCGCGGTACCGTGCTAATAACGCTGGCTGCGTTTCCTCGCTGAATCTATACTTAGTATTTGAGCGAGATAAGAACCAGCCCTCTTATCACCAGCAGCGACGACCAGTCGCGTATAGAGTTCCTGTAGGAACTTCACCGCATAGGGACCCCACTGACCGATAGTCTAATATGCATACATATATATATTATATTAAATTACATACCTAATCCTGGCGTCCCTGCCTTCAATCGCGATACTGTTTGTGGGTCTGTTGTCATAATCATACCCATGGTCTATGTTTATCTCGTCTTCGCCGCTGCCCTCTGAAACAATACCAGAATTCAAGCATCATAACTTGGAAAACTAATTTTACGGATTTATCACCGTTTTTAATTTAAAATCTTTTGTTTTCATATAAAAACGAGCACACAGTCCACCTGATGGCAAGTGGATACACAACAACAACAAATGACAGGCTGGCACACCTGAGGTCTAAGATGGAATGTCTCCTTTACAGTAAAGAGGCTCTCCGATTCTCCACACTCACCATTCGAAACACAACAGCTCTGAACTATTATTTTACGATGTTATTCTGTGAGAGCGTGTTCCTTCCCCGGTCGAGCCGACCCATTCGTGCTACAACTATAATATAGCTGCAACATGACTCCACCACTCAAAATTAATTTCATTTAGAGTGTAGTGCAATGAAAAATCATAAAATGGTTTAATGTGTAATGTCTAGTGACCCGCTCTGACTTTCGCCTGTGTAAGAAGCGTTAATAAGATTTAAGATAATCAAAGATTACCTTCTTGATGATAATGATTTAATTAACCGGACAAACAGACATACAAACATTAAAAAATGACTATTCATGTCTTAATAGCATGCAAATAATCCCCTCTCCCCGAACTCCATTAAAGGTTCAATTTTATTTTTAATTATTAGTTATTAATACAGTCTGTTTTCTTTATAAAACAAATACCGAAAATTTTGACTGCGTTCTTATATTAGCCCACATAATCAACATAGAGTTCGTTTCACACAAACGCTGTAGTTACACGAACACTTAGTTGACTCTGCGACTACCTGCGCGTCGCAGTTGTTTCTGTCTTAAACCATTCAACCCAAATGTAGAATTTTGAAAAATGGGTTGAATGGTCTAAGGTTTCAGTGAGTGACCCAAACGATATTGTTTGTGCTTGAGTCACGACGGACATGTGTCTTGTAATTAAGCGTACTAAGCGCCTTTTGTGATCTACAGGAAAACAAATTATATAGAATTTGTTTTTAAATCATCTTTTGTTACAAAGAGTAGCTAAAGTGGATAGCCAAAAATGGCAGTCATGTGTCAGTCACATCGAAACAAAAATGTACGAAGTTAACAATAATGTAGAAAATATGTTAGAGCAGTTTATTATTCACGTGTCTGCTCAGAAAGTTCATCAGAAGGAAGTGATGACGATAGTTTTCAAGATTACAAGAATTATAATATAATAATCATTTTATTTACAAGTTCTTGTGCATAATATACTTATACTGTATCCAATATTGTTTTATTGTTATTTAATTATGAAATTATTTATATATGAAAATAATTTAATTTCCTTTATATTAAATTTTAGAAGTATTCAATATGAACGGGCCTTTACAATTTCAAAACAAAGATAAAGGTGTTGGCCATACCCCTAACAATGACCCATCTCACTCTGTCAATATCAGAAATGTGCGAGACATACTCAGTACTCATTAGTTTGAAAAAAAAAAAACAGACTATAGGAGTCTGTGTGGATTGTGTTCTGTTTTAAATGGTTAAGAGAGCCGACATAATTACAGACTGCGAGCCATTCTGTTATTCTTCTTCACCAGTCTTTATAAGTCTACCTATGTAAAGGTTTATTTTTTCTTTAATAGTTTAGATATGTATCCCGATATCGACGGAGATCGTTGATGTAGGGAGGCCTTGTGCTTTTATCTTTTCCTACCTGGCCTTAATCATTTGATACGGTTGGTGCAGGTATTTTAAGTATGACGTAAGCGAGACGATTATACTGCCAGCTAGTGGAATCGATAAGATATATCTTGCATTTCCAATAGTGGTCTCATACAATACTCATGACACAATTCCATCTTATTGTTATCTAACAACGGATCTCTGGATATTTGGCTTAAGTTGCAGATATTCACAGTCGGCGGTGATTTATAATGAAGTGAGAAATAATATATAGCCGGAGAGTAGGGTTCTTCTTTGGAAGATTAAGAAGAGGACTGGTATCTCTAAAATTTATCACATCTAACATAAAATCAATGGGGAGATACAAAAAGCTCACCATTGTCACCAAATCCGCCGTCGCCTCTTTCTACACGCACTACAAACTGTTCGTCTATGGTGCCGGCGGCAGATGTCGCTGTACAAACGTACTCGCCGTCGTCGCGTTCTGACGCTGAATTGATTCGGAGAACAGAGATTCCTGGGGTTGGCGCTGTCACTTCCCGAAGTTCTGGACCCCCTGGATGACAAATTAAGAGTATTATCATTTTAATACCTCTTACGACACCTACATTCGGATTAGTAGTAATAAAAACTCAAATAAAAGCTTTCAAAATTTATTCTTACACGCATAATATTCTTATATTATATAATTAAATACGGATAAAGTACGTTTTGCTTTTTCTCTTGTCGCACGTGTAATTCTTTAGTATAAGTAGAAGAGCCGCGCTGTATTAAGAATAGTGGAATAACATTTCACAAGTAAGTTTACAGCTAAAATTTAAAAAATGAAACTATTTGATATTATAGGTACTTTAAAATTTGTGACTAATCTTATTATCTTATTTAACAACATGTTATATTACTGAGTAAACACTTCGTAAGCGTTATATTACTAAGTTTTATTAACAAACAAAATCACTGACAACATAATTATCAAATGTTACTGTTGTTATTGATTCACAAACTCAAGGTAAGAGTAAATCTAGTATTGACTACTCCAGATTGGAGTTGGAAAAACGCAAACGAAGTTATATGAGAGTAAGACCAAAGAGTGAAATTATCCGAGGGTTAGTTACTCTGATGTAACATGGTATTTGGTCGAATCCACCCTTAATACCATATTTTTACTACACGGATATTTTTACCGTGCAATAATAATATAGTATTATTTAAGGTAATGTTGTCCAATATATAGAAGAACTCGTGTCTCTATAATTGTTCCCTTGGTTTTAAAGCTTTATAGAACATTTAGAGACGATGGCAGGAGACCCGACGGAATGACTGGATGCTTGGGAGAGAGATAAAACTTTAGTGTGGGATACTATTTGCGAAGATACTTTGGCAGCCTCTCGGGGGTACCTCGTTTAAAGCAGGGTGGCATCAGAGGCAACTGAACTAAGTAAGTAGCCTAAATATTAATGTATGAGAGATGAGTACATATTTGTGTCATTTAATTTGCTGTAGAGACTATCGGTCCGTGAGGTTCACATGCGGTGAAGTTCCTAAACAAACTATCCGAAACTGATCGTCGCTACTGGTGACAAGAGGGCTGGTTCTTTCCTCGCTCAAAGGCTAAGTATAGCTATTCAGAGAGGAAACGCAACCAGCGTTCTAAGCACTATACCGTGGGGAGTAGTTTTTTTTTTCAATATTGTAATTTGAGTTTCGAAAATGAAGTGGTAAATAACAGATAACTTTGTAATTTAAAGTTTATATTTTACGTCTTGCTAGATGGTACTCGTCGCATTGCTGCCTCAGAAGAAATAATTGAAATATTTGAATTAATAAGAAATAAAGTATATGGAAAATCCGAAAGAGCACGCCTCATACGCTTATTATAAAAAAATGAAAAGCGTTTTTTTTACAAGAAAAAGAAAACAGAGAATCTGATCGACTTTCATTAATAACTTTTAAACGTTGTTGTATTAAATAACAAAAATCAGTAGGAATCCTTTTTACAATACAATACTATATATCTCAATCTATTACTTACAAAGACTCACCAACGCATAGACCAACGGACGGTAGTCCATATATTTTTTCAATTACATTTTTTGTTATGTAATCTAAAGTGAATCAATTGGAAAATAAACTAATCCTATAATTCAATATCTGTAGTTATTGTAACGTTAATAATAATATGGAATTGATGTCGAACTAAAAGTATGAGAACGATTTTATGTAGCGAAATTGAGGTATGGCCACATATCTAGTAGAGCTCTACCTCACGTTGTGAGGCATGCAATATAAATTTACATTAGTTCCAGTATTCAATACTCGTTCAAAATTTAAGTCCCACGAATGAACCAACATACTCAATGTTGAAACAAAAAAGATGCAGCGTCGATCTTGGTTTTGTATGAAGTATGAAGCTTGCGTCTTAGTTAATTGATACATTTATTTACTGTATAGTATTATATTAATATGATACATAATAAAATGGGCGTTACGTGCAGGCCTGGGTATAGATTTGTTATCGATATATTTTATCACATTGTCTTATTTCTATTATTAATTCCGTGGACGTCCACTTCTGCTGTCGGCGCCAAAATGGTGAAAGTCAAATCGCCTCATTATTAACAACACTTCTGCATTTTGATTCTTAATCGAGGATAGATGCAATGTCTATGTCTATGTGTATTATTATTATTCAAAAAAAGTCCCGCTGGGTTTCTTGCTGGTTCTTCTCAGGACAGAGGTTTTATTTTACCGAACCAGTGGTAAAGTAAAAAATTGACTTTCAATAAGAATTATTTGTAATTAATCAATATTGAATAAAAAATTATTCTATTCTATTCTATTCTACGAGTCACAGCAGCCACTTACCATCAGGTGGGATGTGTACTCGTTTATCACTCTTATTCTATATAAAACAAAATTATTTCTTTCTTAAAAATTGATTTTCTTCTGGGTATGCCCGAAGAAGCATAAAAGCAAGTTGAATGCAGTGGAGATGCGATCTCTTCGTAAAATGTGTGGCGTTACCATAGCCGATCGAAAGCGAAACGAAGAGATTCGCAATATGGCAGGATTGAAAGATGACCTTATCACAAAAATTGATAGGGGCGTACTCCAATGGTTTGGGCATGTTGAACGAATGAGTGAAGACCGAATGGTGAAGAAAATATATAGAGCGAAAGTAAATATTAAAAGGTGTCGAGGTAGACCGAGACTAACTTTCGAAGACCATGTGAGCAAATTGCTCGAAGAGGGGAAGGTCAAGAGTACTCGGATACCTAGACGTGCATGTATGAAGAAGTTAATGAACCTGAAAGAAGCGAAAGAGGTATGTAAGGATCGTGACACTTGGCGATCTGTTCTCTCTGGCTACCCCGTTAGGGATTGTGTGAAGATAAGTAAGTAAGTAAGTAAAAATTGATTTGAACTCACTTTTGATGGAAACCGTCGGCTCTGGGTATCCGCGGGCACGACACTCGACTTTTACAGGATCACCGTGGACCACTTGCACGTAGTTGCTTGGAGTGATGATGATCTCCGGTGGTGATCGGACTTTAAGCACCGCGCTCGAACTGGACGATCCTGCATCGTTGGACGCTGAACAAATGTATTCGCCCTCGTCGTTCACCTCGATTTTCTCGAAACTGTTATGAATGTATAATTATTATAATTTTTGCGATGTAAAAACAGTTCACTACATGTTTATACTTTCAACTTGATTAACTGACTCTAGATAATATATGGAATTGCTTGTTTTTATATTTAAAAATAAAACATTACCTCCACACAAGGATTTGCTCCCGTATCGCGGGGCATTTTACACGCATAAATTTCACAAGGACAAACATCCAGACTATATGTATGCCGTACAAATATTTGTTCCGGATTCGATCCGTGACCCTCAGCACCGCAACTCATTGCAAGTTAATGCGCCACGGAGCCGCCTTATAAGTAATAATATAATTAGAAAGTAATAATATAACTATATTATAACCTTCTTATACAAGTAAGATTGACCTGAGAAATTCAAAAAGTGAATAGTGACACTCGAGCAAGTTTTGGCGCTATATTAGCGTCCCTTGATGTACCAGTTTGCGGATTAGAAATGTTCGCATTGTTTGTTTGGAGTTTGACATTGGAGTATCTTGTGGCGTCTTAGGGTTTATCGTGAAGTGGCGGTGTAAGAATATCCACTAGTGAACGCATAGTGCTCTACCTTGGCAAGTTTTGCTGCTGTATTATCACTACTGAATGCGTAGAGGCACAGTTCACCGAACATATTCATTAAGCTAGAGAGTGTTTGGAGTTGAACAGCCGTACCTTTGAGCACATGCTGTGATGTACCATGCTGTTTTAACTGTGGGCGTTGGAGAACGTGCAAAGTGACACCTGAGTAAAAGTTCCTGCAGTATTAACGCTTTTCAAAGGGTAGAGGCGAGGTTCATAAAAAAGTTCTTCCAGCTTTGGTACCAATGTTTGAAGGTGGACGATTGGCTCCTGGAAGCAGTCAGACCCGAGCAGCGTGCAAAGTGATACCAAAGCAGGTGCGGCTAAATCCCAGTTCACCGAACGTGATCGTCCAGCTAATGTCCAATGTTCAGAGTGGGTCATTCGTACCTGAATACATGCTGCAGCTGTATCTATGAAGTCCAGACGGGCGCCGATAGCGAACGTTTTCGTTTAGTTTGAGATTAATGTTGGTACCTGACGTCTTGCGGCTGTAGGTGGGCGAATTGGAGAGCGTACATATTGATACCGGGGTAAGTGCGTGTTCGTCCAGCTCGTGTGATACTGGGACAATTGCAGCTGAACGCCGTCCAACAAACACATGTTCGTCGAGCTTATGTTAAATGTTCGGAGTGTGACAGTCGTTACCTGAGCACGTGCTGCGGTAGTAACTGTGCGTGGGCGGAGAGTGGGCGTGACCCTCCCCTTGACCACATCACCACCGGCTCTGGAGCACCGGCCAACACGCGACACATCAGTTCGTAACGTCCGCCCAAAGCCACCGCTTGTTCGCCCTGCGGCCAGATCTCCACGTGCGGTTTTTCACGCTCTGCACCGAAAAATAGTGCGTTAAGATTTAATTTATTGTAATTTTTTTACACGAAGAATTTTTCCTGTACCGTGGGGAAGTTTACATACATACATTTCACAAGGACAAACATCCATACCCGAAATTATTATTTGTAGGCCATACAAATACTCGTTCTACGAGATTCGAACCCGCGGCCATTAGCACTACAACTCGTTGCTAAGCCACTGAACCATAAAATATGTTAGACAGCTCATTTTTAATGAATGTATGTTTGACCGATGAATGGATGTGTTTCTGCACGTACAATCGCGAACTTTAAAATTGGACCCATTTCCTATATACGAGTATGTCTAAGAACACAGTAATATGAGCGTTAATACGGTTTTATTTTAGAGTTGAAACGAAGTGTATATTCGACCACACACTGAATACCGCACATTCTGCGTACTTCCTGCCCGAATAGCCGAATATTAGGCAAAAGCATCGACCGGATAGGAAATAGTGTTTATTCTTCAAAACGTCTATTTATTGAAGCTGGGAATTGTCTACAAGAAGAAAAGGAGTAGACTACTGCATGAAAGTGAAGAAAAATAAGTCTTTCTGCAACATTATCCTCCACTTAATTGCGATAGGTCATGTGGGTCTGTGGTCATTTATCTGATAGTTCTTTTTTATTTTTAAAATATGGATTTGATTATGTACCTACGACTAATTTAATGAATACAAGAAAAAAATATTATAACATCAATAAATATTTTTATTTTACCAATTAGCTAACTACAATAAAATCTCTTACTTAGGTATTCGGTATTCGGTCAAATAGTACCTAGATATTCGGTATTTGGCCGAATAGAATAAAAGTAGCCGAATAGGCCGAATACCGAATAGTAGCCGAATATTCGTTTCATGTCTATTTTATTTATTAACTCCATAAGGCTTATGTGTGTTCTTATAGTCATATATTATTTTACACTGGAAATCTAGATATACGTAGGAATAGAAAATGAAGACTCAAGAACAGTTTAACCTAGCGACGTCAGTGCAGAACGCGTTGTCAATAAATCAACATTACCAACATACATGTTAAAATAGTAAACCTTAAGGTATACGTTTGCTATACGATATTCATACCTTAAATGGATTGCTAATTAAACTCCCCAACTGTACCTATATTTTGTGTCATTTCAGCCGTATAGTTAAATACTAATAACATTATACAAACATTACTAATTAGAAGTTATTTTTATTAAAATGCAATAAATAGTGTTTATAGAAGAATTAAATAAAATTCGTGAACATCAAAAATAAAACAGTATTCTGATTTCATTCCCTGATAGACGGTCATTATTTCCCTAATATTATAATTTAAATTTAAATGAAAATTGGGTAAATTGTGTAGTATAAGGTATTGTCTTTTTATAAATATGCTTAATATATAAACACTCACTTTCAATTTCGACGTAAACGTAAATGTTGGCAACAGGGGTTCCATCGACGGATCCTTCGCACAGGTAATAGCCCTGGTCGCTTTCTTGCGCGTTGGATATAATCAGGGTGTGGTCGCGTTGGCTTACACCAGGTCCAAACTCTCCTTGGTACTAAGTAATTAATTGGAGTACATGAAAATATGTCGATTGGTGTCTTAAACTTTGAATACATACATTGAAATAAGGGTAAATATTTGACAGAATTCATTGCGGGGAAAGTTAAGTAGTTAGAAAAGTGTAAAGAATGTTCATAACAGAAACATTACTTAATTTTTATATTTATGACAATAGAAATAGATAAACCGAACTACGAATATTCCGATAAGTAGAAAAATTAAAAACAAAGTTAAAAAATGTGCATAAAATTAAAGAGGCATTGTTTTGTATATTCAAATACTCTAGAAACCAATATACTTTGATTTAAAGCGCAACTTCTCATAACAATAACATCGCCTAGTTCTTATTATTAACAAGAAACATCAGGTGAGTGGAATGTTAATAATAGCCCTCATTGGATTTGAATGAAATCAAATGACGTCATAGTTTCTTTTAAACATAATATCATATTATTTTCAAATAATAAATATCTTACTTATCTAAAACTAAACACCAAAAAAGCAGTGCTTGTTCTGATTTGTTCCGATCTGAAGGGTATATACGAGTGGAACCAGTAAAATTACAGGCTATCCAGGCACTCATTCTTAGTCCTCACTCCTCAGATGTGACGACGCATCTATAGCTTACTTTATTTGGGGGTGGTTTTAGGTGACCATTGACTGCAGTATCCACTTACCATGAAGTGGACTGTAAGTTCCTATATCTTCAGTTTTATAAAGCGTCAGAAGCGGTCGTCCACACTACTATGAGAGAGAGAGTAATTGAGTGGAACATGTCCACTCTTGGACATGTTACTCTCAAATACTCATTTTCAGGCTAAAAAACAGTTTGTTCAGTACTGCGTTAAAATTTTGAGACTATATGATATGTTGATTTGTTAACGTTAGTATAATATAATTATGTCATGTGGTAATTAATTAACGCTAGGTGTCAACAACCCAATAATTTATCGTTTAATACATTAAATTATAAAATTACGAGCAAAGATTTTAACTTACCTTCGTCCATCTAATCAAAGGCAATGGGTTTCCAAGAGGACTGCAATCCACGGATCCGCTGCCGCCCGTCGGTATCTTAACTTGATTCACAGAAACCGTGATATTGGAGGCTTCGCCTGGTGACTGTGTACCGATGGGTATGATTGTCACCTACAACTGGTATCGGCACGATATCGGTGGACAGGGTCTGGCAGATGTAGATACCCTGGTTGTCTGGGTTTGCGTAGTCGATGTACAAAACGCCATTGTCCGACCGCACATTATTTAGAAGACGGGCACCATCTTGTCTGTAGATATGAAATGTAATTTAGCAAATGGAAAACATAAAAAAATAAACGAAATAAACAATATACCTACGTTTATATTGAATAAAACTATTATTTACGGATTTTATCGCGTTTAATTACAACTTTAATTTATTTTTATTATCCCGACGTTTATATTTTTCCCATGTGTGAATATGCAACCATAACGCCATCTACAAGGTCGTTGTCACGCTTATTTATAAATCAGGCAGTCGTCTAACTTTTGCTTGCAGAGCCTGTTTACGCAATACGGTAATAGGTTGTTCCCCTTTTTATATTAAGAATTGACTGGTGAATTCATCACGGCATAATGCCATTGAAATCGTTTAACACCATTTAATGCTAACATGGTAAATTTTATAACCTCGGATTTGATCGTATAAAGAGGTTGAATTTATATTAAATTAAAAAAAAATACAGGTACAGTCAGAAAAATCATTACGAATTCCAAAATTAATTTATTTTCAAATTCACACATGGCTTGTTTGTAAAGAAATGTCACCGTTTTATGACGACATAAGAGACCCATCATCACATCTCGCCCCGTGTCAGTTGCCGTCTGGAAGATATCGGCAACTGACGGCGGCGGTATCTTGATTTTTAACAGATACTTAATCTCCAAGCCTATGTTCAGAATTGGACTTGTGAAGAATGATGAATCTCCAAGCCGGCACGGGTAGCTGCGTCGAAGGTAAGAAACATCTGGAACTGTTTTCCTATATAGAATAAGAGTGACAAATGAGCACCGTCACCTGATGGTAAGTGGATGCTGTGGTATATACATACATCTATCCTCGGTTAAGAATCAAATCGTAGTTCCATTACGACGTAAATAAGGATCTCCGGTTCTCTAGACTCACCATACGAAACACAGCAGCAATAAAACTGCTATTTCACGCTGGTATTTTGAGATCGTAGTCCTTCCGCGGTAGAGCCGATCCATTCATGCCATAACCATATAACTGCAGCGTGATCCACACACACACAAAAAAGATATCAGTAAAAGCCCATTCGTAGCTTTGGATCGTTTAAAGGCTGTTTAGTATTGGCAGGAGGAGGTAAAGAACCAAATAAAATTACCTGATCCATTCGATGGAACCGGCTGGCACATTAGTGGTTCCCGTGCACACAACACGAGTGCTTTGTCCCTCCGTCACGTTGACAGAGGGAGTTGATACCGTGAGACGTTCCCGTTGAGGCCGCGAAGGTCTTGGACGTACGGTCACAATCGCTGATCGGTCGGTAGAGCCAACGGCGTTGGAAGCAATACATCTGCAAACAAAATCGGAGTCAGGTAACACAGATAGTGGTATGTTGTACTGTAGTAGCACAAACGTCACCGTTAGACGACGTAATATTAGATTATACTTGGTGGGAGATGTACAGTGATAGTCAACCCTGCCCAGTGTGGCGATTAAGGCTAATCCCACAACGGGAGATGTCGACGACCAGCAATGGGCTTTTACGGCTGATGGTCATGAAAAGATGTAACATATTCAGACCGACGTATTTAAGTGATTTCTACGTGACGTAACTGAGTGACAAAACAAATGTATGGCCCAGAAGTGAATGGCAGATTCGGCAAGCGACGCCCTAGCTGAACTCCATCAACTAAATTCGCAATAAATTGATGATGGGCCCAATGAGTTCTCTTAAACCCTAACCAGATGAGTGTATGTGGAGATATATAGACGTGAAAGATACGACAAATGTGTTTTTTTTTAATAGGATAGGGTGACAAACGAGCACACAGTCCACCTGATGGTAAGTGGTTGCTGTGGCCCATAGACATCCACATTTATCCTCGATTACGAATCAAAATGCAGATGCGTTGTCACCCGTAAGGCCTAAGATGGAATGCCTTGTTTCCAGTAAAAGGGTCTTCGGTTCTCTACACTCACCACACGAAACACAGCAGCATTGAGCTACTATTTTACGCTGTTATTCTGTGAGAGCGTGGTCCTTCCTCGGTTGAGCCGACCCATTCGTGCTACAACTATACTACAAGTATAATTGCAGCATGACTTTACCACATATAAGATGTATGTCAGGATCGTGGCAAATGAAAGTCCGTAGTCCCTGCCTACCACTGTAGGTGACTAGGCGTGAGTTTATGTGTTTCTTTTATAGGATAAATGAGCACACAGTCCACCTAATGGTAAGTGGATACTGTGGCCCACAAACTTTTAGAGATAGGTTAATTTTATAAATAAATAAGCACCTGTATTCTCCAGAATCTTCCACAATTGCGCTGTCAATGACGAAATATGTATCATATCGGGAGGCTCTCGGTAAGGGTCTGTTGGACGCTCTCTGCCAAGTGATCCTCGGCGCCGGGTTGCCAGTCGCCTGGCACTCCAGCTCAATTCTATCTCCTTCGTAATATTCGTTGATTGTTGGCCTAATCGTCACCGTTGGAAGCGTCATCTCATTGCCTGAAACATGTAAGGTTTATTTAAAAAAATATTATGTGTAGAGATCTAATTTTGCTCCTTCCAGATGTATACGTTGAGTCTAACCTTTCGCGTAGAACACCCAATCCGGGACAACTATTCCGTCAAGGGTCGCATAAATTAAAAATAAAATTTTAATTATCAACAATCAGGATCAAATCACAATATTTAAAAATTCCCAACAAAACGAGTAAAATATAAGTTTCCTTACCGGGCACTTTAAGGGTCGCAATAGCTTGTCCCGTGGAAATTCCATCGCTTGTCTGACAAATATATTGTCCACTATCAGAGATCTGTAGATTCGTTATGAGCAATTCTCCAGTTCTGTAGTTGATGTATGTCCTCTCCAAAGGCAGGTATCCATCAACCTTGGTCCAGTTGACTGGGAGTGCGTTTTGAGTGTACCGGCTTTGTGCTTCACATGTGAAGTTAACAGTGCTGCCAACTTCTTGGATCTTTATCGTCGGGCTGGCAATCCTTACAGAGACCGTCGATTGCGCTGGCGGCGGTAGAGTTGTTTCATTTACGGACGGTTCTCCGGCTGAAAAAGTTTTATTTAATTTGAGTTGCGCTCATGTATTATTTTATATCAGGTCTATTAAAAAAACGGGTTTAAAATCTTATTGGATCTGGTTGAAACTTATAAGTTATAAATAACATAGCAAATGTGATTAGAATCGGAGATATTGTGATAGTTATTGTTCTTTTAAGTAAAAAAAAAAACATAAATAAGTCGTATTAGCTATGTAATCTATACTGAATAAAAATTATTTTATTCTATACTATTCTGTAAATAAAACAAATATTATTATTCAAATTAATCGTTTACTTGTGTTTTACATACACTGAGAAGTTACGATTTTAGATGTAACTTCTATTTATTTACCCATTACTTCCAGATGTCGCTGAACGAAACTAAAAGAAAGCGCTAGAAACACTCCGAATGCCAACTTAACTTCTGGGATTCCCCCCACCTTCACATTACATGAGTTTTGCTATCAATGGGGTCAGCCCAGATTGAGGAGTAAACAATAATGGTATGAAATGATAAATGACGAACAACATGTATTGACCAGTCACTCAAACATTGACACTGAATTTTTAGACAATACATAAACATATAACGGGCATAATTCAGGCCTGTGTAAACGACCACCATAACCATATTAATGAATAGAATAATACATATGACTCTCTTTCAACGAATAAACTATCGTAATTAATCTGTTATTTCAAAGCTGCACGATCACAACGTAACAATTATCCGAAGCCCCTCTCAATCTCTACCTTTCTCCGGCAAGGTCGTAGTCAACACCCCAAGGGTAAAGCCCCTTTCTGTAATGGTCCGGCACTCGTAAATCTCCCCCTGGTGCCTCGTATCCCACATCGTTTGCCAGCTGTGTTCACCGCGCCATCCGTCTTTAAAGAGCTTGGACTCGTTGTAATACTTCGGGTGTGCCATTTCGCGACCCTCGAAGTAGAACTTTATAGTCAGCGGCTCCGGCGCTCTATACTTGCAAGTGAATGTCACCTTGCGCAGTAAAGAATTAGAGTCGCCGTTGTCGTGGATTTTCGGGTGCAGTTCCATGACCAACCCTAAATCGTTTTAGATGTTTGTATAAAATCAAAAATTTTGTAAGTAAATCATAATATTTATTTCACACAATGCGATATTAGAAATAAGTAGAAGTTTTGCGACGTTGTTAAAGTTAAATGCTTTACATCTACTGAATAATATTTAAATTCTAAAAGGGAACAAAGCTTTACATTTTATATGTGGCCCTTACTCAAAATAATCAAAATAAGTTAAAAAAATAACGCTATAAGTTACTTTCTCTCTTTCTACCAAATGACGATAGAAAGAGAAAGATAGAGAGATAATTAATATTTAAAGTAAGCGATAATCTATGATAATACGTAAGGCCGTAAATTCTCCTACAATAGAGTAGAATGCACGGCTTAGCAAAAAAAACGTGACATCTAAACATATCTTTTTTATATAATTTGTTTAGAAATCAAATAGTACTCCAGTATTGATATGATAAGTGCTAAAATACACTCTAGAGTCCTAAGATAATATAAAAATTTGAAGGAAAAAAATATTTGTGTTCTTAGAGATTAGAATAATAGTGACAGTTCTCAACGTTTGGTAAATATAATTTAATAAAGCGTACGCACCAACAGTGGCACAGTCAGGTCCGGTGTACGGTGGGCGACAGTTGCACACAACCTCGTTGTACACACCCAGTTGACAATCGTGACCGTTACAGTTGCATTTTTTGCAATAGTCCGTCTCGTCTTTGTAGTATCCCGGTATGCAGGCCTCACAACTGGTTCCCGTGTAGCCTTCGGGACACATGCAAATCTGTAAGGAACAAGAAAAGCAACGATTTATAAAGTGTTAACAAGTTGTTCCTTCTCATTTCAATAAATAGGAACAGAAAGATGCTGGTATAGAGTTTTTAATGCTTAATTTAAGTAAGTATAATCAACGATAATAAGTAGATAAAGTAAGGTCGTACATTTTCATACAGCTTCTATAGAAATGTTTGTTTTGATATCCCTTTGAAAATATATTAACTGCCTAGAGATATACAAAATAATTATTAAGGATGCAACATTTTCATAATGAGAAGAAAAAAAGGGAAACTTTATTTTGACACAAATTAATGACGCACACAACAAAATACAAATTAAAACTTAAAATACGTAAATTTAAGAAAATTGACTATGTACGTCAAACATGCCAAAATATGATGTCACTAAGCATGTGTAGTCATTGTGTAGTGGTGAAACCAGCAGAATAAAGTCCCGCGAAAAAATTATTATAGAGGTTTTCACTAAGAAATAAAATAAAATCAAGCAATTATTCATTCGGAACTGTATACACCAAGTCTTAAATGGAATTATGAGAAGTATCGGGCATTTATGGCATACTTCTCACAAAATATCATAAAAATTCACAAAGAAAAAAAATAATATGAACTCCTTGTTAAGCGTAGCGATTACGGAAAATCTTTTTTCATTCTTAACTATGTCTACGCCCAATTAAAGACTGTTCATCGACTTTTAAAAGGCCTACTCTTTTTTAAATAGCGGCAACGCATCTGCAAACCCTCTGGTGCTGCGGTGGTTAATGGGCGACAGTAGTCACTACAGTGGAGCCGCAAGCTCGTTTGGCTCGTCTTTAATTTAAAAAAAACTTGCTACCAAAATTTCGTAAGAATATCTACCATTTACAATTACCCGAAACATTTCCACTCACCTCAACTCCCTTAGCTGCTTGCCCTCCATTGTCGTACATCTCGGTAGCGGTGTCCATAGATACATCGGCAATAGCCGAAGATGTGATGTTAGGCGATAGAGTTGCCTTCACCAAGACCCTCTTGAGATCCTTCAGAACGAACATGAAGTCTTCACGGCTGGCCGGTACCGCTGAGTTTAGAAGGTACCATCCACTTTCCCGAAGAGGTACTTGGAAACTCTAAAATGATGAGATGCCTTACATTTAATAAACATCTTGGTTTCGTTCGGGCTTTGGCTGTTTCTCGTATTTGACAAACACAGTACTACCACTAGACTAACGAGGCAGTCGATATATGGAATGGCCCAACAATGAGTTTGACTATTAAATGCCATTTATTATAATTTACGTTATATCATTATTAAGAAACCCAAAATATAAGTAATAAATAAAAGTTGAAAACATGTGCTTAAACGATCGTAAACGCTTCTAGTCTGGCAAAATTTTTATTTCTCGATCAAAACCTAAGTATAACTATTCTGTGAGGAAACATAGCCAGCGTTTATGGCACTGTATCGCGAGCAGTAGGACTGTACGAAATTTCATTTTTAGTATTTTTTGAAGTGAAATCTTCTTTAGTCGTTGTGATTTAAAATTCGATGAAACTAAAAAGCTGCACTAAAAAAAAAACACATACATCATATATAGGTTTAGATTTCGAGAGAGTGAGATATAAAGTAGTGTAGATCGCGAACTCAAAAGGTTGTGAATTCGAATCCGCCATTCTACTACTGTCGTTTTTGTCTTAAAATACTATTGGTGGTATTTTTTAAATATAGTGTTTAAGATTATCTCGGTCTCCCCTTTGTGTGGTTCTTTAAAGATGGATTAAAGACTGATAAATTTTATATGTTAAAATTAAGCATATTGAATAAAATTATCTTAATACATCCATTAAACCATTACAACAATCCAAGATTTCAGAACGTCACGACATCGCGATCTAGCATTTATTTTACGTACCACCTTGGGAGTCAATAAATTTTTGTTCGATAAAATGACTTTACCTATAGATGATCCTATTACAAAGCCGTTTTACTTGAAAGAAAATATTCTTTTAATTTATTATACTAAAACGTAGTCTAAATAATTATTTTAAAATGTATTTGCTATAAATTTAAACATTTATCTTATATTTTATGGAGCACTTGCGGTTGAAAATGATCAAATTAAGTAAATAATTTGTTGTAAAATACCTTCATATATTATATTTCATTTTATTTGAAGTTTTCAGTTCTATCTCGTGTCTGCACACATGTTTTTTAATATGCTAAGCATTTAGAGAAAGTAAATATTTAGATTACAAGTCATATTATTGCTTAATTTGGTGACAGTTGATAAAAAAATATTTTCTGCCCTTGAAATTAAATTTAACTTACCATAGCTTCACCAGACGGTATTGGTGTGGGACTTCTCCAGTAGACGGATTTGCCATCGCCGACCAGAATGATCATAGCAGTGGCTTGATCCGGTATACCTCCAGTTTCATACTTCTGTGTCAGCGCCAAAGTGCCTCCATATGATAGAACTCGGTTACCTATTATACGAATAAAAAAGTGAAATATTAAACATTATGTATTTTTCCATGTTTTCAAACATTATGTATTTTTTAATATATTTGTTTCATTGCTGGATATCGACAACAGCGTCACCTACCGGGTCCAAATGTGAATCTAAATAATCTAGGGAGGGACTCATTTAAATTACACACAAAAGTTTAATCAAAATCAGTCGAGTCGCTTTTAAATTTATGCGAGAGTAACGCACAGCAATTGACTATTATATATAAAGATATTTCATCTGGTAAGAAATATAAATCCTCTTTTAATTGAAAATCGTGGTAGAGAGACGCTGCAGCTATATTATGGTTGTAGCACGAATGGGTCGGCTTGACCGGGGAAGGACCGCACTCTCACAGAATATCAGCGTAAAATAGGATCCTTTCTTGTTGGAAATGATGCATTCGATCTTAGTACTCAAAGGCGACAAAGCATCTTGCTTTTTGATTCTTAATTGAGGATAAACGTTTATGAGCCACAGCATCCACTTACGATCAGGTGGACTGTGTGCTCGTTTGTCACCCTCATTCTATAAAAAAAAATCGAACGTACACCCCACTTCATGGTAAGTTTACTGTAGTTCATTAACATTAGCAACCAACTACGAAAGACTACAAAGAAGGTTGCCATCTCTGCGTTGTCACCTCTCAAGACTGAGATGGAATGCCTTATATCCTGTAATTACACTATCTCTCTATACCCTTCGGACCTGAACACAGCTGTGCACGCACTGCTACTTGATGGCAGAAACAGGTAACAGGGCAGTGTAATCACCCGCCAGATGGAATCCTAGACAAGTCCTACCACCTATTAATTTGGCATGTATCTGCTTATTTTCGTATTTGTTCTTCTTCTTTATATTCTATATTAAGACTTCTTTCTAAGGGCACAAAATTATAGTAGCAAAAGTTATAGATAGCCGTTAATAATGCGTACAACGAAGAAGTGGAAACATGTGCCAGCTTCTATTTCTATCTGTCTTTACATCCGATTACAGTGTCTTTAACGCAAGAGTGAATAGACTTTTGTTATACTAAACCAGAGCGCTTCACTATCTTTTGCTTCAGCACTACTTACTATTAGATGAAATACAAGTAGTAGACAAATATTTGCTTGTAAAACGAAGTATAATTGAGTATATATAGTATAATATAAAATATAGAAAATTAAACGTGATAAAACCCTTATGAATATGAAATATAATCTTAGAAGTATGAGTAAGTTTATTTCAAACTCTATTACCTGGAAAACCGGGCAGGGACCAGTAGAGTTCCTTATCCGGCCTGGACGAAAACACATACATTAGTTCGCTCTCGTGCGGTACGGGTACGAACTGGTCGTTGATTACTTCGGACGCATACAAGTCCATAAGACTGTAGCCGCCGTTGTTTTCTCCGAAGATCGGTGCCGCCATCGATATTCTCGAATAGTGCGTTGCCTTAAAAAGGAATTTAAGGTTATTTATCCTCTATACTATGATAGAACTCCGACGATTTCTGTACATTGAATATTTTTTCAAATTTGAATTGGGCTATATATTGTCGACACAGATAACAAATATTTTTTTATTTCCCACCATGAAAATTAACGATTTTCAAAAAATCGGGAAGTTATTGTTTTTCACACCTTTTTTTCGAAAATCGGGTACTCATCATATCTCGACGTTTCCAGGTCCCAGGAAACTATACTGGCTATTGGCTATTTGTGCGACAAATACGGACTATTTGTGTGCGTGTACGCGCAAACAAATTTGAATTGCACGCGTACGCGCGTATGTGTGTGTGTGTGTGTGTGTGTGTGTGTGTGTGTGTGTGTGTGTGTGTGTGTGTGTGTGTGTGTGTGTGTGTGTGCGCGCGCGCGTGTGTGTGTGTGTGTGTGTGTGTGTGTGTGTGTGTTAATAAATATATATTATAACGCTATCATAGTCTGGGCAGTAGGCATTATTGTAAGTAAGTCAACGAGTAAATTAACGTGTTCGAAGAAATTAAAATATTTGTATCACACGATATCAAAGAAAAACAGTTAAACAGGCATAAATGAGTCATATTTCATTGCTTAAAAATTTTAATAGTAGATCTTTTATGAATTCTTCACGAGTTAACAGAAAAGCTTATAGCAGTCTTCAAAAAAGGAATAGTTACTTTATCCTGTTTTTGTATTATGTTAAGAAATATCTTTGCCAATTCTTAATCGATTTATTGGTTTTTTCGCTTGAATTGAAAGAAGCATTTAATGCAACTTTTTAGACGATATTCTAGTTGTGAACTTTGAACTGGACAGGCCGGGGGATGGTGTTTGTGGAGCTTGTGATACTCCCACTGTGATATACAACCTTAATTGCAGAAGCTAATATGTGAAAATTATTTAATTCTTTTTAGTTCTCTGAAGTCGGTTTTAACTTTTATCTTAATGACAGAATATTAGCGCCTGAAAGAGCTTTCCAAAGAAATCAAAATTTTTAGATATAACAAAGCGATAACATTGGTAAGTTTTATGTGAAGATTTCACAAAAAAGTTTAGATAATCGTTTAATGTAACCGGCGCATCTGATTTCGCGCGGGCGTTATGTTTCTGTAGGAAATTCTAAGAATCTAATCGTTGGAATTTCGATGGAGCTTTTTCTGTAGTTTATTCCTGCGCCTGATACAACGTAGCACACTGGGTTCATTTAAGGCTTAATTAAACGTTTACATTTATTTTACTAAAAATAATTTGGTTAATACATTCGGATCAACATGGAGCAGTTCATATCTGTTTTTATTTTTAATCGATTAAAGCTGTTTCAAAATCTCAAATCAGAGATTAATTTTGTTATATACTAATTGAGGTTCTACATTAGTTATGTGTAGTCCTCCGTAAAGGAACCATCAGATGTGTTAAAACTGCTAAAACGGCGTTGCCATATCAACGGTTATATTTCATATGCACTCGGTATATGTTCGGTGGAATATGATGAAGTATTAAATCACGAAACACGCTGTTAGTTTAATAGCAAACTTACTTCATGACAATCGGTGGTTGCTCCAGAGCAATAGCAAGAGAGGCAACCGAGAGAGTTACTGGCGTCCAGTCCGAAGGTACCAGGACGGCATTGGTCGCAGGCGGTTCCTTCAACGTTCTGTTTGCACCGACAGTAGCCTGAACTATCGCAAGGTGCTTCTTCTCCGCGAGGATCGCAGCTGTAACGCAAATACGTAATTTAGAAAACCATTCAACATTATATTTTGTATATGAGACATTTGATAATAAGCGGTAAGTGGTATCTATAGAAACCCCTGAGTATTCTGCAGTAAGAACAAGGAAAGAAAAAAAACTGAAAGCTTTGTGACACAGAGACTTAGCATTGAGATGAGACGTTGAGACTTGCAGCTTCAAATCCCGCATACAGGCATTTGTATGGCCTACTGTAGCTTCTGAACACCTACATCAATCATCCATTAAGCATCAAAATGCAAATGCGTCCCCTTTACATAGATAGCCTTGTTTCAAGTAAAAGAGTCTCTGGTTATCCACACCCATCATACGAAGCACAGTAGCGTTAGTAAGCTGTTGTGTTTCGTAATATGAGTGTGTGTATATTCTATGCAGCCATGATAACAGTTCGGCTCTATTACGATAAAACATAATTATGGAAATGCTTTTGCTTTTTGTTGTAATTAATTTAAGAATTCCATATTAACCTCTCAATCCGTAAGCGGTCGAATTCGACCGCGTCGCTATTCCGTCAAACTCCCAAGCGGTCGGATTCGACCGCGCACACTCACAGCACTTTAAACCATTATAACTTATATTTAGAGACTACTTTTCTATGAAGAAGTTTAGGATTATAGAATCAATATGAAATTTTCTATCCTCTAGTGCAATAAAAATACAGTTAAGTCTGTGAATATTTATTTATAATCTACGTTCATTACGTACGCCATTTTCATTTGGATGTGTTTGTGTTTATTTTAGGACTTTTCTAGTGTTTTTTTATTATAAAATTGTTATAAAAGTTTTTGTGTGAATATAATTTATCTTTTAAGTAAATAATCTTAAGTAAAATATCGACTAATATAATAGTGATTTTCACGCTGCCGACATCCGTTTGTTACGTACCCATTTTTTGTTATTAAAATATAGTAGTCTTTTTGTAATGTAAACCTTAGACCACAGGGTAAAGAGAATTTTATATAGATTTTATAATGCCAAACTTCTTCATAGAAAAGTAGTCTCTAAATATAAGTTTTAATGGTTTAAAGTGCTGTAAGTGGGTGCAGTCGCATGCGATCGCTCGGGATTTGACGGACGCATGCGACTGCATGGGAATTTTATAGGGATTGAAGGGTTAAGAACCTATTAACCGTGTGGTGGCGGTAAAAATATCCACTACCCCATATCGTCTCGTGGATGTCATAGGAAAGAGGAAACTGAAACTGGAGATCGGCTGAAGCATCTTCCTAACAACTCAAAATAATGAAAAACAGCGGTGGCCAAACCACCTGCCAAGCTTGGCAACTAGGCAAACCATCCTTATGGCAGAAGCCTGTGGTTTAGCTGTGGACTTTAAGAGCCTGTTATGGATAGACGTATATCACAAAAACGTATAACTATACAGATTTTAAATATTTCTATCAAAAATACTTGACAGTGTTTTCGTATGAATTTACTCACTCGCAGAAGATAGATGTGGTGGCCTCGTATACACAGTTTCCATAAGCGTCCTTGACGTATCCATCTTTGCAATATTCACAGTTGACACCGGCGGTGTTGTCGGCACAATCCTGGAAAAACAATGTTAAACATTTAAAATGTTAAATAATGTGATTTTTTTCCTAAGTTGGCAACTTCCTATGGATTCTGCCAGCGTCAAGTATTTCATGAAAGCCACACAGAGTATTCGACTAGTTTCCGTTTCCGTAGGTTCCACAGGTAGTTATTTGATGTGATATAATGCAATGTTAAAATATTGGAAGAAAATACATTGAAAGGTGTTAGAGCTGTCGTAGAATTATATCACATGTGGGTGTCATAATAAGAACTGAAATCATACGACATGTGAACATTTTCTTTAAAGAAAAGAAAAAGATTTAAAATCGTAACTGAAATAATTATTACTTAGAAATACTCCAACAGCTTGCTGCTTTTATACAGTTCTATTCTATAGCATTTTACTTATTTACACAGTTGTCATAACAGCACTGAGCTCTATATATACAAGTAGCCACATAAAAAACACTGTCATTAATGAACGCAGATAACGCAAAAGAAATGTATCAAACTTACAGACAAAACTTACTCTTAAATTATTACAAATTATAATATTTATATATTATTTTGATATTTGTGTTATTTTCTTGTAATATAACAACAATATTCAAATTTGTTTTTTATTATTTTAATTAACAAGTGCTAAAATCAAAAATTTTGTTCAACCGACTTCTATACGATCAAATCAAAGTATTCAAAGTCATCATCATTAAAAATACGCATTATTAAAGATAACTCAAAAAAATACTGCTCAGATTTTGATTAAATTTATATGGAATTAAACGAGAAGCACCAGCTTTCAGATAATAGTAGAATCATCTAAATCAAAAATGAGGTAACACACATACAAAAACATACAGTCGAATTGAATACCTCCTTCTTTTTTAAGTCGTTAAATCATTTTATCATCAAAATGTTTTATAAAAAATATTTTATAAAACAGTCCTCACAATATGTGTCTATGTCATGAAATTTAAACAATAACTTAGTATTCAATCGGGACAAACCTTTAATTAGAAGATTGTAAATATATATAATAAGAATTTCAAATTGAACTTTAATAAGCATCGAAATAACTTTGATAACTTACGTAGCACTCTCCAGTTTCAGGGTGGCACATGTTGGAGTGTCCGTTACATTCACAAATGTCACAATGCTTCAAGTAGAGGCCTCTCATACTCCTAGAAAAAAAAATATTTACAATTTTGTTTAACTTACATAATGATGTTTGAAAACTATGATTTCCAAAATAAATATTAAACCTTTAACAATATATTAAATTGATTAAATTATGATTATTATAAAGTTTTTCATATAATTATTATAAAGAGGCGCAGGTAGATTTTGGCGGCCCGTGGCGGCCATTTTGTTTTGGTGACATCTATCAAATCCTTTGTTTATTATTTAGTTCCTTATACCAAATCACCGTGGCAAGTTACAGGATTGAACAGCACGTTCAAATGATAAAATTTTATTATCAAAATGAGTGTTTGTTAGTGCAAGCGTTGCACATTGTCCCCATTCTACGGTACACGCGGTGACACTACACAGTCAACTCTTCAACGTTAGGTGGCCAAATTTGAAGCGACCGGTTCGGTAAACAATCAGCTAACACCCGTACGTTCAAGAAACGCAAGATCGGCCGAGAACATCGTCGCAGTTCGTGAAAGTGTACAGCAGAATCCGAGGCAGTCGATTCCCCGTCGTGCACAAGAACTCGGCCTTTCGCAGACTTGTCGAATTTTGCGTCGGGACTAATGCCTACACCTGTACAAGATCCAAATGACCCAGAAGTTCATGACCACAGACAACGCCGTTTGTTCGCTGACAGGGCTTCGAATCGTTTGGAAGAGGATCCCAATTTTGGCCGAAAAATCATCTTTAGCGACAAGGCGCATTCTTTAATGAATGGCTATGTTAACAAGCAGAATTGCCACGCGAGGTTCACCAGGTGATATTGCATCTTCAAAAAGTTACCGTTTTGCGTGAATTTTTGGTACTACTTCGAAAACGACACTGGTGAGGCGGTCACCATCAATAGCGAACGCTACAGAACGATGATAATCAATTTCTTATCGCCCAAATGAACCATATTTTTAGAAGTGGTAGAGCCATGCTGCAGTTATATTAGTAGTATAGTTGTAGCACGAATGGGTCGGCTCGACCGGGGAAGGACCACGGCCTCACAGAACACCAGCGTAAAGTAGTAGCTTAATGCTGTGTTTCGTATGGTGAGTGTAGAGAACCGGAGACCCTTTTTACTGGAAACGAGGCATTCCGTCTCAGTCCTCACGGGTGACAACGCATCTGCATTTTGATTCGTAATCGAGGATACATGTAGATGTCTAGGGGCCACAGCAACCACTTAACATCGGGTGGACTGTGTGCTCGTTCGTCACCCAATCCTATTAAAAAAATGGACTTAGATATATAGACTCCTTACAGATGACATGTGGCTCTAGCAGTACGGCGCTACGTACCACACAGCAGAAGTTACGATTGATACGATTGACATTCTTCATAGAAGATTTGAGGTTAAGCTTATGTCTCACAGGGCGATGTGAAATTGGCCACCAAGGTCATGTATATACTTTTTTGTGAGGTTGCTTAAAGTCGCAGGAGTATGCAAACGAACCACAATGGACCGATGCCCTAAAGGTGAACATAACACAGGCCATTGATCAAATTCAACCGGATCTATGCAGAAGAGTCATTGAAAATTGGACCACTGATCCGTGCCACTGTAAACCGAGGCGGGCATCTGAACGATGCCATATTTCACACTGCGCCTTTCAAATAAAAAAAAGAATTTTGTTAATACCTCACACACAGCTTGTCTACTCGCCTTTATTGAAAAACTCTTTATTATAACAATTATTAACTATTTTTATATTTTGAAAAAGAAAAAAGAGAAAAGATTTCACACGGAATATATATATACAGTGGGCCTTTCAAATAAAGACAGAATTTTGTTAATACTTCACACATAGCTTGTTTTATTTCATTTTAACATCTACCCGCCTTGATTGAAAAACCCTTGATTACAATAATTATTAATTATTTTTATATTTTTAAAAAGAAAAAAGAGAAAACATTTCACACGGAATATATACACAGTGGATCCCCGGTAATCCGATAAACATTTTGCAGGGCAGTGTCGAACTATCGAATTTGTCGGACTAGAGTACTGCCGAAGACCCCCCTATAGTCCGGAATTTTTTTACAAAAGAGTACCGTGTAATCCGACAAATTACACATCCAATGATAAAATTCTGTAAGTTATATTATGTACTCTGAAGTATAAATCATAATTTAGTAAAGTAATACAATAGAGAGCTTGCGTTTTATTATAAAATTAACGTCATTAATGCTATGGAACTTACAAAAAATATGCAATAACCATAGACTTATTATACTACTGCGTAGCAATAACTTTATATTAGGAAATAATTGTGTACAAATAAATGTAAGTACATACTAAAATAATCAAAAATTATGATTCATAAAATTTAAAAAGCATGAAAATATAATTGGTGCGTACAAGTTATAACTTGTTTAATCATGCGTTACCGAAGATTGTCAAAAAATATTCAATAATAAATAATAGACCATGTCAGATTGCAGGGGATGCCAGATTACCGGAGGTCCACTATATATATATATAGCAGAGTAAGCGCGATTGCTGTATATAAGGTGGCCTATCATTGGGTTTTATATATATAAAGACTAGATTCGTATGAAGGAATTGACATTGTCGTCAGTGTAAAGGCGGAGTAAGCGCGATTGCTGTATATAAGGTGGCCCATCATTGGGTTTTATATATATAGAGACTAGATTCGTATGAAGGAATTGACATTGTCGTCAGTGTAAAGGCGGAGTAAGCGCGATTGCTGTATATAAGGTGGCCCATCATTGGGTTTTATATATATATAGAGACTAGATTCGTATGAAGGAATTGACATTGTCGTCAGTGTAAAGGCGGAGTAAGCGCGATTGCTGTATATAAGGTGGCCCATCATTGGGTTTTATATATATAGAGAGACTAGATTCGTATGAAGGAATTGACATTGTCGTCAGTGTAAAGACAGAGTAAGCGCGATTGCTGTATATAAGGCCCAAAATCAGTCATTGGGTTTTATAGTCAGCCCCGGTCTTGGCCCTCGCCTGATCGCTCTCCGGTCATGTCGAAACGTGCACTTGTGCTTGCTAATCACTCGGGCACTATAATACTTACAGTGATCTGGAGGTTATTATTAGTTATGGGTGTGTTAAATATAAAAAATATATTGAAAGGCAGGTGTATCCTTGTCCTTAGAGTATGTTTAGGTAAGTTAAATAACCATTTAATTTTAATAAGATTGTTATAAATTTGGGGATTGATAAAAAAATTCATATTTCTACCAACCTTGTGTAGCCAGCAGCACAGTTCTCGCAGGATGTTCCAATGTAGCCGGTGGGACAAGCGCACTGTTCCACGTGGAGAGCCATAGGACCATTGCCATTTGGTTCCGCGGTCTCAATGCTGACGGTAGCAATCGAAGCCAAGTCGTTGGAAGTGTATGATGCCTTAACTAAGATCGTTTTCAAATGAGCTAAAGCCAGGAGGAAGTGCTCACGGGATACTTCTTTACCGTCGGGTCTGTGGAAATGATAAAAGATTATCAAACTTTTTTGTTAAACACATATAAATATTAATCAGAGTGTACCCTGGGTCCTCTAATAAAAACCCTGATGACTGGTCGTTTTTTAAATAAGTATATTAATAATTTAAAATATATATTGGGAAAATAGTAATTAAAGTAAGTGTGAAAATGAAAGCAGTAGTGTTAAAAGTCAAAACACAAAAACGGCGCTGGATTTTCACCAAGCTTTTAACAAAAGCAACTTTTTAACAAAAACTATATTATCAGGTTTAAAAAATTTCTGAGATATGTGAAGTCAGGCTACGGAGCAGGCTATGGAGTAGTGCAGCAGACTTATTGTTCCTCAACTCTGTAAGAAATTGGGCCCAGCAGTGGTACGTAAATGTAATTGTACTACTTTACAAAGATTGTGGAAAAAAGGGTTATTATGATATTAAGAAATTTATGGATGATATTAAGCCCTGGGACTGTTGTTAATTGTGTAACATAATATTACATGATTGTAAGCTGTTCTTTTTCTTTTTAAAAGTTCCGATGAGTTTCTTGCTCTTTCAGTCAAAGGACAGAGGTATGTTCTACACTAGTGGTTAATTCAATTTAAGGATGATTTTCTATAAGTTTTGTTTATAACCTATACGGAGTAAAATGGGTTATATAATATTTATACAGTTTTACTTTTAAATTTTAAAGTAAGTCTTTAAAAAAATATGCTTACCTCTGCCATCCCTTTTCTAACAATTGCACTCTGGCGTTTAATGAACCGTCGCTGCTAGGTTCAAAGTTACCGAAGTAATGGAATGTAACATCCTGCAAAAATGTTGTAACGTTTACCAGTGATACAAATAAAAAGTTCATTTCAGTCGACTAACGGAGAAATGAAATAGCAGAATAATGTGCTGCATAACGTGAGTGATGAAAACCGCCTCATCGCCAATAATAAGAGTCTTCCTTTCATTTTATTGGTGAAGAGGCATTCGATGTAAGCACTCAGGGGTGACAACGTATCTGAAGTTTGACTCTTAATAGAAGATAAATGAAAATGGGCCACAGCATTCACTTATCATCAAATGCACTTTATGCTTAATTGTCACCCTTATTTCTATAAAAACGCAAAAGAAATTTCTTTTTGTAGAATAAAGGTGACAAACGAGCACACAGTCCACTCGATGGTAAGTGAATGCTGTGGCCCATAGACATCTACAATTACTTTCAATTAAAAATTAAAATGCAGATGCGTTGCCAGCCCTGAGTACTGAGATCGAATGCCTCGTTTCCAGTAAAAAAGGTCTCCGGTTCTCCACACTCACCATACGAAATACATCAGCATTAAGCTGCTATTTTACGCTGGTATTCTCTGAGAGCGTGGTCCTTCCCCGGTCGAGCCGACCCATTCGTGCTACAACCACAATATAGCTGCAGCATGGCTCTACCACGTAAAAAATACGAAAAGTTATTAATAAATGGCGGACATTTATTAAGAACTTTCTCACAGAAAGTCATTTTATGCTAGATGTAAATTATTATCCCTTGGGTGTCGGAAAAGCGACAGAGAGTCTCAAAGTAACTGTGGTAGGCTCTGGCAATCATATAACGCTGGAAAATATATTTCTAATGTGAACCCAAGTAAAATAGGTTATCAGAGAAGCATTACTTGTGCGTGTGCGCATTACCTGTTGTGAACACAAAGCTGACACGGCTTTGTGTTCACAACAGGTTACCCACATGAAGAAAAGGTATGCCCAGCAGTGGACTTCAAAAGGCCATTGATGTGAAGTATGTAATTTTAGACAGTGGCACTCGCTCAATCTAACCTGCCTTACTTCTTTTACAATAACAGGTCTTCACTAGTACAGACAAAGCAGTCCTACTAAGAAATATGAACAAGAACTGTTTTACGAAGCAGTTAAAAGTGAAAACTTTCACAAAACACTGGATAAAATAAAAATAAGATACTATAAGCATCGAAATATCTCTGTTTAAAACCCCTTAATTAGTAAATGAAGTAGATATATAATTTAAATAAAAAAAAAACAAATAAAAAATAACTGATGATCTTCAAACAGATGAACAGATTTCAAACGAAAAAAAATCTAAGTTGGTTCATCTGTGCATGATCCATCTGTTGCCACAGACAAACACACAAATACACACATCAAACATATAACACCCCTCTGTTTTCGTCGGGGATTAAAAATTAGACCCAGTTCATTTAAAATGCAATATGGAAGATGCTACAAGCAACTGTAATTTCAAACACTATCTCAATGTAATTTAGTCTTACTCTTTTTGCTAACCCATATAGAAATGATCTATTTTTTTTACAATATCCTTCTGCCCAATGTTGTTGAATGGATAGCAAAAATAACCATAAACTTACACTTATAAGTTGGACATCAGCCGCGTTGTTCCTGGGACCATAAGGTGGTACATTGTTAAGGCTGTAACTCAAGTAACCGCCATACGCTGTCACTTTATCACCAGCAAAACTGCAGAAAAAAATGCCATAAATTTATTATGCTGTGAACAATTGAAACAGTATGAATTAATGGAACAATAAAACCAAGCTGATATTATTGATATAACATAAAGATTAACAACGCAAATTCGTATTGAAATACCTGGGAGGCAAACTCCAGTAGTAAATTGAAGGTCGAGATCTATCGAAACTGGATAGACGGACTTCACCCCTGACCAACTGTGGCTGTAGCTCTGTTTCGGTGGGCGCCATGTATCTTATAGCACCTCCTTCGTTAGATGGTGCACTAGAGTACACTTTGACTTGGTTGACTATGTTGGGGACGTTAAAACTGACTGTTGTGGTTGTTCTGCGGAGATTTGTACTGCTGCTGCATTGTTGTGATACTCCAGAACAGAAGCACAGGGCGCAGCCATGCCTGAAATAAATTACATATATGAACTTCTGACGATACTTTTTCGTTTTAAAATTTATTGATTGTTTTATAACTTTATAATCCCCTTATTATCCTCCCGTGTATGGTACATCCATTCAGGAGCTATGATACCACATACAGACACACAGACACATTACAAATTTATAACACCCCTCTCTTTTCATCCGGGGTTAAAAATACATGTTATCTTACAGTTACAAATAAAATACTATAAATGTCACATTTTTCAGCCAACAATTTTAATATAATTTATCTGATAAACAATGATATATTTTAAATTGATGACTATCAAAACTTTTAGATAAAAAGGCCGTCCTGGCCGTCCTTTTATAATATTAACTTTTTATTGTACCTGAAGTCCTCAGAAAGATAGAAGGATCCATTCTTGCACTCGTCACAGTATCGGCCCTGGACATTATCCTTGCATACACATTCATCAGGAAGACGGACACTACTTGTTCCAAGAGGGTTACAGTTGTCTGAGGGTTTGGGTTTGCAAGAATCTCCTGGTATTAATGGATTACCAACATAGTTCTCAGAGCAATAGCGGCAGTCTGGACCTTCATATCTGTTAAAAATATACACATATAAATATTATAATATTAAACTTTATGTAAGTAATAACTCTATATTAAGTAATTTGTGTTCGAGATAGAATACTAAGATATATTATTCTACCTATTCTTGACACCAAATAGCGGTGCTTGCACTGCTGCGTTCTGGTCTGAAGAGCATAGAGAACCACTATTATTATAGGCTGGTGTTTTGAGGCGCATTCTTTCTTTGAAGTTATCTGCAGATATCCATGGACTGCAGTAGCCACTTATAATCAGGTGGACTGTGTTGGTTTATCGTTTCAGTTGGAAAAAATAATCTTAATATTAGGTAACAATTATTAACACAATTTATATTTAATTTAAACATAGAACTCGGAGTTAACTTGTTAAGAAAACTGTAAAATTCATATTCAAGTTGTTCAAAACAAAATTATTTACTTAACATACGAGTACATAACAATAAGTATACAATATATATTATGTTAATAATAATATAACTAAAATTACGAACTAAATCTAGCATTCAGTCTTATTTTACACATTATGGTGCCAAGGACATTTACTAGGTGCATTTCTAAGTGTACTTAACCTTTGTATATGAAAAGAACCAGCCTTCTTGCCACTAGGGGCAATGATAAGCCGTAGATATATGTACTTTATTGCATGTGGATCCACAAAACGATAATCTCTATAGCAAATGGCACATATGTAGGAAGTCAAATACATTTTCATTTAAATTATTTTACATCCTCCTAACTCAACACTCTTATGGCAGTTGTACATGCTCATATCGTCAACTTGTGTGCTTCTTGTCAACTTACATGCCTCTCGTCGCCTAAAAGCTCGACATGAGAACACACCATCAACACACTTGTTGTATCATTTGACCTGTGTATGCCCGCTGAGATGGACCTAGATAAAAATCTTGCTGCGTTTTGCCTTTGTGCTCTTAGTTATTATAATTTTTTACACATTTACCATAAAAATAAAATTAATAAGCCATGGTGAAGAAGAAGATGGTGAATGGTTACTATTTAGTATTTACCGTAACAGAACCATGTACAGTAAATAGAAAAGAGTATGCTCTCGTTTTTATCGTGAGACTCACAAAACCCTTTAACTCGTGCGCAAAAAACCGACAGGCTTTCGAGAGCGAACGAGGGCCGCGAGACGCGCCGCGACGCGATGAGAGCACCATGTACACACTCGTACTCGGCCTGTCTCGTGGTGTCCAGCTAGCTAGCTAGTAGAAGTTTTACATACCCAGGGAAACAATCACAGATGACTTCTCCACTGGCTCCAACGGAACAAGTTCTAGCAAACTGATTGCCGCGATTAGTAAGTGGACATGGGCACGGTTTGCAGTCGTAGCCGCTGTTAGGGTCTCCATAAGTTCCTTCTGGACATGTCTGCTTTGGCACACAATCGCCCAGCCATGGTCCGTTTTTTACACGTACGTGATCTGCTGCACATTTCTACAAGAAGAGAATTTTGTGGTTCTTAATTACTCTATTAACAATAACAAGGTCAATTGCTCTTGAGCTTAATTCTGATATAAGTCGCTATTAAAATGTACTCTATAAAGACTGTGAGCAAAACAAAAACAAACGAAACAATAACACATCGCACAGTCATCTATTCTTATCATTATGTCCGCTCAACACTTTCCGTATATACACTCTTATCTATGCTCCACACTCGTTCGAGAATCGCGTTCGCGTGTGAAATCGCGAAGAGACAAGAACAAGAACCATTACTTTACTCTTTGTCAAGAACATTGTACGAACTGTTCTGTTATTCTGTATTCTGATATGTGCATTGTGCAATGTGCATTGCATACTGTATATTGTGGAACTGATTCGCAATTTCATTTCACGCTTACTTCGCGTATTGTTCATAGATAAATAAATATGTAGCAAGATAACGCTCGTTGTTATACTTTAGTATCGGCAACCTTTGATTAAAGTCAAATATGACATTAAAATTACTTAGTAAGTTCGTAGTTAAGTATTAATAAACCAAATCAAGAACAATCAACTTTATGATAAAACACTTGGATATATTCATAATTGTACAATGTAATACATTAAGTATTACTCATTACTCAATTATTTATAAATACCCTATTATTAATTAATAACTTGCAATAAATATCTATCTAATTAAAAAGTACATTTATGTAGCTTTTTATAGAAATCTATTGATTTTTTTTACCTATTAAAATGGATACTTATTGGTATTAATCATTTTCATTTTCTTTAAACTACAATTTTTTACCCTAATGCGCAACACAGGTGACTACTCCGACTATCTTCTTCACGTGCGCACTAAAATAATGTGTGAATTTAACGAAACCATTGTGAGTTTGGATTCATCTTCATTGCTTATTTCGCCGTAATGTCGATTCGTTGACGTCGACTAATTTCCGTATATACACTCTTATCTATGTCGACTAATGGTATTCTCTTTAACCTCCACGAATGGTATAGAGCCAGCATTAGTTAGTAACGTCACTGTCATATTGGACAAAATGTCAAATCAAATATGATTTATGACCATAGACGTATTTAAAACATATGTTTTATATACGTCCATATTTATGACGTCGACTTTCTGTATATATTACTCTACTCTATGACGGCGACTTCTTTGAATAAATCATCATAAGTAATACTTTATCCTGAGACCATGGGGAAACGCTGCTTACAGCTTGGCTAACAGATTAGTGTTCATAAGTAAAACTAAAAAGTATTATTTTGAAATGGTTATAATTGTACGACAATAGAAGGAAAAAATAAGACGTTCGGCATGGCCTTGAGATTGGTTAGTTCTTATAGCTTTCAATAGATAACGGTAGGTAGGTATTTCATTTACGAGCGAATGATTGGGGTAAGTAGTTAAAACCATAGTTTTGCGAAATTACCTGGCAAGACAATCCTTCATATCCAGGTGGACAAGTACATTCTTCAACAAGACTGGCGGTTCCAAGACCAACGTTGATGTGCTGAGCGGATTCCATCGCAAAGTCCGTGATGTTAACACCAGCGTTGTTTATGCCCGCGCGTATGAGAATCATTTCAATGTTGTCCAAACTGGAGAAAAAAAATTAATGGTACAAAAAATAAATGATCTATGAAGAAAAGGTGTTTGATATTTTTTATTGATTACATGTTACTGATAGGGCCTGTTATAACTTACGCCATCATAATGTCTTCCCTGGAAGCAGGTTCGGGCCCTCTGGAAGTAGGTTTCAGCCAGTTGCCAGGTGTAAGGCGGGCTTCAATATAAGCGTCTCGTGAGATTTCTCCGCGGTATTTGTAATTAAGGCTCTGGTACTTGCCCTGCAATTAATATAAATAAATTTTATTTAATGGTAATATAATAATAGGTACCTAACCTAAGTACTACAACGTCCTAGTACAATAACATTGGAGTGATAATAATAATTTAAAAAAGAATACCTTTATTATAATATCAGGTGTGTCATCAGAACTAAATCTTGTAGAGTGCGGGGAGAGGTTGTATCTGATGTGGCTGCCGTAGGAAGTGAGCTGGTTGCCATTGTATGTCTCTGGGAGAGTCAGGAATGGCTGTGCGTCGGTGTTTCTTAGCCAGGATGAACCCAAATCTAGTTTGGTGACCTATAATGATATATAATATTTTATGGATCGAGTAAGATTATAGAATAATTGAAATTTGAGTGTAGGAGATTATAAAACGAGTTAAAATGATACACTATTACAAAAATGGTTCATAAAGTTTAACATTATTCATAGCATCATTATAGCATTACATATTTCAAAAAGTAAAGTATTAAGTATATTATTTTATAATCAAAACAAGTAAGAACTGATTGTCTACCACATGTTTCAGTTTTACGGTTTTAATATTGAATGATCCTGCCCTACACGTAATAAACCGATGCTTAATTAAAAAAAGTAGTAATGCCTTTACCGTGGCTCCGTTCCTCATAGCTTGGTAGTAATATTGTTCAGTGATGGGCTGAGTGTCAATCTGTATTTCGCCGCTGTAGGTCTGTTTGACGCCCAGCAGCCTGGTGCCGCCTTGTCCAAGTGGTGTCGGCATGTTGTACGTGAACAGATCGGCGCTGCGGCACACGTTCGATTCCCCGAAGCAGAAGCAGCGGATGCATTCATTTTGCGAACGGGCCTCGCTGTAATAGAAGTTATATATGTATATATCCATTGATTCTCCCCACCACGAGAATTGTTTCTAAACCCTTTGTGAAGAAAAAATAAAGAAAACTGTAATCTTGGATACGACAGCTATCGTACGTCTTCTTCTTCTTCTACCGAGCGTTTATCCCGGTTGCTCATCCCGCCCAGCGCGGAAGAACTCAGGGTCCGCTTTCCTACACTTCCTCCTCCACTTTTCCCGGTCCTCGGCGTCCCTCGCAACTAGCCCATTGGCGCGCATGTCATCCTGCACGACATCAAGCCAGCGTTTCTTGGGCCGTCCACTACTCCTGGTACCGGGTAGGGTCATGTCCAGGTATTTGTTTCCCACGTAGCTTGCCGGTCGTCGTAAGACGTGGCCGTAGCAGCGGAGGTGACTTTCCTGGAGCTTGTCAGCAATGTCACGGACATGGAGGCTGCCGCGGATGTATGTATTTCGTACATAATCTTTCCGCGTGACGCCACACATCCACCGCAGCATGTTCATCTTCGTAACATGCAACAACTGCCGGTGTCGCTCTAGCACCGGCCACGCTTCACTGCCGTACGTAAGGACAGGCATTATGATGGTCTTATAGACCTGTCCGTTCAGCTTGACCGGCATTTTGGGGTCACAAATGACACCCGTCACCTCGCGCCATTTCGCCCAGGCCGCTGATATACGGGCCTTGATGTCGCGATCGATGCCCCCGGACGCATCAAGCACAGATCCGAGGTACCTGAAGTTGTCCGTGCGCTCGACGGTCGCTTATACGGAGAGACGTCAGATCTGTGCTGTTGCAGGCCATATACTCCGTCTTCGCCACATTTAGCTTCAGCCCGCCGTTCTCAAGCGTCTCCCTCCATGCGTGCACGCGTCTGGTGAGCCGTCCTTTGTCCCCATCTACCGGTGCGATATCATCAGCGTACATAAGCAGCCAAGACTGCGGTAGTTTCTGTACGCTGGCTGACAGTTCATCTAATATCACACTGAAGACATAGGGGCTTAAGACGGAGCCCTGATGCACGCCTACGGTTATGGGGAAGGGGGTGGTATCACCAACAGCGGTCCTGACTATTGAATCGGAGTTGCGGTACATATCACGTACGATTTCCACGTAGGTCTCTGGTACCAACTTCGACCGCAACGCCCACCAGATCATCTCCCTAGGAACACAGTCAAAGGCCTTCTTCAGGTCTAGGAATAAAAATGCAGAGGCATATTCTTTTCCCTATGCTTCTCCATGAGGATCCTTAGGGCGAATATAGGGTCCTGGTTGAAAACCGTACTGGGAGTCCGATACTGCACACTCCTGTCGGATCCTGGTGTCAATAATGCGCTCGAAGAGCTTCATGGTGTGTGATGTCATCTTTATACCGCGGTAATTACCGCAATCCTGAACGGACCCTTTACCCTTGTGGACCGGCGTTATTATACTAAGCTGCCACTGATCGGGCGTTATTCAGTCGCTCAGGATTCCATTATAAAGGTTAGTAAGGATGCACACACCACGAGCCCCCGGCGCTTTCCATGCTTCAATTGGCACCTCGTCCGGTCCGACAGCTTTCCGATTCTCCATGTGACGCGAGGAAGAGATGCGAGGACCTCGTCAGGCGTAATCGGTGGGCACGAGTCCATGGTTCGGGAGTTGTTGGCGAGGGTGCACTTCCCGGTGCTGAGTATTCAGCAAAACGTGGAAATAAGAGCGCCATCTCTCCTTCACCGCACGATCATCGTACAGGAGCTCGCCATTAGGGCCGTTGACGCAGCAGCAGCGAGTAGTATCTTGCGCTGCCTTGGCCCTAGAGCGCGCCAGTTTATATATGAGCTTGTGCCCCTCAGGAGTGTCCAACTTAGCATATAATGGTTGCAAGTGGTCACGCCTGGCTCTGGCAAAAGCGTTCTTGGTAGTTCTTTTCCAGGTACATCATGTTGTGAAAAATGTTCTTAAATTATTTCATAGGTTTAGATTTTAATAATTATTAATGTTTTTGTGGTTTATCGCATTTATTCAGTTATTGTCGGTTCAGAATACTTAGATTTCGTTTGCAGGCATTTCCTCGCGATTATGTATGTAAAGATTTTTTTTGTGAGAGTTTATTCTGTATGAGATAATGACTATAAAATAATTCATTATTTTAAAATTTTAGTAGGATGTGTGAACAGAATCGAAACTAAGTGTAAAGTGCAAACAAAAAGCACAAAATGTTCTCATAAATTTCTGCAGTTTCTTATAATAGAACAAGAAAAACTTATGACAATATTGTGGTAAGTCTTTAAACATTTTTAATATATGGACCGTTTTTGTAGCGATTATTATAATTACTATATTGACTCTAAATTTATCTGTTTCAGATCATTTATTTGAGTTGAGTTAAGTTTTCAACATGAGAATTTTGCTAATTTAAATTTACGTTAATAGTCTGTGAAGAATAACTCTTTTACAATAACATAACATATCAATAACATGCGTGGAAATATTATATATAAAAGCAATATAAAACATCAATAATAATGTATAGTTTATAAAACAATCTCTCTTCGAGAAAATAAAATTACATAACTATACCTATTTATAGTTTTATTTTATCCCACATGCTAATTTAAAGTATATTACAGTAATTTTGGTGCAACCTCTCAAATGTATGGGAATTTCCTCATGGGTTTGTGAGGCTTGAACCACAATTACTCACATAACACATGCATTAAATAAAAAGTTTAGATACAGAATACAAAGGTTTGAACTTCCCGCGAAAAAAGTTTCTTATGGGTGCCCACTGCGACGCGCTAGAAGTACCTATAATTTTTTTTTCTTTTTATAAGCCAGTACTTGACCACAACCTCACCTGGTAGTAAGTGGTGATGCAGCCTTAAATAATAAATCACACTGTCTTAGCGTAACAAATGCCTATTCACTCTTGCCTTGAAGACACGCAGATTGTATTCGAACGGAAAGATAGACGTCGGCAAATTATTCCACTCTTTTGCTGTACGCATTAAAAATGTCGAAGTAAACCGTTTGGTTTTAATGCGTGGAATATCGACAACGAAAGGGTGAATACCCACCTAGCGCCTGGTCGTACGATGGTGCAAAGGAGAGTGAGGAATTATAGCGTGCAATTCCTGCGCAGACTCTCCGAAATGCATCCTATAAAATACCGAGAGGCTGGGTACTCTGCGCCTATGTTCGAGGCGGACAAGGTTGGTTTCAACCAAATCAAGGTCACCAATGAGCCTCTTAGCACGTCTCTCTACTGAGTTCAACACTGCCAGGTAGCATTTTGCAGCACCAGCCCATATGTGACGGTAATACTCCATGCACGACTGAACTTGCGCTTTATTTAAAGTGAGGTGCTGTCCGGCGTGAAGTACCGCCGCACCCTTGCAAGAACACCAAGTTTCCTCGCGGCTGCTTTGGCTCTGGATTCAATCAACTGCCCATAGTTGAGGTTCGGGGAAAATTCAACCCCTAACAACTGAAGGCGGTCAGTGTACTCCAAGGATACATTACGGAAAGTAGGAGCCAAGGCGAGCGGGTTCCTTTTAGCGCTGAAAAGAGACGCTTTTTTTGGAGGCGTTGAATCTCACGAAATTGGCATCGTCCCATTCGGAGACTGCCTGTAGTGTGAGATTCACACGCTCAATCATAGCCTCTCATTCGGACAGGCTTTGAAAGCGACTGGCCCGACCACTTGCTTGGTATCTCTCCACAACTGTGCTATCGTCTGCATACCCATAGATACCGAGCATAAGCACATCGTTAATATGCAGCAGGAATAGAGTTGCGGAGAGAACAGACCCCTGAGGAACACCTGCATCAGTCGCCACAGGATCGGATGCGCAGCCATCGACGACGACCCGGAGAGACCGTTCACTCAGGAAATCCTTTATCCATCCAATCAGACCAGGGGATAAGCCGTACGCAGGAAGCTTACCCAAAAGGCTAGCGTGCCAAACTCTATCAAAGGCCTTCGAGACATCAAGGGAAACAGCAAGTGCTTCACCACTGTTCTCGAGTGCCTCGCCCCATACGTGTGTGGCATACCCTAGAAGGCGGCGTAACCCTTATTGCCAGTCACTAAGGAGTTCTATATACGCTCCATAATCTTGCAGAGTATGTAGGTAATTAAAATTGGCCCATAGTTGGCAGGGTCGGAACGGCTACCTTTTTTAGGCACAGGCTGCACATTGGCCAGCTTCCAAGATTTGGGCATTATTCCAGTCCTGAATGAGAGGCGGAACAAGCGCGCCAAGACTGGAGACAACTCATGGGCATAGACCTTTAGAACTATTGCCGGTATACCATCAGGTCTACTAGCTTTCTTCACGTCTAGACTTCGCAAGGTTTTAAGAGTCTCCTTGTTGGTGATACGGACCTCTGACATAGAGGTACCGAAGTGAGGTAATTGAGGTGGTACGCTCTTGCTGCTGTCCAGACACGAATTGCAAGCAAATAGAGAAGCAAATAAATCCGCTTTCTCGTTAGGAGCATGCGCCAATTATCCATCTGGTTTTACCAGCGGAGGCAGTGAGTATAAACTTATAGACGCGTGTTAGCAGTCTCTGTCTACGTTTCCAGGTATATATAATGTACTCTGTGGTGATGACGTACTTCTCTCGGTAGTCAATCCAGAGCCGTAAAGCCAGTTAGTAAAAAAAAATCTCTCGGTAGAGAGCTAGAGAGCAAAATTGTGTTCTGTGGTCTTAGCGCTGCACGCGTAGATAATATACTGTATAGAGGGAAGTTTCTTTTGCGCTTTCATAGATGGCGTTGGGATTAAAATTTACTGAAAAATACAGTAAAGGATGCTTTCAACTTTATTCAGTTTTATTTCCTACATTTTAACAAAATTAGAATGAAATGTTTTAAAATTAGAAACTAATACTAATTTGAATTTTTTCATTTTGCCTTCATTAAATCACTACGGTTTAAATTGCCACATTTATTCAATTGGAGTTATATATTATATACACATATATAATAATTTATTTGACTCTCAATTTGACAGATTACACTTATGTATTAAGTATATCTATTTTTAAATTATATAATTAAATTTCAAAGTAGTTGGCATCAACGGCCATACTAGTATAGACTGTGTTACAGCCATCAGCGTATTCCACCTGAGTAATACAATACAATACAATAAAAAATGACACATCATTTCGGTACATAATACACAAACATGTTAAATAAAAAATAAACGAAGAGAAAACTTTTTAATTACCACAAACCTGTCTGTGCTTTTTTGTTTCCAGGTAATTAAGGTTTAGCAACCAATTTAAAATTTTATTTTTGCATTTATTAAGGGACAAAGGGTAAATATTGTTTACTTTATTTGCTACATTATATAAATAATTGCTAGTGACATAATATTGACGACGGGCTAAAGCAGTTCTATGAGAAATCATGTTACAAATTCTATTTTTGTTACGTTTTCAATTAGGTTTAAAGTCTGTATTTTTGTGCTTACGTAATATAACAGACATGAAAAAAACTGTATTACAGTAAGTACAGAACATTCATTAAAAATCATAAAATTATGTTAAAAATAATATATAAAAATCGAAGTAAATTGCTTATTCACGAAGAAGATTGCGACTGCAATTGGTTTAGATCACTTTCCGAATCAATCCCATGTGATGGAGCACCTTCTTTTTACGGATGAAAACTTTCCCATGAGCAGTCCAGCAGTAGGCGTAGGAGTTTCTTTTACTATACTCTCGAGCGAGGTAGTATAGTTGTTTTTCTTTTTGAGTCAGACATTCCGAAATTACGCAATTACGAAAATTGGCTTTGGGAGTCCTTCAAATTGTATATCTCCTGTGTTTACGTTTTAGTTAAAGCGAAATGTATCGCGAGTGAGATGTGATAGTCTTCATTATATCGGTGTTAGTAATTAGACCAACTTTTTTTTACTGTCAGTAACAAGTCGTTATGTTTGACAGGGATATTCTTTAACTCAATACTAGCCTGTTTTTGAAATCTCTCGAGATTCTTCACTTTTAATTCAAGGGTCTGTATATAGGCTAAATGCATTTTTCTTTCAGTTTCCATTTTACACAATCGATCTTTAATTTCATCATACTGTTTTGAGATAAAGTCCATGGATTTAATAATATCACCATTTTGTTTCTGAATGTCACTAATACTACTTAGAATTGTAACTTGTTGATTTTTGAGGTGTTCTAAAGATTGTTTTATACCCCACATAAAATCACAGACCTAGTCGTCATGTTGGCGCTTTCGGTCTCGAGGTCTGCTGGCAACATTACTAGAGCTGTCATTATCGGTATCCGTGGCCGTAGCAGCAGCTGAACTCTGATTCGTATCCGATTTTGAGTTCTGTTGCGATGGAGCGGTGGTACTTACTTTCATAATTATTTAAAAAATCCCTTTTAAGTGGCATTTTTTAAATAATTATGAAAGTAAGTAGCGGAAAACCTTTTAAAATTGACTGCACAATTTACGACTTACTAGGAGCACAGATTTAATTGAGCGAGCGTTTCAAGATACATAGCAGATTTCGAACTTACGAACCACGCAGCGCGTAGCGATAGTAGGTGCTGTAGCATCTGTAGGGCGTGGCTTCCCGTAGCGATCGTTGCAGATACACACCAGTTGCAAATAATTCTTTATAAAATTACGTTTTCCTGGCACTATGACACTTAATTATAATTTAACTTATTTCAATCGTTTAAAATATATAAACAAAAATAAAATAATACACGATACGCTCAATCAAGGGAAGAAGAAAAAAGGGAAGAAGGAACTATTATAGTATTAGAAAATATATATAGGTACTAAGTATACATATATTTTCGAATACTATATTAGCCCCTTCTCCTTTTAACTTTCAAATACTATATATTATAATATATATAGTATTTGAAAACTTTGATAGCGTGAGTTAGATAAATAATAAATATCAGCAGTAATATCTTTTAAATAAAATGTGTAAATTAGTGGTGAAAATAGTGCTTTTACAGACTGTGAGACGGATCAAAGTAAAAGCAAGCTACTGAGAACTTTCATACCCACTGGGTGCACGAGTCCGCATTAACCACGTTTATTGATTTCGATCTCACATTGTTCTGTGTTATTTCGTACTAAAATCACTTCGGTCACTTGGACTTTGGAATTTCGGTGACGAGGTCACGTTAAAACAAAAAATCCAAAAATTCATTGTTAGGCAACTAGACACAACAAATGTATTAGAAAATGTAAAAGGACGGAAAAAATAATTATTATAAATACCCTGTCAGACATTGGATAGGATTGCGTTTTACACCGGCTTATGGAAAAGAATTTTGTCCAGAATAAAATCCGAATCAAAATTAGTAGGACCCGATAAACAACTAAAATCGCCCACAAAACGGAAGAAGACAGGTAAAAAATTTTTATGTAGACAATTTTGATCGTAGTGATTCATAACAGAATTTTATTTACAAAAGAAAACCGTTCGGACTGGCGTTTACGCAAAAAAATAGCTTTTCCTTGGCCTTGGGGTGTTCGTACATTACAACAGCTGTTGAAAAAAATGGGCTACAGGTGAAGTCAGTGACGTCAAGACAAACGATGTTTTAATCGAAAAGCTTTCAAACATTATCAATATTTAAATATATTGAGAATTCCGACAACATAACCACTTCATCATTTCCACCTTTCAAAAGGTGTTAACAAATGACAGGTGGATCAAAAGAAATTCTCACAGATACTAGTTTTAGTCAGAGCAGGAGGCAAAAACGGATTTCTACCAGGGGCTCCTTTCATATTTAATGCCGATATTAATACCGGCCACTATCGTAGACAAATTAATGGCGAGAATTTTGAGAAATAGGCGGTCAAAAAACTTTAGCCTTCACTTTCTGACCACAGTTCCACACCTTAACACAGTGTCCAGCTAAAAAGCCCTCAACAAAAAGTTCGCTAAAATCTGCTAAAATGATAATGATAAAATGGTTGGAAGACAATAACATTTCTTGCGACAAGTCAATGAGGAAACTAGATTTATTTGCAATTACTTATAGAACAAAATAATTTAAAGACATCGCTATTATATTTAAGACTACTTATACGTGCAATTTAAATCCGATTGAATTAGCCAAGCAACAATAAGACAACAGGACACAACAGGATGAGCGATGTATGTCTAACAAAACTGAAAGACAATGAATGCAATTTCGACAGTTACGGCAGAAAACTTCGCGAATTTCGAAAACATATTCAGAAACTGGACACAGTAAAACATCCTAAACTGATAAGAAAACGCAACAATGTCGGGAATTTTCTGGCCTAACCTAAACCCGCCCAGCCGTGCGACCTGAGTGCAGAGTCAAGAATCATTCATTCATTCACAAATGACTCTTGACACTGACCCACTGGTGAGTTCCTGACAAAAGGGTATGAGAATTAGTGAACTACAGTCTGTGAGGCACTTCGATTTAGTCCTCGGAGGTGACAACGCATCTTACACTTCTTTGATTGAAATTGCGCGAGTTTAATAGACGGCTACCGTAGTGTATGTCAACCTTATAAAAAACCTACCTATTAAAGTATCCGGTTGGGCAGACATCCGTCTTATTGACATAGACGATCGAGTCCGGTGCGGCGAAGGTGGTACCACTTCTGTTGATAGCCTCGCAGGAGTATGCACCACTGTCTTCCGGCTGTTAGAAACATTATAGATGTTTTCGTAAAAAAAAAAACAACACAATCAATATTAAATTACATACTGCAGATTAAACATTGACGTTTAAATGAATAAATTTACACTCACTTGCATATCGTTGCACGTAAGTGTACCGACTCCATTGATGCTAGTGGAAGTACACTTGGGTGGTACATGACCCCAATTGAGACGCCAAGATATCAGCGGCATCGGCACTCCAACAGCTTCGCAGACTAAGACTAGACTTTCGCCGGGGTTCAGCCTCACGTTCGATGGTGCAGGTGGACGAGTTACGTGGACGGGAGCTGTTGGAATTATTTTTATTTCATTATGATTATTATTTACAATACCATTTTATATTACTTATTTATATTATATTGTCCTCCAAAGTGGCAGCCAATCTCAACGAAAACAAGCCATATGCGCGTGACATGATTTCTTTTCCTTTCTCTGGCGGGGTTTTTCGGGGGGGGGAGGGGTCAGGGTTAGCTTGGGTGTAGCTTTTATGTACTAATATCTTGATAGAAAAACTCAATAACTGAGTTTAGCCGGACCCGGGATTGAAACCCAGGGACTTCATGATTAGCAACCACGTCTTGGTAGACGAGTGGTGGACCACTGCACCATTGATGCAGTCAGGCAATTTAAAAAATTAAAGCTATTGGCGAAAGTGTTAATGGCTTCCCTTGTTCATTGTTTTTTCTACACTTAAAGGGATTCGATGAAAGCAGGTAGTTCAAGACCTTACTTCAGGGCAATTTATGTGGGAGGCTTATATTTGGCAGTGGAATTTATATGAACTTGTAATGGATGACGACGACGATGATGATTAATCTATGGCTGTAAAAACATTTATCTAAAATAAAGAAAGAACATTACAACTAAAATATTGTCACTGCTGGATACTTTTTGGAGGGTTCTTAAAGCGCAAAGAGTCCATCACGTTATTCTATTGTGAGTGTGTAACAAACATCTAACTTCTGAGTGACCATGGCTCGAGTATCTTAGAAATTATTTTCTTATCCTATTTTCAACCGCAGCGGTAACATCCAGATAATCGGAAGTTGCTCTGGATTATATTATTATGCCACAAGTATAGGTACAAATCATATATTACATTCACGCGTTCTAGCCCGGATTTAGCCATCTAGACACGGATACGTTGTTCTGTGATTACGGTTACGTGGTAGGGCCATAATACAGCTGTATTATGACTCTAGCAATAAGTAGGCTCGATAAAAGAGTCACGCTCTCACAGAAAACCGGCATAAAATGCCAGCATAATTGCATTTTGATTCTTAGTCGATGATCTATATGTATCCACTGGTCACAGCATCCATTCACCGTTTTCACCAACCACTATCAGATGGAGTGTTTTTGTTTGTCACCCTTATGGTATAAAAATTCTTATTATCCGTTGTACAGGTTGTGTCTGGGAGCTTAAAAAGTAAAAAAAGTTGAAGGAAATATTTGGTACATACCGCAGCCGATTTCATCGGAGTTATCCTGGCAATCGAAGTGGCCGTCGCAGTGGTAGGATTTAGGTATGCATTGCTTGTTCGAAGCGCAGGAGAACTCGACCGGCGAACAGAGTTGTCCGTACTCGGTGCGGTCGCAGTCGCGTTCGTCCGAGTTGTCGCCGCAGTCGTTTTCGGAATCGCACACCCAGTACTTGAGCACGCATTTACCATTTGAGCACTGGTACTCGTTCGGTTCGCATTGCCCGTTTTGGTCTGTTACATATAACGTCATTATGGTGTCATCTAGCATAAGCTGCGGAGTTTCGTTAAAGACTTGACGATTATTGACAAGAAACGGAAACCCTTTGTACTGGCAATAAAGCATTCCATGTCAAACCGATATTCAGAAACAATTTTGAGTTTAAAATAGTCTGTTTAAACCAAATCTTCAAAATTTTGATTCTAAAACCCATATATACTTTATTGCAGACAAAGAGTATATAATCAGTCTTTGTTACCTTTCATTGTATACAGAAGGATTTCATCAATATAATGTTATCAAATTTTATTGGGTAGTGGGTATAAAAATAACTATATTCTCCTGATTACGAGGTAAGGCTCTGCATACAGAGTTATGGAAAATCTATTCAAAAACATTGAGCCCAAATTTTAGAGACAGATATCGGAGACGAGAGAGACCGTGTACTACTTACACTACCATATATTAGTAATCTTTTAACTTCTTTATGCATTTAAACTTAAGATAAAATCTGAATATTAGTTATTTGGCACCAGTAGTTTTCGCAGTCATTCTTCCCGGAGCTCTTGGATAGGCCTACAATATTTTGATTTTAATCGAAGATAAATGTGGGTGACGATGGGCTACTCTGACAGGACCACTCGTTAATAGCTAGTGTATACTAATCCCCTTGCCATTACCGAGTGGTCCTGTCACCTTCACTTCTATTAAAAAAGTTGGGAATATAATACTCACTGCAAGAGTCCTCATCGGATCTGTCACTGCAGTCTATTTTGCCATCGCAAACCGCCGATTTAGGTATACATTGACCGTTGCCGCAAGTTGCCTCAGATGGTCTGCACGCGTGGAATGGTACGTTCGAGATTTGAGCTGCAAACGTTATTTAATATTTAGTTTTTACCGCCAATCAAATATCTATTATACAAGTGTTTTAAAAATTTATTGTTAGTTACAATTATAATTATTTGATCATTACATAATTAAAACGAAATCTGTTGATCTCTCCACTTTTACTTATATTAGTTAGGTATAATGCTATATATATATATATATATATATATATATTGTTAAAATGGAATTACTGGAATAAACGGGCATTTGATTACTTACGCTTATTTTCAACTACCAGCGTAACCCTCACTTCGGAGCCGGGATAGCCCAAATATCTGGGAGCTTGGCAAATGTAGACGCCGCTGTCAGATACCTGTTTACAGAAACATGTATTAGAGTATTGAAATCCCAACTTGGAAGGGATTAAACCTATATTTTAGGTGGAGTCGGCGTAAGTGAATATATCACCCCATCAAGTCCCGTGGGTTGTCAAAGGTGACTATGGAAAAGAACAGAAATCTCTTACAGTATCCGATGGTGGTACACCATCTCGTATATTCTAGATGTATAAGGTCTTAAAACGGAAGAATCAGTTGCGCTGTACCAACGTACACGGTCTAGTGTGGTCTTTGCATGGTCAAGAGAAAAGCTGAAAGCTGAAAACTGTATGTCTAAAATGACAGAGAAACATTTTCTCTGTCATTTTTAGACATACAGTTTTCAGCTTATCGTTTTCTTGAACGTCGAGTACATAGTAATTCAGTACTAAAAATGTTTTTCTATGTTCACTGGTACAGATTGCGAATTCGGGTCGCTCGCGTTCTATAAATTTTGAGGCGAGCTTTTAACAACTCACTTACTACGGCTCACCAAGGTCAGAATAAATAAATGTTTAATTTTTTTATTTATCAAATCTGCCCACACCTCCTATCCTATTAGTGTACTCTAAAATGCCCAAACGATAACGAATATCAGTCCCCGTTTTTGCGTTCTTATATAGGCCTTCTTTTGTCGAGCGTGATATCCTGTACTTAGCACATAAAACAACATAAAAAGTCAACAATGGTAGTAAAGACTTCATCCGTGAAAAAAGCTCTAAAATATACGGCAAGACTATTTCTGTACAGGATAAACTGTACTGAATTCAATTGTTTATCATCGAATTTATCAATTTGTGGATTGTGGGGAAACTGTACTTTTTTCTATTGTTCTACGTTATTGACAGAGCTATCTTCAGATGATTCTGTATCAGCAAGAGGTGGAATAGTTTGTGGTATTGGAGTTGCAAGCAACTGATGAAATTGGCGTGTTCCTCAACTTGCGGGATTCTGTTCTCTAAGGACATGACTGTTGTTTATAATTGGCTTGAAGTTGGATGGAAAAGGATCTCAAGATATAAATCGTAGTTCATGCTCAAGTGAACTACGAACTGAACGGGCCAAGGAGTGGCAATGGTGCGGTAAAATATATAATATATGAATGCTGTGTCAAATACGGTAGCTCTGCCAAACCTGAGCGGAAGCTATTGCGAGCGAGTGAAGTGATACGATTTGATAAGACCGAATGAAAAGCTCTTCATTACGTAAGAGTTGCTTGACAGCGGGCTCTACGATTTTATTATAGACGTGTATAGTATATGCACAATCAAATTTGAAATGGTATTATGTTGAACTGGTTATTCGAATATTTCAAATGAATAGTTTCACTAAACGGGGTTTTTAACTGATCCAGATAAAATGAGACGCGTATGTATCATGTTTAATGTACATACAATATTTCAGCGATTTTGTCATCATTGTGGGCAGATTAATCATCTCTGTACCAATCTTTTCGAATTTTCGAATATTTCTCCATAGCTGTAGGTATTTTATTTTACATAATATGACTTATAAGGGAAGGTTATATTAATAGCCGCAGGCGGATTGCCAACGTGATGTCGTTATGAGAATAGCCTAAAATACACTTTCTGCTAAGGCATAATAATAATCCTCCAGACCGAATTTCAGCCACGGCGGCCTGTCTCAACGGAGGCTAGCCATCGGCGCAGGACGGGATTTTATAGTGCCCAAGTGTATGCGCAAGCACAGGTGCACTCTCTATTCCCTCACTCTAATAATCCGATGGGACGGTAAACCGACACGACCGGAGAGAGATCAGGCGCAGGAATTATGGCTTTACGTGCTTTCCGAGGCACGGGGGTGAGACACCGCCAACTTTCTGACTCCGGGCTACTACTGAGAATTTCTTGACGGAAAAACTCAATAATTAATTTTTTGGCCCGACCCGGGATTCGAATCCAGGACCTTATGATCAGCAATCGCACTAATACAACCACTAGACCAACGAGGAAGTTCTGCTGAGGTAAGCGTTACTTTATTATTAAAACTATACTTACGGATACTTGATTCATTTCGAGACGGCCGTTGCGGTCCAAAGAACCCGGTTTAAGAGGCCTACCGCCTTCCTTGACCCAACGAACAGGCGCTCGGATACGACCCTCGTCACGACATTGGAAGACAACGTCTCCGCCTAGAGTAAACATATTATTTAATACCTAATAAACTTTTAGAAGCCCCCTGGATGCAGCATTCCATTTCAGGCATACAATTCAAAATAATATGTTGAAGATTCCTGATTGATGATGACGACGATGACGATGATTTTACCCAGATGCACGTACCAATGGAGTTATTAGTGATGGTTTATGACTAAATAGTAATAAAAGTGAACAAAAATAAATCTACCCATCCAAATTCCTTATTTATAAAGGAAACGACTTTGTTACAGTAAAATGTAATGATGACCTTTTAAATAAATATTCTTGATATGAAGTAATTATAACTATAAATATAACTCAATTTATAATAGATAATTACATTTATAATAGATAATTATAACCCAATTTTAGCCAAGTTAAAAAAGGACGAAGTTCACAATTGAACTTGCTTTTTTTTATTTTATTTTTATGTTACGCGATGTATTCGCCAATTGACAAGCGAGTTTGAAGATTTTTTTGTAATTAAATATATTGTGTGCGTAAAATAAATTACTAATAACTAACATAACTTATACATTTTGAAGTAGAGGCTTTAATTTTCCCATTTAATACATCCTATTATTTTGTTGATAGTTATTTTATTGTTACACTCTATGATACGTGTAAACAAATGCCTGTTAACATGGGTTGAATAGAAATTTATTTACACTAAATGTACTTCTTTATAACTTTATAGCTGGTCCTCGCGACTTCACGCGTCTGAGCTGCGCGACTTGACACGAAAGCTCGCTTATTTTAGTTATGTAGCTATAAAATTGGAAAAATTAATGGAGTTTTATTTGTATGTCTTAAGTAAGTCTATCTTAAGTAAAGTAAAGAATAGAATATGCTGTTTAAAATTAGATATAAATTATTTCTTAACGCCTTCCTATGATAAAAATATTTATTTGAATAAGAATTAATACTATGATACGAATGTAACCAACTTTTGGTTCAACTGGTGCGGCGATCTAATTAAATTTTAGAACACATTAGATATATTTCCACACGGACTTTTTTGTCGGTAATAATGAGTACTTTAATAATGTAGTATATAACTCTTATTTATCGTCAATAGTATACTCAGCGCACGCTAAATAATGAATTTTATAGGTCAAATTTTGCATCTTTGGGTTACATTATTGCAATTTTCATAAGGATCTCCAATTTAAAAAAAAAACATTATAGCTTATGTTACTTGCTTATAATTTAGCTTTCTTATGTCCAGTAATTTCGGAGGTTATTCGGTACAAACAAACAAAATCATATCCTTACCCTTTATAATATTATTAGTATAGGAGTATGGATTAATGAGTTGATAAGTTTTATAGTTGTATATTACGGTGCTTTATATATTATGCCATTTGTCACAATTATGTTAGAACGAAAACAAACTCCAACATTGGTAACGTCTACTAATTTGCTATAACGCCGATTGGTTAGCGCTCAATTCAAATACTAACTGGAAAAATCTTTATCATTTGTTAAATCAATTATTTTTTTTGTTATGCGTGTTAATATTAATAAAATCAAACCGTTAAAAGAGGTGACCAGCTTTAAACAGGCTGATTTGCTTCCTTTTAAATTAGGGAGCAATTAAAGGTAACTTACTGATGAAGTCTTTGGTTGGTTGAATACTCAAAGACTGAAGTCATTATTAATGTTTAAAATTAAATTTCTTACACGAGTGGCACTTCAACTTATCATTCAACAAAACCAACAATTCCTTTGCAAGCTTTATACATAGTATTCCTGCAGAAAATTCCGTATCAAAACTTTTTGTTTTAATTTGGAAGTGCATTCCATTATACGAAAACTTTGATTGTGGCATACCGTGTCAGTGACGACTAGGTGCTTGCATCGGTTGTGAGCATTGATAATGAATAAACTATAAATTATATAGCATTTTTATTATTCATTAATTAGGCTTGGAAATCTATGATTGAATTTAATAATTAAATAATTTTATAACGCGGTTGAATGGACGATCTGCGGGAATATTTTATTACTTATTGCAATATTTTAATTATTGCGGGAATATAACGGACGATACAAACGGCTAGTTCAACTGATCATTCCGACTGATCAGTTCAAACTAGGACTGTTGATATTTTTTAAAATATCGAATTTTCGATATATTGACAAATAAACTTATATATAAAACTCCCATATTGATATATTTATAATTAACAATATATCGAACATCAGTTTTTTTTAAATATCAACAGTCTTAGTTTGAACGGATCAGTTGGAATGATCAGTTGAACTGACCGTGTGTGTCGTCCATATCTCTTACGGGACGGTCCAACAGAAATTGGGACGGTGGGCCGCTTCAACTTTGAATTAGGTTTTAAGGTACGTAGTAATTTATAATCATAATATGTTTTAATGAAATCACTTAAATCCATGCAAAGGCGGTTTTATATTTTTTAATATTGTCGAAAATGTTTAAAGAATTTTAGTTTTTAATTTTTAAAAATGTAATCTGCAATTGTTCGTTCTGTTTTTAAAATGTCAATTCATATAACATTCAGGGTTAGTAACGATACAATTTTACCACTAAACGTTATTGAGTGGATTGTAGTGAAAATAAAAGGAGAAATAATTTACGAATGATAGGTCTGGTTTCTAAAATTTAAATAGTTTAATGTAATTGATCAGAACAATTACAGATGTACCTAATATATTATGGTTTAAAATATAAACAATATAAAAACTATTAATATAAATAAAATAGGTTATATGATTTAATAAAAATCCCAATTTATAATATACGTTATGTGATGATATAATAAGAATGAATAAACCCATCTTTTAAATATTTTACCCAAAATACCCAAAAAATCTTAGGCACACTGACTCACCAGAGTAGACTGATCCACCACCATGAAAGAAACAGTTAAAACATTATTAAAGAGAAGAGTTATGTTATATAAAATAACATCTAATTAGCTTTACGATTAATAATATCTCGATTTGTCTGCTATTTACCTCCACCAATATAAGGTTAAAACTTGGAACAAGTGTTGTTTAGTGAGCATAAGAATTTATTAGATAAATCCAATATAAAATTTAAAAATACAGTCATTATTTACCTATTTAGACTTGCTATCGACTTATTTACTTAAAATTAACTGCACGGAATATGTGCTATGTACATAATAAATGAGAGATTATCTTTATAAAATTATATTATTTTAAGTGCAGAAATTCTTCGAGTTCTAATCCATCATCCACTTCCATTTAAAAATCAAATTGCAGATGTATTGTGTCCTCTCAGGAATAAGATTCTCGTAACTCAAAATACGAAACCTGGCGGCATTATGCTATTATTTTACACTGGTATGATATGTAATATCCCGATCGAACTGACCCACTCGTGCTGCAGGCGTAATATGCTGATATTGATAATGGTAAATCCTGCTATAACTGTCATAATAAGGCACATCTCTATTTTCAGCAATGGACTGTTTACGTGTTAATTTGAATGAGAGCGAGAAGAAAAAAAGAAACTGAACTTGAATAGATAGTGGTCATTAAAAAATGATTTCCGTTGCTCCTCTACTCATTATTGTTTCTGAAGTAACTGCTAACCATGCTTTCCCCTACCACAAATTTTGATTCAAGATCTGTGGTGACTACAATCTGAAGACTGCATCAATGATCAATCTGTACAGTAATAAATCAAAGTACCACATAATAATTTTGATGTAGCCGATATTCTACCTCATAAACAGTGGTAACTGCTTATTTATTTATGTATAATACTTGGAACTAATTTAAGATTCAACAATTCCAATTTTCATTTTGTATAATAAACTTTCCGTGTCCTTTGATTATTTATTAAACATAAAATGTCTTGACAGTTACGAGTAACTTAGTATATGTTACGATTTAAAATTAAATTATCTAGTTTTTAAATTTACTTACCATTTCTAATTGTTTGTGCTTCCGGGTAAGTCTTCAGGTCCAGTGCAGTGTAATCTCTTCCTGTAAATATTTTTCACGTTAGCTTGCTATGATAAAAATTTAAAAAAGTTTTACCTTATTTGTTTCGAAAACAACAAATTATATTTTACATGTATTCACTCGAGATCACGAAAGTTTAAATAAATATAGGCGAACTAAATGTGTTAGTGTTGAAGCATATAGTATAAAAGGACAATAGGGCTGGTATATTTTTCTAAGTTAAAAGCTCAAAATAATTAAAATATGTTTCACTTTTTTGGGTTTAGCATACATGGTTAAAAAAGTGTAACAATGTATTTTCTTGATTTGAAATCTTACCTTATCAATACTAGCATATTATAATAAACATAAGTATTGTTAAAAATATTGTTGTTATTATTATTTTCAACATTAGCCATAATTATTATTGTGAAAATACATCGAAGTAGTAATACACTTAATCAATATTAATGCGTGCATAAATTATCAGTTTGTTAATATCCTTAAAAAATCAGTTTAACTCATAACTCATAACATTGCTGATTTTGTCAGTTATTAGTTTAAATAGTATAATAGATTTTAGTTTTAGCACTGATAAATGGGGTCTTACTGTCAGACGGACAGTCAAGCTCATCACTGCGGTCGTAAGGACAGTCTACGCGACCGTCGCATCTTCGTTTGGAATCAATGCAAGGTCCATTTTCGCAACGCCATTGATTCAAGGCGCATCCATCTATTTAAAAAATTTGTGTAACGATAAGCCAATTGTGCGATGGTCGCTATTATCTTGTAGAGGTTTTGTTATAAGCATTTACAAATTCCTTATTAATAGGTGGTACCTCGCCGCATGGGTAAGAACCACTATCTTTCTCTGCCGCCTATTAACTTTGGGAGCACTGCTTTGCTCTGGTCTGACGGGTAAAGAGGGAGTATGATTACAGGCCTTCTTTACATTTGTAACCCTGTTTTATTAGAAGTTGGTTGCAGGTGTCCATAGCCTGCAGTAACCACTTACCATCACGTGAACTTAAAATTTGTTTGCCAATTTAATTTTATAAAATAAATAAAATAAAATGTTTAGACCTTCATATCAGCCTTAACGGTAGCTATAGAAATGTGAAACAACCAAGTAAAAATACAGTTAAGTGTTTTACTAATATAATTTTATAATCGCAAAACGGCGTAAGTACCTAGCTTTGTTTATATATAAGTAATATTGTTTGTACAAAATTCTGCTGTCATTTTTCCATCAAGAAATTTATGGTGGGTCTGACTTTTACAATCTTAAAATTTTAAATGACAACCTGTTTTTTCATGTTTTAAGTGAAATTTACCTGATCCTTGTCCTCCAGGTCTTCCTTGTCCTCCGGGTCCACCTTGTCCTCCAGGTCCCCCCTTGTCCTCCGGGTCCTCCTTGTCCTCCGGGTCCTCCTTGTCCTCCTGGTCTTCCTTGTCCTCCGGGGCCTCCTTGACCTCCGGGTCCTCCTTGTCCTCTGGGTCTTCCTTGTCCTCCGGGTCTTCCTTGTTCTCCGGATCTCCTTGTCTCGGGTTCCTTGTCCTCCGGGTCCTCCGGGTCCTCCTTGTCCTTCGGGTCTTCCTTGTCCTCTCGATCCTTCGGATTCATCATATGCTCCCGTTGTTTCTGCTCCACCTTCAGGGTAAGGATAAGGTGGTCTTGGAGAAGAGCCGGCAAAGCCACCTGGTAGTACGGTGGTGTAATCACGAGGATAAAAGTTAGACGGGTATTGAGTCGGTGGGGCGTAAGTGTAGGGAGGATTAGGGCTGCGGGTAGTGGATAGTGGTTGTATAGGTGGAGACCATGTGGTAGTGATGCAGTCTCTTTCGTCAGATAGATCGGAGCAATCTTGCCGCCCATCGCAGTACGCTTGACTCGGAATACACTGTCCTGTTGTGCATTGCCATTCGTTCTCCTTGCAGCCTAAAATGCGGGATATAACATTTTAATCTCGCAAATAAAATTTTGTAAGTTTATTAAAAATTTTAAATAGTATAATGAAACGCGAAAAAGTTTTGAACTCGTATAATTTAACTACATTTGATAACGTGCAAGCTTAAAAATATATATATAAATAAAATGTGCTATAATTAAAATTTTATGTTTTGTTATAACACATCATGTTATTATTATTATAATTAAAATTATGTGTATATATTATAAATAATGTGTGCTGTAATTAAAATGTTATTGGTCGTTTTTATAACATACAATATGTAGAAAAAACATTCTGTCCGATCCGAAAAGGACACAGGTATCGCAAATCATCAAAATACACAGAAACTGATCACAAATTGATGCAAGTCATACTCGTATGAGATGTGATGTGATGGACAGCTCTATGTGGAAAAAGAATTGAGTTCCTAAATATTGGGTATACGATATTAATCATTACAAAGAGTACCTTTCCTAAGTCACTACCAATGGCACGTTTAGATTATCGGACGAATTACTCGCCAAGTAACTCGCGAGTTATTCGTGGACGAGTACGACGCGTTTACATATTCGTATGTACTCATTCAACGTAGATCTTTTAAAAATGGATGACGTACTCTCACAAATATTTATTCTCATTTATATTTATTTAAAGCCGATGTTTAGAATACATTACTCCTATCCATCACAGTAAGTAGGTATTTATATTATTTAGTATTATATAATTCATAATCTCATCATATACAATCATAATATTTTACTCCTGCTACCGGGGAGAACACCCGAATACGGCGTTACGTGTTCGTACTTGTGCCCATTCGTTTGTGCTCGGCGAGTATCTAAACGTTGTATAAGGAAAATTAAAAATAACGAACAGCTTAAAAAAGTGTTCGAGCAACGCCCCACATATCTGTTTCCCAGTGTCGACAGAGGCGCGCCGAGTCAGATTGAAACTCCGAGTTTTGGATCGGCGCAGTTCGGTTTGTAGTTAATGGACCCCGTTTCATAGTAAATATATAGGAGGGCGAATTCTTGCGATTCCGTCGACTAGAATCGGCGAGTCTATTCGACATTAATATTTAGACCAAGGTACGTTATTGTTAATACTCGACGGCCTCACACGCTGCTTGTATTGATATGTAATAGCTCCATTAATATATACTACATTTTATTTGTTCTCTGAAAATGATTATGTAAACAGAATCATATTACGGTAACCCCACGGATCGGACATTTTTTTCTTTTCAAATTGTATAGTAATTTTTTTCTCACAAGACCGCTAAGAAGAATTTATACTACTATTACTCAAACCCATACTTTAAAATCATGCAAATACTACAGAAACTATAAGAAAATATTGGAAACTAAAATAATAAACTAATATAAAAAATATGTGCACGTTGGTGTCTAAAAGCTAAACGCGAATCAACTTCCAAACAAAGTAGACAAATGAAATAAAGACAATGACCGCCTAAATAACTAATTAAAAAAAATTGAGCATGGACACAACCATGAGCAAAATAAATTGAATAGATAATTATGAAGATTTGATGGTATGATGATTTTTCAACACGCAAACAACATTCCATAATCAAGGGTTAAACGTTTTGTTTGTACCAGAGTGGTAACATTTTTGCTCGTCAGAGAAGTCCGAGCAATCGTAAATATTGTCACAGCGTCGCACATGTGGAATGCATCGGCCGTCATAACATGTAAATTCAGATTCGTGGCACGGTGGCGGAGATGATGTAGGCGGCTCCAAAATCCAGGCTGTACAGTAGCGAAACTTAATTCGTCGTCTTTAAATTACTAGCAATACGCTATCGCAATTTGGTGTGAAAAAAGCACTCGATATTTTCCAAGGAAATAAGATCACATATCGATTTAGAGAAGTTGCATGTTAGCATGCTATTTTAATTTGTAGTATACAATAATACAAAAGATACAATATCATATATCCTATTTTGGTTTATTTATTCTAAATAGTTCTGATATTGCAGTAAGCGCTCTTATTTTGTAAGGAGAGAATATTAAGTAATTATTAATTTTTAAGTGAAAAAATTAATGTGTGTGATTAAAAGTTACGCTATTTAACAGTTTGTCAAAAATGAATTTGAAATGAGAGTATAACTAGATTAAAAAGTGCAGTTTGTGTGACTGAAGCATTTTGTGGTGCATATTAGAAAATTGTTTAAAAAGACCCAGTGCCCGTTGCTGGCGTCTCTACAAGTGCATCAGTGCATTGTGCTTCCCGCGTTTCTGACATTTGTAAAAATTGTGCTGAATCTAAATAATAAGACGTATAATAAATAGGCTAAGACCTGCAATTGGTACAACAAAAGATCAATTGCAAGCAATATGAAAATTCTTTTTTATATTGCTTGATTAAAAAAGATTTAAATCTTAAACTTTTGGTTCCCGTTGGAATGCTTTCAATTTTATTAATAGGAATGTAATGTGAATACAAAAGCTGCAATCGTTATTTTGGTGTTTTGGAAGTAAAGTGTCGAACGCACTCTAAAACTAGAAAAAAGAAAACATGTTAATTCGAATTTAATATAGTAAACAACGGGTCACAAAAGTATATGGGCATGTAAAAATCTAAATAATATGGTAATTTATTTTTGCTTTTTAAATTAAATGCCTACAGGAAATTAATACTTATTTCTATTATAGTTTATGCTGATTTTTATAATTTTCTGATATAAATGATCATAGAATTATTCTTATAGCATTGGGTGACAAACGAGCTCACAGTCCATCTGATGGTAAGTATATGCTGTGCCCATAGACATCCACATTTATACTCAATTAAGAATCAAAATGCAAATCCGTTGTCACCCCTGAGGACTAAGATGTGGGAGCTGTGAGAGCGTGGACCTGCCCCGGTCGAGCCGACCCATTCGTGCTACAACTATAATATAGCTGCAGCATGGCTCTAACGCGTAAAAACTTAAAAATTTTACGACTTACGGCAATTGTCTTCGTCTGAATTATCAAGGCAATCAAATTGTCCGTCACAAGCAAACTGGATATCAATGCAGCTTCCATCTCGACATTGGAATTGATAATCAGTACACTCCGCTAAAATAATTGTAAGAATATCATTAATTTTTATCAGTCTTGATTCTAACGTTTCAAACCTACCAATAATATAATATCTCACACATAATCTAACAGTTTTAGAATGGAATAAAATAATTTGTATTCAATATAGATTACAAAAAGACTGATTGAAAGTCGTTTACGCTTTTACAGCTGGTTTGGATATAAATAAACCTCTGTCCTTAAGAGAACCTTAGAGAGATTTAGTGAGACTCTTTTTAAACATTAATTTACAATAAAATTTGTTGTTACACTTAAATATGGCATTGAGAAACCGCATAGTAGCGATTACCTTATTATTAGGGGTATTTTACTCACTAGATAAGTTCTGTATATTTTATGGGATTTTGTTTTTACAACAAAGAGTATACATTGCTCCATTAAGGAATTGTTGACTCCTTAACGTTGAATTCAACAATCACAACACTTAACTCCTCCCATTTCAAAAAATTGCTGTAAGCAGGTGAATATTTTCCTTAATCCCCCACCACACGGTAATTCCCATAGAGTTATCGATGTACAGAAAATTATACTTCTACGACTGATTCAATACATATAATTTATACAAAATACACAATATTACAAAATATTTACAAATTATTAGTGTTATATAAACTACCTTTGGGTGGCATAGTATCATTGCAATGCATCTCATCACTCGAGTCCGAACAGTCACTCAATCCATTGCAGCGGTGTGCGATGTTAATACACTCGCCGTTTGAACATCTACAAAAGAGCAATACGTTTCATAAAACCACATATATTTTTAATAACATCGCAAGCAATTAATAACGCACAGCAGTATCGAAAAATGCACTGTACAAATAAATTTTTTAAAATTTCCGCTTCAGAATAGTAGTTGCAAAGTATTGTTCGCGTTGGCACCCACTTACCCATTATTTAATACAAAATTGTTTACTCTGATGGGATAAACTTTACCTGAAGTCGTTAGGGCCATCGCAAGATCCGCATGTGAGTTCGTCTGATCCATCGCTGCAATCGGCGGTGCCGTCGCAAATACGTTGGTCTTCAAGGCATCTGCCGTCGCACTCGTGGCTGCATTCTTAAAAGAAATACGACTAAGTTGAAGATCTTTTAGATAAACTATAAAGTACGCAGCGCACGAGTATTGGCATTATAAATTTATTTTATCTAACTAGATCCATAGAGCGTTCCAAGCTTTGATTATATAGACAGGTATGTAATCAAAGGTTCCAAACATGTGAGTTCAGTTTAAATCTAGAGGGCAGACATCATGCAAGGGTTTGCATTCCGAAAAACATTCAATTTGTGACAAACGCCTTGTTATTTTAACATCATACAAAATTCGCAATTACATATCTCGCCTCAAGTACACATAACAAGTTAAGCATAAATCATTTTTGTAATTCGCAAGCTACAAAGATATTTTTTAGCATAACAGTATTTTGAAGAAATAAATATCGCAAATGATGAGTAGACAAATTCGAATTGAGAGTTTTAGTAATAGCACAAATACATGTGTAATGAGATTTAGAAATAAAAACTTTTTCAGATAGAAAACGAAGGCTACTTTTAAAAAAAAGATTACAAAACTGACCAAATATTCTGCCATGACGAAAATACAATACTAATTCGATGTGTAAACGAAGTAATTTTAATTACCATCGCAATTTCTCTCATCTTCACCCCGGTCACATTCCTGTCTACCATCACAACGTCTTGCGCATGGAATGGTTGAGTCAGGATCACAAGCGAAGCTGTCGGGTGGGCACCGTGGAGCACCTGAAGTTTAATTATTTATCATTTAAATATAAATAATTTAATTAAAATGACGATAAAAATGCCTAGACACAAACATAAAAGTTAAAACCCATATTAAGAGCCTATACTACCTCAAATGGCTTAGCATGATCCTCCGTTATGCCGAAAATATTGCAGTACTAATTTTAAAATAAATATACGGCAAAGTTCAGGATTAATTTTAAGTACTATGCTAGACGACAACGCGATTTCATAAAATTTACTCGATCGAAAAAAATCCGAACAAAATATGTAGTTCAAATTAGATCATTAAACTTTGCATACTAACTGAACTAACTATAAATATAAAGCAGGTTTTTTTTAAGTACCATTATTTTCACCGTAAAAAGAAATTATCTAAGCTATCGGCGTCCTGAAGCTTGTTCCCTGCCGCCCGATACCCCCCTCCCCCTCGCTCACTCGCTCAGTCTCGCTTCGGTTTTCGAACGGGAATCGCTTGGACTCAGAATACATTACGTAACCGTAATAAAAATAGGGAGCTACTGGGTTGGCGTAAGGAAACAGGCAAACATATTATATACATACATTAATAAATCTAATGAAATAAGTATCTACCGACCTATCTACTTACAGTATTAGTGATTACAAAATTTTTGGTAGATAACATAAGACGCGCGGGGACGTGGGGTCGAAATTAGAATTTCAGCTGAGGTTTATAGGCTCTTAAAGCTCGATCACAAAATGGTTTCTGTGGTTTTTAGTACTACTTCTTTATATTCTAAGAAGTCCCACTACAGTTTATATTATAAACAAATAACTATTACATTATTTCTGTTATACTTTATTAACTAAATATTAAACGTTTATAGGAATAGTTGGTTAAGAGGGAGTAAGCACAATGTATATAACTAAATAGATTTTGCGTTATAATTCTATGGTTGTAAATCCTGACTAACATGCGGCTAGTCATAGTCATGCAACTTATCAAATTAGGCATGCTTAAAATATATTGCATTTTTATTTACTTTTCTACTTACATAAACCCATTAGTTACTTAACAGTTTCGATGAATTTGCAACACGCTCGCGTTACAATCAAGTCGAGAGAAGATGGGTAAGACACGACCGAGTATTATTCCACCAAAATACAACTGACTCAGTAGTCGAATGTACTTCACTTACCGCAGTTGAACTCATCCTCCCCATGTGGTAGGCAATCTTTTCGACCGTTGCATCGCAAAGCGATATTAATACAAGTACCATCCCCACATTCGATTTCGTCCCTTTTACAAGGGCAGTTTCTTTCGTCCGAACCATCACCGCACTCCTTTGTTCCATTGCACCAGTAATCAGCTTCCACGCATTGTCCACTCGAGCATTTATATTCATAAGCCATGCATATTGTGCCTGCCATAATAATATACAATGCACAAACCATAACCAAAAATATTTACAAGGAAAGTAGTATTCGTAAGAATGGAAATAAATAGTGCTCTTATTCCCGTTATAAATTGTTTAGCTGGCCAATTAATTAAAAAAAAAACTAATATGATCTGAAGCGATCCTATAACGATGTAAATATAATCAAACTAACAAAACTCTTAAAACGTATGTGTTTAAAAGTATTATATTACTTTTTTTAAATTTCGGTATTATTGTACATAATATTGTAAAGAAATTATAAATAGAGCAAATTTTAAGCTGCTCATGGTTAACCAATCGTGGTTAGTAACCAATGCGAGAAATTAACTTATTGCCTTGACAATTCTAAAACATAACGCTTTTAGAAAGAGTTGGAGCAATCAAATAATCAAACCATAAGTGCAAGCGCGTTCATCGGAACCATATTGACAGTCATGCGTTCTGTCGAAGTGTTTCGATGCAGGGATGTAGTTACCCATTGTCGCATTTGAAGTCGTTGACACCACATGCTGACTGTCAAAAGAAAATGCTATATTCAGAAGAGAGTCTAATACATTCATTAAGCTAGCTACAAGAAATTTTGAAATCAAAAGAAATGTGCAGAAGAACAGTGCACAGGAAACAAAATAGGTCTTGAAAATATCGTCTAATGCAACATCAACAAGAGATGAAAGAAGACAAATGATACAAAGGAAGGTGAAGTAACAGAAAAGACTATGAAAAAAAGTAAGAAGAAACTGAATTCACGATAAAAATGAAGCGAAATACGATAAAAAGAGGACGAGATAAAATACTTAGGAGAAACGAAACAAGAGGTTCTGTTACATGACAAACTTACGACAATTCTGTTCATCGGAATAGTCTCCAGGGTCTCAATCGTACTGACGATTGCATCTTTGATTATGAGGTAAGATCTTGCCATTTCTGCATCTAAAGAATCCAGTTGCTGGAAACACATGCAAAGCTATATTATGGTTTTTAATCGTATTTAGAACATGCGATAAGTAAGCGTATTGCAATATTGATGTGACAAACACTTATTTTCAAACTCTTAATTTGTTTTATTTTGATTCAGTAATGGAGACAGGAAAATGTTGAATAAATTTGTGATAAGCAAATATTGACAAATTTAAAGTAATATCATTGATTTCTATAAAAAATACTTAATCTGTGTGTGTCTTCGGAATCCTTACCAAAACAATTCCTTTCGTCGGATCTGTCGGTGGGGCAATCCACCCGGCCGTTACATCGCTTACTGCGCTCAATGCAACTTCCAAAGTCACATTGCCAATGATCCGGGCCGCATGCTTATTACAGGTAATAATGTACATATATAAAAATGTACCATATTTATGTAATTTAAACTGATAATTAAAGTCGGTGATATTATAAAGACATTCTTTACTATTATGAGTTTATAGTAAAATTGTAGAAAAGATGACAAAAGTAAGTTGTTGAACTAAACTTCGCCTTATTATTTATATTTGTTAGGTATAAATCACTTTGTTCATTTATTTTAATCATGAATCTACTTCATAAAATTATATCTATATAAAACACAAAAAATGTTTCCATCTATGTACGTTTTAGACTTTGAAAGCATCCAATCAACTTTGATGACATTTTTGTGTGTGTATGAATGATGAATATCTAGATGGTTTATATTCACATTTGGACATGGTAGATGGCGCTGTTATTGAGATCTAAAAATCACCCGTGCGAATCGCTAGTATTAAAAATTAAAATGATTATTTTCTTTATCCAACATTATCAAATCACCGACTTTACGTTATCATTTCCATATAATTTGATACATACGACAATCAATTTCGTCGCTGCCATCTTTGATACAGTCCCTAAAACCGTCACATCTGAGTAGTATGGAAATACAGGTGCCATCCTCGCAGCGGAACCTCCCACTGCTTTGACAGACATGCTCACCTGTCCAATTGAATACTCGAAGCACTTACCGTTCCAATAATGGAATGCATGCGCAAAATCACACCATTAAACCTTGGAAACGTAACTTGAAGACGCTACAATAAAACGGTGCTTACATAGCAATATCAACGAGTTGCGTTTACTCACCGCAGTCTATTTCATCAGAGTTGTCGGTGCAGTGGTTGACACCGTCGCAACGTTTTCTGCTTTCTATGCAGAACCCGTCGGACACACAACGGAACTCGTTCGATCGGCATTCTATAAATAAAATCAGACATTTAAAAATAAAAATAAAAAGTAATACCAATTGTTCTAATCTAATTTAATAAGGAGATTTTTCATTAAATTTTATATAAAATTGTTTAAGACGCTCTACACCGATACTGACATTCTAAAATAAAATTTGACTACGAGAAATGACAAGGGATGTGGATACTTGACATATATCTTGTGCGTCTTTGACTCATATATTCATTCCATTCCATTACTGTCTATAAAAGTCCACTGCTGAACATAGGCCTCCCTCATAGATTGCCATAGTTGCCACGCTTGGCTGCGGGTTGGTAATGGCATTTTTTTATTATTTTGTGTTACCAGGAGGATACTTCCGTCCAACTCCTATTTAAGTTTCTCTCTGTCGGCGCACCCACGGAATGATATGCTGTAAGCGGCCGGATTCTTTTACTAAGCGAATCTACGCGAAAATATGTTATGGATGTAGCCGTGGAAGGAAAAGGAGAGATATTTTCCGCCGGTCAAGGAGTTCTGCCCGGGGAACGGTCGACAAGCGGCCGAATGGTAGTTCGCTGCTATTTTATATACATAATATACTGTTTTACTACGGAACTTTGATAGCGCGATTTAGGCTTCGATGTGTTGCACATGTGCCGCGACGACAGCGTCGCCACATAGATATAGATGTGCTATATATAAAATTCTTAGGGCACTTGTGGGCTAGGCTAGTAGCAAGCATTTTAACATCAAATACGAAGAGTAAGTAATTTATTTTAAAGGGATCTTTATCATTTGACGGCGAGTTGTCGATTTTGTTAAGGTAGTCATTGGTTTCAGTAATATGCAGTTATGTAAGAAAGTGATATTAATGCTTTTTTGTACACAAAAAACTTACCGCAATTTTGTTCATCTTCCTGAGAAGGACAGTCCACAACGCGGTCGCATCGGCGGGAGCCCTCAATGCATCGGCCATTGTTACATCGAAAATCGTCAGCGCCGCATGTTTCTGTAACAAATAAATAAATAAAATTCTTCTGCTTCTTTATTAGCCAGTGAAGATCCACAGCTGTTCATGGGCCAAGTGCGGCAAGCGGGTACACAGTACAACTGGTGATAAGTGTATGCTGTGGCCTATAGACATCTACATTTGTCCTCGATTAAGAATCAAAATCAAGATGCGTCGTCACCCGTGAGGACTACGATGGAATGCCTCGTTTCCATTAAAAAGGTCACCGTACGAAACACAGCAGCATTGTTCTGTTATTTTACGCTGGTATTCTATGAGAGCGTTGCCCTTCCCTGGTCGAGTTGACCCATTCGTGCTACAACCATAAAATAGCTGCAGCGTGGCTCTGCCACGTAAGATTAACCATTTAATAATAACTCTCGGCAGCTGGATTGACGATTGCTGTACCAGACGTCTCGTATCTTTTATATCTCCTGTCACCAAACTGGGTATTTTGTGTAACGTTTTTTTTAACTTTTTATAATCCAGTGCCACAATCGCACCTAGTGGTGATGAAGTCCTAGACGGTGAATCCCATCGTTTTAGCGTAAGAAACGCCTATTCACTCTTGCCTTGAAGACACCCAGATTGCATTCGGAGGGAAAGACAGGCGCTGGTAAATTATTCCACTCCTTTGGAGTACGCATTACAAAAGACGAAGCAAAGCGTTTCGTTCTAATTCGTGGAATATCGGTAACAAAGATCGCCGACCGCCTGTTTGTCCGCTGTTGGAAAGGAGGGGGAGGAATTAAAGCATGTATTTCCTGTGCTTTCTCTCCGAAATGCATCCTACTTTAGGCGCATATAAACTATACCGTTTGTTAGCGGTGTAAATTAATCCAATATCCCGTATCATCCCGTGGCGTTATAAGAGGCGACAGAGGCAAGGAAATGAAACGGAGTTGTGGCAGATGATATTTACGAATGAATGTAAATAAATTGATAGAAGTGATTTTGCACATGTTTATAATTAGTATTGTTAAATGCCATTTACACTTATCAAACATTTTTCGTGTGTTAAATCATGTTGTAGACGTCAGTCTATATGGATTTATTAAAATAATATATATATATATATATATATATATATATATATATAATTTATTATATTGCTAAAATGAACCTAAACATCCTGTTTCCTAAAGTCGATAAAATTAACAAAATAAATTTTACTTGAAAAAATGCAGGCTGCTAATAATAAAAAGAACACTATCCCATAAAAGGGTATAATGAAAATTTAAAACACCGAAAAATACAGTCTGATAGCCTAACACGTCTCATGATCACGTAACAGTCATACAAACATGTTCCTCTAATCCGACAATAAAGGAGGGGAAAAAACTGCCGCTTCACGGAGATTTTCTTAACATTTTTTCTTGGGCATAAACATTTTCTGAAACAGCTTCGCAATATTTAAAATTCAGGCGTCGCCGAGTCTACGTGATATACTTATCATGGTATTCTAAATAGGTAAACGTTAACTTTGGGAGTACGCGCATACGACCACTAAATATGAACTTAAGTTTTAATGTTTGTGCGAACAATTATTTTTCATTACATGACACTAATTTTAGGGATTTTGTCACGTTTAATTTTAACTTTTTAACTCCCTCAACGAAGTCGAATACCTCTAAACACCCGAAACGTTGGAAATTAAAAACTTAAAATTAAACGCAATAAAATCCGTAAATATAGTTCTACTATTTAATGTGTAATGTTCGAGTAAATATACGAAATCATTAATTATTTTTCATTTATAAATCCGAACACTAAAGAAATTAATATAAAATAAT